ATTTCACTGGAAGGTGAAGACAGGACGTTCTGCAATCTCCCTATTTTGCGTTCGTTTAACAATGTGTACAAAATATGTAGGGTAGCGGGTTATCGAATTTTCAACACCCAATCAAACTAGCCCTAGTGGCAGCGGCCTAATCAACAGTCCAATCACCTAACTATAACCACACAATGTGCATGTAAGGTATAACGTGGCAGCAGAAAGCACAAGACCAGTTTGATTGGCAGATCATGGGAGAGGCCTTTGCCCTGAAGTGGGCGTAGTCAAGCTGCTGCTGATGACCACATGTACTCTATCACAAGTAACCAAAAGAGAAAAGTCATACATCCCTTGATGTTTTTGCCTTAGATGAGTGGAAGGCGAACGCCGTCTTCTTATTGGATGTAAAGATACTTCGCCACTTTTCCCGGTAGTCCTTCGGCAGCTAATGGGGTTTGGCACTGCCTCAGAGATCAGAGGCGTTGGAAGTTTTCTGTACATCCCGTAGTTTTGTAGTTCCTCCGGCATCGGAGCACGTTAAAGCCAGCGAATATGCCATGTGAAGACGCATTTACGTGACGGCACCTTATGTGACGTCACGGTGGCATCAAAAATATTGGACTTTTGACTTCATGACGACGTACATAAAATGAAGCCATTACGTGATTTTTTTCGCACCCCTAGTATTGATGCCGACGGTTACTCTTTCGCATCTGATGAGTAATTCAGGGATTTCACCTTTAAGAACATTTACCAGGAAAGGGGACTTCCCTGCCAACATACTCACGTGGTCTAGCGCGTCGTAACAATTGTCTCCTCCTACCAGCAAAAGCAGTCCATCTGCTAGCCCCGATGCGCCAGCCGAGGAAGCGAGAGAGGTCGAAGCTGAAGTCGAGTCGCCGGTGGCATGGGCCAGCCCAGCGCTGCACGGCGATGTCCTCGTCGACGACGACGGCGTGGTCGTGCTGGCCCCGAGGGCAGTGGAGCGAGTGACCACCGTCACCGTGAGCACGCTGACGGGCGTGCACGGCACGGAGTACGAGCAGAGGGTCCTTCGAAGCACCCGGCGACAAGAGTAAGTACGTACCTCCTTGCTGCATTCTCTAGTTTATAAATAATGTGTCATCTACCAGAAGGCTGATGGAGTTTCTTTTATTGTAGAATGTGGTTCCAGTAGAAATCACCCCGGATGAAGTCGGTCCACATGAGTTGAATAGAAGGACCTGTGATCGACACAAGCTTGCTCTTTTTCGATGTAACTGCTCAAACCTACTCAGCTAATTAACAGTCTTTCTGAAACACGTATACTCAACAGTTGTCATGCACAGCCATCGTGACCCATCGTCCTTTGTCACCGAAGTGGCGACAATTACCACGACGGCCGCGTTGAGGAGACGGGTAAAACCGTCACTTTGAAGAGGTGGCATAAGTGGCACACTCTGCTAGTACGCCACACGTGATAACACGTCGCGTATGTATGTGACGCACTATCACAGCCGCTGAATGAAAAACACATGCACTTTTTTCATCCAGCGGCCGTGCCTATAATACGGAAAAGAAGAAAAAAGTGTCACCCGTAACTGTCTGCTAAAGAGGATACCCTTTAACAGGTCGGCACAGGGATGAGGGTAAGAGAGTAAAAGATAAAAATGACAGAAAAAAAAGGTAAGAGAAGTAAAAAAAAGGATAAATAGGTCACAGTCTCTCCACCTCCCTCAGCGCGCGCCCGAACCACCGCAACACGAAACTATCCTCAAAAACCGCCGAGAAGGCCAGGAAAACATATTCGCCGAAGAAGGGTGATGGGCCAAAGTGGGCGCATTAATAAAAGGGGAGCGCGTGAAAGATTCTCCTGTGTGCGTAGCCTAGGCACGAAAAAATTAGGAGTTTGGAGAACTCACGGATACGAGTCCTGATGGTCTCGGTGTGTGTGTGTACCACAGGTCAACTATATTCCCGGTGCCGTGGCATCATGTGCGGCAAGAGCCGCGGAACATAATCCGTGAACCGGAGAGTCAGTCGGCAGGAACAACACGCAGCACTACACGTAAGGCCGCAGCGAGCACGGCCAACACCGCATCCATCCGTTCAGTGGTAGCAGTCGGCTGAACTCGTGGGGAGGTGGGTGGCGGTCGCTCAAGTCGTTCGGCCACCACCGGTGACATCATCACGAAACGAGTGGCCCTCTCAACCGCCTCACTGTCCCGCTTGTCGGTGTTGTTGACAGCAGTCCTGGTTTGTTCTAGCGCTCAGTGGCGCGTCTAGGAGCCGTCTTTTGAAGCAAGGATGATGGCGGCCTTGCGCTGAACCTGCCAGAACCGGCAGCACGGCTCGTTAGCTGCATGGTTGCTCTTGCACTTGAGGCAGGATGGTTGTGCTGTCGTGCACGGGCCCTCGGGATGGTTGCCGCCACAACGAAGGCAGCGCTCGTCACGCAAGCACGTCGCGGTGGCGTGGCCGTATCGACCGCAGCGGGCGCGCTGAAGAGGCCATGAAAGACGAGGTCGGACCGGCCTCTGCAGCTTGAAAATTGACACATCCGGTGCCCCCAAAGGGTAAATTCTCTGGCCTTTTCAGGCGCCGGACACGACGGACACGGCTGACTCGGGGTTGGTCACGATGTCGTCGCCTTGAGTGTCCGCGTCGACACCATGGACTGTGTCCACGCCGGTGTTAGTGACGAGAAGTTTGGACTTCACATCAATGTCTCAGATCCTGCGCACTCGTAAGAGTGCTGAGGGGTCTGCTGAGGAACGGATGTCTACGGCCACAATGTTGCATCGTAAATTGACGCTGAAGCGCCAAGTCGACGGGATTCCTGCGAGGAAAGCCGCGATGGCATCTCGCGACGCAGCCGAGAAAGTTGGACTTCTTCCCCACAGTCGAAACAGGATGGTGCCGCCGTGTTCCCCCGCTGTTGTAGAAGAGGCCGAGGGCTGCGTATCAGACACCGTGATGGTGGCCGGGATGGTGGGGAGAGGAGTCGGAGAGAAGCGGAACGAAGACGCTTCGGTTGCCGCCCATGTAGCGACCATGTAGCGTCCGAGGTAGCAGTAGACGACGAGGGTGGCGTACGATGTTCAGTAGGAGGAACTGAATGATGATGTTGGTTAGAAGAAGAAGAAGAAAGCGCCCAATTTATGCAGCCCTGTAGGGTGCACGGCACAGTGCCTGAACTGGAGGCTGGCGAAGTTTCCTGTCTCCGTTGATGTCGTTCCGGAAGGGATGCCCGGTAGACTGTCCCTCCCTTGTGCGCCTACGAACGAGCTTTGCTGGTTAGCGCTGGCCAGCGGCTCTCGTTGAGCTTGTCGATTCGACCTTGTTGCCTTCGAAGCCTTAGGACTCGGCGACCTTAGCTTACGGATGCTGGGCTATGCCCGGTATCCTTGGACTGGGGGTCCCATGGTAGCCCTGAAAAGGGCTGCGCGCGTAGAGGCGCCAAGTCAGTGGGAAAAAATAGAACATAAGTGAGTGACAAAAAAAAAAAGAACAACCGTCATGCTTAGAATCTCAACTCGCTCTCTGCCAGCGGCCGTGGTACTACATTGAAAATTGAGAGGGCTAGCTGCTGGTGTTGGGAATACCCACAGCACCCACAGCACCCCCAGTGTCTCCTTTGTTCATACCGCCCTTGAGCCACCTGAAACTGGACGCGCTCCTTTACAGTTTTAGTATTACGTCCCTTCCCTTTTTTATCCTATCGCCGCTGCCGCCACTTCATTTGTAACCCCTTTTGTGACCGTCACTTATTTGCTTGTTTATGCAGGCTTTGCTTTAACGTGGTGAATTTCTTGGTTGTCTCTCTCATAACCATATCGCTCGTCATGGCTGTAAAAAAAAAAAAAGACTGAAACGAAATACACCACACTATCTTAGCAATAGGTGTGCAGGGTTACCAATTACCCCTCATCTACCTAGTAGACGTAACCGACAGAAAACAAGCTTCGCATTGGTTCTTATAATGACGGGTCCCCGGCCGTCATAATCGTCAAAACCATGCGTTGCCTTAACTCTGCACATCGAACAATGACGTGATACTGAGTAAATGATTAGACAAGATTCGAGGGAGTAAAAGATACGGGGTTGACTTCGCCCCCTCCCCTTTGTATGATAAGAGGAGATGCGGACGGCCACTTTCTTTCTGCGCGCACACATATGCTTTCAGCAAACTCCGTGATGAATGCCTCTGCGCGTACACCGTAAAATGCTGAGCAAGCACCACCTTCCCTCCCTTCCCTCCTCCTATGCGGACACTTTCCTTTAAGATGAGCATAGCTAGCAAAAAAAAAAAAAGACTCCAAGAATGAGTACAATGAATTCGTATCTAATGTTCATGAAATTCCGTAGTCATGTGGCTGATCGTATACTGGTCAATCTGGTCTCTGCTTGAATGGTGACTTAGAAGTGTGGTAGCTTGGGCTTCTTGTCTCTGTGTCGTCGTTTTGTTCTCGCGCTATAACTATCGTCATTATCGTCTTGAATGGTGACACTTTCTTCAGTTCACCATCGTCCACATAATCAAGAGAATAGATTGTCATTATCAAAAAAAAATAATTAGAATATTATTATCATTGTGACTGCTCCTGTTCAACTTATAAAAAGTATTGTAGCTTCAAGAAACAAGATCACTTGCAAATTTGCGCTTTGTGTGTGCGCGCTACATCACCTTATCTCATCTACATCACCGTGGATCACCACATAGATCACCACATTTTTTCTTTTCATTTAAAATTTTTAGCGGCTCTTCCAATGCCAGCTTGAATTTCGTTTTAGGACCAAGCAATCCTCCCCTCCCCGCCCCCCTCTCCACGAATCTGGTTGGATCATCCTTCACCGTAGGAAGAGTGGTTGGAGGGGGGGGGGGGGGTGGCGCTTGCTCGACGTTTTACGCTAGTGCTTGACGGTGAAGCGCTCGCAGGAGGAGCGAACGGCGCCTGCAGCATCAGCAGCGCCGCCCCCACGAGGCCCGTGGGAGCACCGACCACGAAGCGGCGGCTCAGAGCGGCGGAGAAGAGGACCACGAAGACGAAAGCGGCTCTTCGCGGCAGTCGCTGCTGCTCTTCATCGTGGCCACGGCCATCCTCGTAGTCTGCATGGTGGCTGGCCTCATCTCCATCGCCCTGCTCGAACAGGTCGAGAGGCGCAAAAGTGAGCAGCGCCAGTTCCTTTCGTTCTATGTAGAATAGTGCAATTTCTTTGCAGACGATTGTCCACAACCGTGGATCCAGTGGCCAAGGTGCTCGGCTGCTCACCCACAAGACACAGGTTCGATCCCGGCCGCCGCGGTCCCATTTCGGTGGAGGCGAAATAGTAGAGGCCCGTGTACTGTGTGATATCAGTGCACGTTAAAGAACTGTGGATGCTCAATATTTCCGAAGCCCTCAATTACGGCGTCCCTCGTAATCATGTCGAGGTTTTGAAACGCGAAACGCCAAATATTATTATTCCTTGGAATCGTTTAGCGCTGAAATATAGTCTAACGAAATACTTACGTACAGTACGCGCGACGCAGATACTAACAGAGCCTGCGGTGTTCGTTTTTTCTTAAATGTGAAATGCCGGAAGAGTTCCTTTCTGGTACATGTAACCGAAATGCAGGCATGTTATCGGAACAGCTGCTTCTTATCAACTTACAACGTAACTGAAGCGTCAGTGTCTATCTTCAGACGCCTGTCCAGCATTTTTGCGTTTGTAAACGTTAGGGCACCTGTCTCCGCGCTGTTGTAACAAAGATTGTGAAATGTCTGTAATGTTTCTATAAAGCATGCCTCTTTTTAGTCTGCTCTTAACTATACCATATATGGTCCACAGACAAAGTGTACCAAACGCTGTTTGTAGGTATGCTACATCGGTTTACGTGCTCTTGGATTAGTACCAGTGATGTCTCTAGTTATATGCACTACCCCCGCCTAGCCTCCCTTACTAAAACTCACGGGCTAAACGACACTCCAAAGTGTCGCCGTGTATGACCACGTGGATGTCCACGTTCGCGCTCTCTATGCTGTCGACGTCAGAAGAAACATCGATTCCAAAGCGGTTAGTTAAAGAATCATGCCAGAAGCTAGTTCCCGGCAGTGGGCGTAGTGAGACTGATGATGATGATTGTAACAACGATGATGTCAAACTGAGCACACCTACTCCGATTGGATTCACAAAGAGCTCCTCTAACCCACACAAAAAAAAATAGTTCAAAGTTTCTGTTCATAACCATGACGCTGTAAATATGATATATATCCATAAAATACATTTGCCTGTGTACGGCTCTTTCAGAACGGGTGTCCATAGATTCCCCCGACTTTGACTGAGGCGGCACGGAGCTCTTCGGCTACGGCTAGGCGTTCTTCCTGTGGAAGCGAGCCGCGTGGCGCCGCTCCGATTTACCTGAACAAGCGACCTGCAGCCCAGACGAAGAACAGCCACTCCACCGAAGCGTTCCCACGGCATCAGCTTCTTCACGCCGACAGCGCATAACGCTGCCACTGAACTTTTTTTTTTCTCCGTGCACGTGTCCTCTTCTTTTTTTTTTTCTTCTCAACTTTTAACGCATACCTAACATGCTGTCTATAGCATTAAAAACCATTCTGTGGACACGGGTATAAAGAGATCTACCTTATTCTATGCATGGATGTGTCACGCTTCAGATTGACGATTGGACAATGCTATAGTGCCGGGACCCCAAGTCGCTTCCATATACGCACGCTCTTGAGTTTTTTTTTTGTATTTTCCTTGGATGCTGCTGGACGTACAAATGAACGCAAGAGCGTGCGTGTACGTAAGCCGCTTTGGGTCACCAGCATTAAAACTTTCGATTTGATTGGTTCTGTCCTCCGACGTCGACGCGTGAGCTGTATTAGAAGGCGCCGCGGTTTATCGTTTGTGACGAGCGCTTATATACATCTCGCCACGCGAAAAGTACAGTCCGCATGGCCGGGAACTCAATTCAGTACACATTATGCTAAGGTGCTATTGTCGCACCAGTTCATTGAGGAAGGCACAAAACTCGGCGGACGTTCGAGCTTCGCCTTCAAGAATAGAACGCGATAGCGTATAACAGGGCTCTATGTGTGTCGCCTCATCAGTTGCTAGCGCGACTAATTTTTCGGTGGATGCTTGAACTATGCCGCGAAGAAAACAACGTCTGCAAGAATAACGTTGGTAGTTTGAAATTGTCATAGAATTTTCATACAGCAAATATTGTTGCGAAGTGCCCACCATTCCATCATTCTTTCCTTTTGCGAATTGTCGAGCTGTTACTACAACTACGGCGACGCATACCCCCAACGCGTCCATAAGGCAACACGCACACCTGTAAACGTTGTTAATGTTATTGCTGATAGTGATCATTAATTTCGCTTCGTAATTGCAGCCTGAGCGCTTCGAAATGGCCAGGCCTTCAAAACACAATACTCGTTGTGCGACTTCACATGTTTTGACACCTTGGTGCGATTCGACGCTTCTGATACTCGATATTATAAATATGTTAATGAGACTCCCTGCTTTATGTTACATTCATATGGCCGCTTTTTTTTTTCTGTCGAAACGGTTTCGAGCACTAGCATGACTGTGTGAAACAAGACGCCCGCTTGCCAAGAAGTTCAGCAAATGTCGACGGTCAGTTTTCATGTTTATCTAAAGCTTACTCTTCATTAAGCAAAACAAACAGAAGCAGACAGTGCTTGTCGTCTATATTGAAAGAGATTCGCGCTACCATTTTGTTATTGCACTAAAAATAAACGACAGAAAGCCCTCGTCATCGCGACTGGTCTTCACTTTGGGCTCGCATGCCGTCGTCTCCGACGCTTGCCGGGGAATCGCACTGGTTAGAATCTTCTCACTCTCCGATGCGAGTGAAAAGTGAAGCTGGAAAAGAAATGCAACATGTGTATACGACACTTTAAAACGGGCAGCATAGCACAACGTAAATAACTTTCGCTTCAGTAATACGTTCTGGCACGCTGCCTGATTCATTGCTGCTAAACGTTCTTAATCATCAAGGCACGAGTGAAAAAAAAAACACACACAAAACATGTGCAGTTTTTTTTTTTTTTCCTATATGGCTTCTTGCTCGTGTCTTGGTCATTTGGCGCAGTTTAAGAACGTCTAACAACAATGAACAGATTAAGTTGATTTGTGGGGTCTGGCGTCTCAAATTCACCATATGATTATGAGAGACGCCGTAGTGGAGCGCTCCGGATATTTTAACCACCTGGGGTTCTTTAACGTGCACCCAAATCTGAGCACACGGGCCTACAACATTTCCGCCTCCATCGGAAATGCAGCTGCCACAGCCGGGATTTCATCCCGCGACTTGCGGGTCAGCAGCCGAGTACCTTAGCCACTATAGACCAGCGCGGCAGGGCACAAATATATTGTGAGCGCTGACTATGTACTTCATCTTCATCTGTATGACCAAACCATTGTAGTGATCATCATCGTATGTCACGCGGGCTGGCTCTCTGGCTCGTGTGTCTGGATTAAGGAAGAGAACCTGGTTGCTGCCGTACCGGACGTGGTCTCATAAGTGGTGGAGCGTGCTTTGGTTCCCACGTCCTCCTGCTCTACCTGTCAACCCTGGAGCTCCGGTCTGGTCGACGGTTGTGCCCTCAAGCAACAGCGATGGCAGAACCCAACGCGTCCGCTGCTACAACCGCTCCTTCTCAGCCACTTAGGCTTCACTACACCGTGAGTACCTCTCATCGAGACCTTCTGGTATTTTCCGGCCTTCGCAACGAAGACGTCGAAGAATGGCTGGACAGTTATGATCGAACCAGCGTTTGTTTTATTGGGACGAGGTGCACAAACTGCGCTACGTTCCTTTTTACCTCGATGGCGTCGCTAAAACCTGGTATTACAACCACGAGAGCGACTTCTCCAATTGGTCGGCCTTCACGGGGCATCTCCGTCAGGTGTTTGGCACGTCTGCATTATGTTCTGTAGTAGCGAAACAGAAGCTCGCAATTCGCATCCAAGGGGACGACGAATGGTATACGTCCTACATTGAAGATATTCTGGCTCTCTGTCGCCGAGCACAAAATGACATGACGGAGGCCGATCGCATTCGACATCTACTGAAAGGTATCAACTCTGTGGCATTCAATGTTCTCGTGATTCAGAATCCGACTACCGTCCGAGACGTCATCACTACATGCCAATGCCTGGACGCGCTTCATTCCATGCGCCTTCCACACGCCTCCTGCGACGCTCGCTTTACCAAAGAGCATGAATTGCGGGCCCTTATCCGCACAATTGTCAGAGAAGAACTTCACGGCCTTATTCCAGGCAACCCTATCGTTGCGTCTGTCCACACACCTCCTCCCAACCTGCGAGAAATAATCAAGGACGAACTGGCATCAATGACAAGCGCTGCACATGCCCCATCTCCTATGCGCTTCTCAGTGCCTTCGTACGCAGAAGTTGCATCGCGGCCCCCTGCACCAGTTCCAACCGTGCCTCCGGACGTCGCATTCGACCATGTGGCTGCGATGACAACGCAAGCGCCAAGGCCACGCCACTATTCTACATGGCGTCTTCCCCGCCCCATCTGCTTCTACTGTGGCATAAGGGGTCATATATCCCGTTTCTGCCGCCGCCGTCAGCAGGATGAACGACGTGGCTACTCAGCTTACGAGAGAGACTTTGCCCCCGAGACCTGATGAATACGATCCCGCACCGTATCCATCCACCTTCCGTCAGTCGCCCTCCCCTCCACGGTCTCATGCTGGGCCTCATCCTTCTCGTTCATCTCGCCGCCGTTCTCCGTCACCGTTTCGGCGTACGTCATCACCCTTGCGTCCCGCTCCCATCTCTCTGGAATCGGAAAACTAGAAGGTGCAGTTTTTGGAGGGGAAACTGCTTGTTGTCGGAACGCTACAACTCCTCCGTCTCGTCCAGCTAATTTACTGCCTGTTTCTGTGGAAGGTGTTTTTGTTGGCGCCCTTATAGACACTGGAGCCGCAATTTCGGTAATTGATCGTGAATTGTGTTTTCGCCTGCGTAAAGTGCAAACTCCTTATGCCGGTCCCATGTTATGCGGTGCTAATGACAGTCCAATTCTCCCGACCGGGTTGTGCACTGCTCGTATTCTCATCGATGGAATCCGTCATCACATACAATTGGCTGTGCTGTCTTCGTGCGCTCATCAGATAATCTTAGGCTGGGACTTCTTGTCAGCGGCGTCTGCTGTAATTTCGTGTGGTCGGCCCCTCATTCGTGTTACGGACACTGAGCTTTCTTCTGCTGCCGACCTTTCGTCACAGCTGCGGATTTCCTCCTGCCTCCCGAACAAGAACGTGTCCTTACGATCAAGTCACGAGACATTCTAGATGGTGACGCTGTGGTTGCTCCTTGCCAGCGCTGCATTTTTCGAGGGATCACCATCGCATCTTGTTCAGTGCGGTTCTCCCGTGGTTATGCAAGCATCACGGCCTGAAACACGACGCCAGAACCACTTCTTTTGCCTGAGGGGACCACTGTTGCCAGCATTACCGAAGAAGCACCGCTTTGTGTCGTCACTGGTTCATCTGCTTTGTCATTCTCAAAGTGTATGCCAGCGGAAGATGCATTTCCTGCTCTCAAGGCCACTTTGTGTGAACATCTCAACCCAACGCAAACTGATGCCTTGCTAGCGTTATTAATGAAGCACAAAACTTGCTTTGACGTTTGTTCCGAAGGTCTGGGTCAAACAACAGTGACCACCCATCGTATCGACACCGACGGATCCCGTGTGATTCGCCGCCGCCCTTACCGTGTGTCGGCTTCTGAGCGCAAACTTATAGAAGAACAAGTCAACGACATGCTCGCGCGCAACGTCATCAGGCCTTCGACAAGCGCATGGTCTTCTCCTGTCGTACTAGTGAAAAAAAAAAGGATGGCTCGGTACGGTTTTGAATTGATTACAGATCACTCAACAAAATCACTCGTAAGGACGTCTACCCAATGCCTCGCATTAACGACGCTCTTGATACTTTACAAGGTGCTGAGTACTTTTCAAGTCTCGACTTGCGCTCCGGTTATTGGCAGATTACAATGCACGAGTCTGATAAAGAGAAGACTGCGTTTGCTACGCCAGATGGGCTCTTTAAATTCAATGTAATGCCTTTCGGCCTGTGCAATGCCCCAGCCACATTCGAACGGATGATAGACACGGTACTGCGGGGATTAAAATGGAAGACCTGCCTTTGCTACCTGGACGACATTTTTCGTCGAGCTTCTCACAGCACCTGGAACGGCTAGACGAAGTCCTCACGTGTTTAGCTAAGGCCGGTCTCCAACTCAACACTAAGAAGTGTCGGTTTGCCAGTCACAGCATCAAGGTATTAGGCCACGTCGTCAGTAAACATGGCGTTGAGCCCGATCCCGACAAGGTTGCCGCGGTACTGCACTTTCCTACACCAACCACACAGAAAGACTTCCGCAGCTTCCTTGGCTTAGCGTCGTATTTCCGCCACTTTGTACGTGATTTCGCTACTATTGCGGCTCCTCTGCACAAACTTCTGACCACGAGCGCACCCTTTGTCTGGTCGGATGACTGCAAAGCCACTTTTCACACCCTCAAGCGATGCCTCACATCACGGCCAGTGCTTCAACATTTCGACCCTGCAGCACCTACTGTGCTACACATTGACGCAAGTGGACTTGGCATCGGTGCTGTCCTTCTTCAGCGAAACCACGCTTCCGAAGAACAAGTCGTGGCCTACGCGAGCCGTACTCTGTCACCTGCTGAGAGAAACTACAGCATCACTGAGCAAGGATGTCTCGCCATCGTGTGGTCCGTACAAAAGTTTCGCCCTTATTTATACAGCCGGCATTTCACAATAGTGACTGACCATCATGCTCTGTGTTGGTTATCGTCTCTCAAAAATATGTCGGGACGCCTTGGCCGTTGGGTACTACGATTGCAAGAGTATGACTACAGCGTCACATATAGGTCGGGTCGAGAGCACCAAGATGCCGACGCTTTGTCACGTTGCCCACTCTCGCAAAGCGCCGAAGTGTCACCTTCCATCTGTTCGTCACCGCCCACCAAAGTTACCAAACAGACGGCTGCTGCTTTGAAACAGTTAGTTGCCTCGGCGGACCTTCTTTCGTCCACAGATCTCGCCTCGCTCCAACATGTCGATACCTATTGCCGCACAATCATCGATCGGCTCACTGGCTTATCGCAAGCTCCAAACAGCCGCCTAAGACGACAACTTGCCAGTTTCAAGCTTCAAGATGGAACATTATGTCGGCAAATTTACCATCCTCTCGGTAACCAATGGGTTCCCGTCATTCCTCGCTCACTTTGTCTGGAAGTTCTACAAGCGTTTCATGACGATGCGACAGCTGGCCACTTAGGGTTCCACAAGACCTACGACCACCTGAGAATTCGCTGCTTTTGACCTGGCCTCTCCACTTCTGTCGCCAAGTACGTCGCTTCCTGCGCGTCATGCCAGCACCGAAAACGTACCACGTCTCTTCCCGCGGGGCCATTGCAACCACTGCCGTGCCCGTCCACTCCCTTTGAATTTGCGGGCATAGACTTATACGGACCTCTTCCGCTTACTCCAGCCGGTCACCGTTGGATTGTTACTGCCATAGACCACCTTACTCGCTACGCGGAGACGGCAGCTCCTTCATCTGGTGCTACCTCTGAAGTAGCCGATTTTTTCCTTCGCGCCATTATTTTACGACATGGCGCACCGCGTGTGCTCCTTAGTGGCCGTGGCAAGACATTTCTTTCACATGTCCTTGCTGAAGTCTTACAGGCCTCTAACACCATCTACAAGACCACATCAGCATATCACCCAGAAACTAATGGTCTGACTGAGCGTTTTCACCGAACGTTGTCCGACATGATCTCTATGTACGTGCAACCAGATCACAAAAACTGGGACACAATACTTCCTTTTGTCACGTTCGCATATAACACTGCCATACAGCGTACAACGAATTTCAGCCCTTTTTTTTCTCGTGTATGGCCGTGTACCGACTTTTGTTCTGGACACCACCTTTTTGTCCACATCTTCCAATCCATCTTCATCTCTCCCGGAAGAGTTCGCTGCTCGCGTCGCCCACTGCCGTGAAATCGCCCGCTCCAACACTGCTACCATTCAGGACAAGAGAAAAATCGACCTTGATGCGAAGCGTCGAGTTGTTGTGTTCCGCCCAGGCGACGAAGTCCTTTTGTGGACACCTGTTCGTGCACCTGGGCTCTGCGAAAAATTCCTTCACCGATATCTCGGTCCGTACACCGTCCTGGAACGAACATCTGAAGTCAACTATCGCGTTGCTCCTGTCAACGCGGCTGCTGATCGTCGTCGCCGCCACACCGAGATCGCCCACGTCTCTCCACTGAAACGATATATTCGGCGTCCCAACCCTTTCTAACTTGCTGCCCTCTTTCGCGAAGGGGGGAAAATAGTGTGAGCGCTGACTATGTACTTCATCTTCATCTGTATGACCAAACCATTGTAGTGATCATCATCGTATGTCACGCGGGCTGGCTCTCTGGCTCGTGCGTCTGGATTAAAGAAGAGAACCTGGTTGCTGCCGTACCGGACGTGGTCTCATAATATATATATATATATATATATATATATATATATATATATCCCGCGATCTACGGGTCAGCAGCCGAGTGCCTTATCCACAAGACCACCGCGACAGGGCGACAACAGTGAAAAAACTAGCCTGCCAGACGTATTACTGAAGTGAAAATTATTCACGTGCGTGAATAACCAACAAAACGCAAACACTTTTAAGAACTCTGACTTCGTAAGAGATATTTTGTTCGGATTTGGCTAGTGACACTGATAATAACAGATCTTAAGCTGCTCAAGTTTTACACCTTGCGTGATAAGCGAGTCGTACTGACACACTTTCCCTATTTCTGTACAAGCTTGGCACTTCTGTGCGAAGAGAGATATGATCCAGAGTGAACGGAAGTAAGCACATCGGTATACGAGCAGAATGGACCATGGACACTCAGCTAAAAGACTAAATAAATCCACAGCATCACAGGGGGCTTCAAGTTTGTTCTTATGGAAGATTCCACATCATGCAAACAACGCTTCCTTGTTAGTACGAAACTTTAGCTTGAATTCATAATGCAGAAGACAAAAGGCGCCTGCAGTCATAAGAGGAGCACTTTCGAAGACTGCAACTTCTCATGCTCGCGGGCGCCGGTTTTTTTTTTTTTTTTTTTTTTTTTTCGGTCACGCCTACATACAACGCCAACAACACTAGTGAGGCGATGCAAGCTTCGCTAGAAAAGATATACATTGTTTAACTAACCACGTGACACGTATACAGCAAACAAGGCATGACCCTGGTCGTGGTCACTTTAGCTCCCCGATGGTCACGTGACCTGTCTGTCTCACTTCCACAGCCTGCCAGCATGTTTCAAAGACGGCGCATGTATACATTAAGCTCACCTGCTGTTTGCTGAGCAGCGGCACGACCATGTTGAACTTGTCGATTTTGCGGTTGATCTGCGCCGCTGCCGAGTCCATGCTTCGCACGGCCTCTTGCCAGAGGCGCTGTTCGTCGCCGCAGAGCGGCGCCGCACCCAGCCGGGATCTGCGCTCAGCAAGCGCGCTGCGCAGCCGCCGCTTCTCCTCGGAAATCTCGCGTTCCAGCATGACCCACTCGGGCACGTAGCCATTGGTGATCAGTACCTGCGCCATCGGCGTCCGGACTATAGGGTCTATTTAGGTTAACTAGCGTCTACACTTCGTTTCATACGCATCGGGCACAACGCTGCGGAAGCTATGCAAGAAGTTGGTTCAGTAGCAATTGGTTCCTATAACAAGGAAAAGAGGGTGAAAGTGAGCCCTGTAACTGTGTGCATCATAGTGCGACCCCTCAACAGTAGCTCACGAGGGATGTGGATAAGGAGAGTATAAAAGGAATAGGGAAGAATGAAAGATATAGAGAGATATAGTAACAGGGACAGAGAGACCCACATAGGGAAATAAGGAGAAGATAGGAAAGATGGAGACGGTCGCAGAAGACCGAGGACGGGGCGCCACTCAGCGAGAGCTCTTGTCGGTGGTAGGAGATGGCGTGGGCTGAGCCCAGTCGGCCAGTTGCTCGCGGGGGCGCAACCAGTCGGCTCGAAATGCAGCGAGCGAGTCCTCGGTCAGCTGTGTACGCGCGCCTCGCACTGGGTTCTCAGTGTTGAAACTCGCTTGAGCCGAGCACGCACCCGCGCTCGATGCGTCGCGACCGGTTCCAAATAAAACACTAAACAACGAAAACAAGGAAACAATAAGCAGTTTACATCAAACTTATTGAGAACTGTATAACGATGTTTGTTTATGTTCGAGGCACAAATGATGATCTGTCACCCAGACTGAAGACGCAAATAAATGATATTACGATTAGTAAAATCAATGCACTATTTCTTGGAGCGAACACATAAGTCGCGCTAGCCTCCACAGCGTTGCGCCTGGTATATGAAACGGCGTATAGAGTTACAAATACAAACACAAGAACGGGATCTGTTTCCAATACAAAAATATACATGATGTGATGAGGTGTACGGAAGAATGACCGCCATCGCAGCTGAATTAGTAGAGTATCGGACGCGTTAACCGAAGGTTGCAGGTTTTATCGCTGCCGGCGGCAAGTTATCTTTTTGTCCACTTTAATTTATTCACATTTGTATCACAATTACTGAAAATAACAGTTTCTTTGATCAGTTATAATTAGGCCTATGCAGTTAAGTTTTCACTATAAAAACATACTGGACTACGCATGTTGTTTCAGAAGGACCAGAGAGACCACAGAACCGATACGTCTTCGGTTTATTGTTGACAGAACAAGAAAATAAAAAAAATATGCAGAGCGTGACCCTGGCTACTTCTTCTTCCTCGCCTCTGAGCTCCATCTTCAATCTGTTTTCTACATCTTCCCGCCGGCCAGATTCAACCGAAGCAACCTACGAGCGAATACAACAGTTGAATCGGCCTCTTAACTAATTTTCCTTCGGGTGTACAAAGCAAGCATGTTCACACTAGTCCATCAGTGCCTGGGAAAATCTTTTCGACCTTGCAGAGTTTCCACTGAGTTCTTTTTCGTGCTTCTCCAAGCAGAAGTACATCTTCTTCTTGTACATTTGTGTGACGCTCTGTTTTTCTGCTGGCACACTTAAGCTCCCTCAGGTACTCCTTTTTCCATCTGGTCCACCATGTTATCATTGCCTGTTTTCTTGCTCTCCAGTAATTCAGCAAACTGTATTCTCCGAGTCTGTTTTGTTTCTGCTTGTTCATTGCTTGCCTGCCTCCTATAACGTCCACCGGTGTGATGGGGTGTGGCTCGTTAGAATCGTCATACACATAAGTAAGAGGCCGGTTGTTAAGTACTCCTTCTGCTTCAACGACCACAGTCCGTAGTTCTTCTTCATCCAAAAGTCGAGCACCTATTGTTTTCGTCATGGATGTCTTAAAGCTTCTGATCAGTCTTTCATAAAATCCTCCCCACCATGGAGCTAACTCTAAAATAAACTTCCATTTTATTTTTAGGTTACTGGTATACTGTTGAAACCTTTCATCTTCCATCTTTAATGTCTTGTTCATCTCTTTCTCAGATTTCTTGAATGCTCTTGCATTATCACTGTAAATAGTTGTGCACAATCCTCTTCTAGCTACGAATCTTCGGAATGCTTGTATAAACCCTTCTGATGACATCCTCTTGACCAACTCCAGTTGTATGGCTCTGGTTACTGCACACGTAAATATCACAATGTAAAACTTTGTAATTTTTTCGCCTTTCTCCTCTCGAGCATCTAGCAGTCCAACAAAGTCTATACCAACTGTGTCGAATGGCCTCGTCTGTCTTATCCTGTCAGCTGGTAGTGGTGGAATTTCTTGTGCCATTGGTCTAGAATTGAATCTCCTACATGTGATGCATTTCTTTGTCACATATTTCACCATCTGTCGGCCACGCACAATTCAAAACTTCGTTCTTAGATGTGTCAATATTGCCGCAACGCCACCGTGCATTGTTACTTGATGCGCGTTCAGAACTAGGAGTTCTGAAAAGTGACTTTCTCTTGGTAAAATAATAGGATGCTTCTCATCAAAGCTCAAATCACTCCACCGAAGCCTCCCTTTTACTCTCAGGACACCGTGATCATCTTCGAAGATGTTCGCGCCGTACAGATTCATGTTGTCACATATTCGTGTCACTGCATTTTTTAGCGTTTTCTGCTCCTGCTTTATCAGCACAAACTCTGCCTTGTCCAATTCTTCTCCTGTCAGCGAACCTGTTTTCCTTTCTGTTCTTCGGTTTCCTATATAACGCATCACCCACGCGGTAACTCGTAACGCTTTCTTGTATGATCCAAATCTGCTCACATCAATTATCTTTTCTTCACTCGTGGTGGTAGTTAAGCATGCCACTGTCTTTTCTTCGTCTTTGTTGTCATCACTATCCAACTTGCGTGATGTCATAATCAGGCCTTTGTTTTTCATTCTTGATCCACGTGGAGCCTTTCCCCCATAATTCACTGTTGGTCACCTGGATAAGCCTCTTCTCTGCAATGGTGGTGTTGTCGTCCAATGTCCTGTTTTCCTTCCATGGTAGTCGTACTTGGTATCTTCCTGCCTTGAACACCATTGTTTGTCGGACGTACTCTAGCACATGTTCATCACTCCTCTTTGTTGCTGGTTCCTCCTTGATGGCCATGTTTTCCAAGTCCCAGAATCGCTGCAGTTCATCCACAGTCGTGTCCGACTTGGCACTGACCTTGAGTACCATAACCGTTGATGATTTCATCGGCACACAATGAAGTTCTACAGGACCTTGGACCGTCCATCCCAATATTGTTTCTATTGCCATTACTTTTGGATGAATCTCGCAAATGCGACCAGTGACTACAGTCCAGTAATAATCTGCTCCAATTAATATAAAAGTTTCCATATTTTTTCTTTCTTTGTCCATCTTCTCGTTGTCATCAGCCAAACAAATTCCCATCGATCTTGCTCTTTCGTGTATTGTCAACGGTGGCGATGGTAGCACGTCACAGGATATAACTTTTATCTCCAGTGCCTCAATCGTGACTGGCTCCGAGATGGGATCCTTTCTCACGCTGACCTCGACGACTTTCATGTCTAGTTCCATCTCTCCTCCTCCAAATGATCCTACAGTAATCCTTTCGGATCTTTTTACCTTGCACGCTAGTTTTCTTGACAATCTTTTGAGGATGAATGTCCTCTGACTCCCGTTGTCCAGCAGAATCCGTGCGTAGCACCCGCTGTCTTCTCCCTCCGTCCACGAAAAGGCTGTCTGCAGGAGTATGCACTTGTGTTCATCAGACTGCTGTGCGTGCATGTTGCTGGACTTGCTGGTGTCTAACCGGTCAGGTTGCGCGCTTTTACGTACTTGTGTAAAATTATACCGCTTTGCTGCTGTGCTGACTTTCCTGCAGGCGTGCGTGGTCGACACATGGATGTCGCGTGCCTTCCCTTGCATGTTTTGCAGCGTACGTTAGCGCGGCATATCTTCGCCGTGTGGTGAGGTCTGGTGCATCTGAAGCACCTTCGTTCCCATTGCAAGGCTTCTTTCTTCTGTTGCATACTAATGCTTCTTCTGCAATCTTCCGTGTAGTGTCCAGTCATCTTACAAAAGGTGCATTTTTTCATCGAGGTGCTTTGAAGCGCAGATGTTCTAGTCCGCCTCATACTGTGCGGTGACTGGGTAACGTCGTATTTTTCCTCTCGAGTTTCTTCTCTGCTGCGTATATATATGTTTGAAAACTCCATAATTTCTTTCAAACTGCTCGTGCTGTCTCTTGACGCTGAGTCCGATTCAGTAGTTGCTGGTCTGTTGTCACCTTTCTTTAACTCCTTCATCTTCATCTCAATCCTCATATCCACCGGTAGCGCAGATTTTACAACAGGAGCTATCACTGTGGCGTAACTACCCATTTCCACTACTAATGACTGCAATGCTCGTGCGTTCACTTGCAACTTTTGGAAGAGTTTCTTCAACCCATCTACATCTTTAGGACTCTTCACCGCTTCCAAGTTTGCAAGCTCTTTTATGTAGGTCTCTTTTAAATTATCTTCTCGTCCAAAGGTTTCTTTCAAAAGAGCGACTGCATGCTCGTAATTCTGATCAGAAAACTGCAAACCTTCTATGAGGGACGCAGCCTCCCCGCTCAGAGACGCCAGAAGGTAATTGAATTTTTGATTCTTCGGCATGTTCACTCTGTTATGCACCGATGTCTCGAACTGATGCCAAAACCTTGGCCATGCTGTTTTTTTCCCATCAAACTTGATCATCTCAAGACGTGGCAACTTAACAAGCTCTTGCGTCTCGGAGATATTGTTAGTACCTTGCACTGAACTCGCCTGTTCTGTGACTACTCTCGTAGTCAGCTGCGTCGCTTGTTCTAACTCGCGTAATCGCTCCTCTATTTTTGTCGTTGCAGCGACGATCTTCATCTCATAATGCGAAACTCTTTCAAATTCTGCCTCCGTGTCGTCTTCTTCAATGAACGGTTCTATCTGTTCGTTAACTTGTCTTAGCGTCTGTGACACGCTCTTCATCTGGTTTAGAAGCGTCATAAGTTGCGCTCGATTGGCGTCTTCTTCTATCTTCTTATCGATTTCGCTCGTAAGCGTCGTCACATTTGCTCGAAGCGTCTTCCGCTTCTTCGATAGGACCTCTTTATTCATGCTTAAAAACTTGTTGAAAGAGCTCTTGCCTGTTTATGTGCATCGCCAACAGTCGTCGGTCGTGGTCCTTCTCTCAACGGTTCGTCCTTGAGCCAGACGCCGCTGCTTCGTTCTTCAACCCGTTGTTGCGAATGGGGTTGAAGTCTGTGCGTCTGTCTTCAGATCCTCCTGGTCACGGCACCATGTTTCAGAAGGACCAGAGAGACCACAGAACCGATACGTCTTCGGTTTATTGCTGACAGAACAGGAAAATAAAAAAAATATGCAGAGCGTGACCCTGGCTACTTCTTCTTCCTCGCCTCCGAGCTCCATCTTCAATCTGTTTTCTACACATGTCCAATTGATATTGGCTTGTATTGTTCCGAGTCGCACGCAGCACGTCAGAGCAATTTTCTTTCCAATCCGCCAAGCTGGGTAATTCACAACGATTATTAAATTATTTTTGAATTAGTAACTGTAGTGGCAAATCTTCGACGCAAAAATTGTAGTACTTTTTCTGAAACCTCAAAATACCTCATCTTTAATATGGTAACGGCCATTCGCATAATCTAATTTTAAGATATCACTTAACTAAACTTTAAAATAGTGACTATAGCAAAAAATATTAAATATGAAATAGTAAAGCTTGTTGAGCAACATTGGATAACTTCATCTATGTTATGATAACTGCCTTGCTGAAATTTCCTCCAGATTTTCTTTAAGGGGGCCCTGAAACACTTTTTCAAATAACCATGGAATTAATACACTGGAAGAGCTTATTGCCTCATGAATTCAACATCGCAAAAATTTTAAGAAGCCGTCCAGCGCGACTGGAGTTACAAAGGTTTGTCGCATGTTGCAATCCCATTATCTCTTCTCTCGTCCCGACGAAGCACTAGAAGCCAAGCAGAAAGGGATGGCAGGGCCAGAGAAAAACGTCACGCAAACCTCGCGACCTGGAGCACTTTTTTTCTTTTCTTTCTTCGAATGAGCAGCTTCTTCGGTGTGATGAACGCGCACGCGCGCGTGGACAAGTAGCGGCCTCCCGCGGCGATCTCTATAATGAGCGAGCGCGCCATGTTGAAATCAGCCAGCCAATCACTGATAGATGAGTCATTGTTGTGTGATTTTCGGGCATATAACGTGATTTGTCGAGAGAAGAGAAAGTAATTTTTAGCTGACTTTGATAATTTATTGTGAATTCCAGGCTGCGTGCTGGGCTATAATATTTGGCTCGCGTGTTGTCGGGAGCCTCTATACTACCAATTGGCAGCGTTTTCTGACCTATGCTCAAAAAGTGTTGCCGGACCCCTTAAAATGCGCGAAATAATAAAAAAAAGTCTCGGCGCATGTATGATGAAACAGCCTGCGCAGTGTCAACGAAACAGCAATGATCGCGCTAGAAAAATTCGATGCACCAGACGTGCACACGCTGAACTTCAACGCATTTTCAATCGTGTAGCGACATCTCTTAATTGCGGTGGGAGGGAGTAACAGAGCGAATACGCACCCACGAGAGAGATGACACGGACACACAGGTACCGCGTGCATCCATGTCGTGTCTCGTTCGAAAGTGAACCAACCCGCCCAGAAAAAAAGCTTTGATGGGGTTACTTGCGGCAGGCGGCCGAGTGCGCGCGTAAAAATGAAATGTGACTGGGAAGGGAGGGGGGCGGTAACGACTAGACGGGAGTCATATCAGAGTAGCACAGAAGCGGGGAAGTTATGCGTTGTGTTTAGACTAGGTTTTATTTTGGGGGGGGGGGGGGGGGGGCAAAGAAAGGACAGGTGAAAATTTGTGGAGGCTTCGTCCCCCCCCCCCCCCCCTAGTGCTTTCCGCCCCTGCGAGAAGTAATCAGAAAGCCACGAGCAAATACGTACAGAGGTACATCGTATTCGGTGTATACAAGGGCGATGAACAGAAGTGGTTGGGCTCGAGAAAAACCGCTGAGAACGTTCTACCGAACACGACTGACAATATATGTGCTAAGCACAGAACATTTTACAATTTTACAGCTCGTCCTTTTGTTGTCTACTTGCGCAGACACTTGAAGCTGCTATTCCTCGCAGTAACTATTCATCACAAACTTCTGTTTTTTGCGAGGCGGATGGGCAGCATCAACAAAAAAAAAAAAGAAAAAAAAGGCTCACTCTGATCACTTCGAGCTAGAGGCAGCAAGCGTTGCATCGGATTGAGCTTAGCCACTCAGATTCAGTGCCGTGGCTATGAGCGTCATGATGCGCATTCAATAAGTGCGCTGCAAGTGTCAACAAATCACTCCCATGCTTATGTGTTCCCTGAAACTGATTGCTTGGCGAGCCAGCACGGTTTGTCCGGCTCGTGATCGGTTACATACAGACCAACTTCTACACAGGGGAGGTGTGCACGCAAATAAAAGTTAGCTTTTGATGCAGAAATTTGGGCTAGTTGGGAGTAACTAGACTAGAACGTATCAACGCGATCAAATGAACAATACCATAAGGAAGACACACGTCTGAAAAGGTGCTAGCACCCGTGCCGCTTACATGTATCTTCCTTCTGTGATGGTTGCTATGTGCTTTTTAAGATGTACAGTGTTGTACAAGTACGCCTTCAGAGCGGTGTACATAAGCACGTGCCAACCTCGTTGAGCTTTCGAGTGGTGCTGTCCACGTAGGGGTTCTCGGGCGCGAACTTGAGCGGCTTTCCGGAGCCCGGCAGGTTGTTGAACTCGCCGCGCGCCATCGACTCCTGGATCAGGTCTTCCACCAGACGCTCGATGGCTTGGCTGCGCAAACAACAACGATTGCAGTGCAACAGGGATGTGTACAGTCGGGCGTAAAAACTATCGCGCGCGCGGCCTCGGCGATTAGTAACGGCGCGTTTAGATAATACGTCGCTGCTGGATCTAATCTCGGAGGCCGTGGCCGATGATCTCAACACCATGCCGCGTCATGGTAGGCAACGCCGCAATGCAGTTTTCTGCCGCTTCGCCGCGCGCTGCAGACCCCACACACTTTTGCGGCCGATAGTACGTATCATGCGTTGCTACGTAACTGATAGCGTAATGATGCCCAGCAATATTGGTGAGATCGCACCTCTGCAGCGCGCAGAAAGGACATCAATGAAGGAAACGCCCTGACAACGTCAGCGCCATTTTCAATATGGACTACGTTTCCTGAACAAAGGATGGTAAATTTCTTTCCAAGTTATATCAATACAGCTTCATAGAAGCTCTGACCTTATACGAAGCTGCATAACGCGCTGCTAAAGATAGCATATAGAAAAAAAATTCCGTGTAAGCACTGACAGTATGTGCTTTTAGCACTGTTTTGAGGGTACAGTACAGATTCAAGTACATTGGGCGTTGGCCCGGCATTACGTCCGCTCTGGAGAGCAAATATGAGCTGAACCACCAACTTTAAGCTCGAGAGCCGAACGTCGAGCCTCTGTCGTTTACATTGCTCAAGGGTGTTTGCTGGAAGAGCAGGTTCAGTGTGCGAGTGTGTGCCCGCGTTGAGTAATAAGGTATCCACACTGATCGCAATGAGGTTACTCGCGCCATCAGGGAGTAGGATGAACAGAACCGCAAGTAATTGCGATGCGGAAAGGTCTATGCCTGAATCTTCCACCAGGAAGCGGCCTAATTGCCTCTAAGTAGGTGCGCCAGTTTTTTTCACAGCTTTTGAGTAACGCGGGTGCTATAATGCAAAGGGCCAGGGGTAACGTGAGGTAAGTCGCGCGCTTGTAGTCTGATGCGACTTAAGAAGTCCGGAAGAGGCCTCTCGCAGATGACCTGTGCGTGGCAGCCGATCACTTCCGTGGCTAAACAATAATCCCGCTCGCGCACTCGTCAATGTTCTTCGAAGACGGAAGTGTGGTTCATGACGTCAGCCTGGAGATAACATCTATTGGAGCAGGCTTGCTATGCATCTACCTTCGAGGAGAAAATGCCTTTAAAGTTTCATCAGACTATAGTTATGCTTCGTTAGCTCCGACCAACATTACCCGCAGCGGGCTGCTTGAAAGCTGGCTTTTTTGTTGCAATGATATTAGTAAGGAGAAGCCCATATCAGAGAGTTCACCCAACGGTAGTCAGTTTCGCATGTTCACGTTGACAACCCTTCGAATAAAACCGCCAAGAAGTCAAGTCAGGTGCCCTGAATATGAAACATCATTAGATTTGTTTTATCGAACTTAGGCATTCGATATCTAAAAGGCAACACTATGATAAATCAGTACAGCCACGAGAATAATTGTGTCAGAACTTTGTTTTCGTTCATCGTTCATGACGCAGAAACAAAGTGAAGACAAAACTCAACTTCTCAATTTCGCGTCGAGACTTCTGCACCCATAAAACTGAGGCGTCCATTATTTCAAGGTATACATAATGTCGTAAGAACAGCATGTATATTTTCGATTATGGTTCGACAACACTTTGCAGAGCTTGAAGAAAATTTCCAGCCGTGTTCCTGGGCTTTCGACATCGTTGTTGTGTTTAGCACTGTTTTCTTTTTTTTGAAAGTCATGTCAGGGGCTATTAGTAGAAAAGCTTGTGTGGGGGCTAGTTAGAACATACTGCAGGTAAATGCTGTGCTGCAAAGTTGAGGACTGAAAAACTGGACTGACACAGGGAAAGCGCATCTAACTACTCGCCTTCGCTGTGTCAGTCCAGTTTTTCGACCTCAACTTTGCAGCGCAGCCTTTTCCTTGCACTATTAGATGATAAATTAGAAGTGGAGTAGCTGTACATTGAAGAAAGCACACAAACTAAATCCACCAATTGTTCGCGATCAAAAATATCAATTTTATTTCTTTTACGAAAGGTATACTGGGGGGGGGGGGGGGAGGGGGGGTCAAAAGTCTTCAGGACACGCACCCATAAAAATACATGGGATAGTGGCCCGGAAACTTTATAACCTCCTCCCCCCATTCGTTCCAGCAGTTACAACATGTCTAGCACAGAACACGCCCGGGTAATAGAACTAAAGAAAAATCAAGGAAACACACAATAAAAAAGAAAAGTCGGAGGGGTGGGGGAGAAGGCTAAGGCAAGCGATTCCACGTCCCTCTTCCAATCACCCATCTTCCTGCCCCTATATCTGACGTCTCTGAAAGGTACAAGTGGCAATCCCTTTAGAGGCGATGGTCACGGGTTCGATCCCCGGACCAGATGTATTTTTCTTCAACCAGAAGCACTCCTTTCTTATAAATCAGTATGTATTTCCTTATGGCTCTGAGATACAAGCATGTGGTTATCGTCTTCGCAATACGTCCGCCCCATTAGCGGGATTCCACAATACTTCTTAAGGGGACAAATTACTCTTTCGTGATTCCGAGATCACCACGCTTGCTGCAAGAAGATGGTTGGAAGGTGAGAAAACGAGCAAAAATAAAATGCAGGTGCGCGACGCCACCTTAATGTTTTCGCACTATAGTCGCCATGAGGTGATCGATTTTAATGGCGTCTACTAGGGCCTACGTATTTTCTAATCGATAAAAGTGATATACATTGCCCTCTGAGCTAACCGGAGACTCAACATACCAAGTATCAGAAAATTTAGTAGAGTCGATGGGATACTAAACATAATCAAAACCCACTGACGCCGCTATCAGAGATTTTGGCGGGAAATTTAAAAGTGCAACTTTGTCACAGATGCTGAAGTTCCATAGTGTAGTTTGTCAGTCTAAACAGGTTTAGTCTTTCAGTTTAGTGTCTTTTAAACGCCGTGTGTCACGTGTTATGGGACGTTCGCGACACTCACGTGGTCTTGTACTGTCGCGCCAGAGTGGCGTCCTTGAGGACTACCTCCTTGGGAGCATCTGCTTTGGCCACACGGTGGTCGTGCACCCTCTCCACGGCCTGCTGGAGCCGGTGCTGCTGGTACTGGTGCCACCTCTGTGTCGGTGTCCCGTGGCCGACGCCATCGTAGCTCAGGTACTGTCGGTGCTGCGGAACCGTGTGCTGCGCGACAATGGATGGATGGATGTGGCTGTACCCTTCAGATTGGGTGGCGGCTAACGCCGCTTAGCCGTAATACTTAGAACTAACCACTAGATTTATCTTTTTTTTTCCCTTTCAATAGTAAAGTTGGACGGGTACTTTGCAGTGAAGGGTTTAATTTTCACTCGTGCCTTGACTTTAGCCACCAATCATATAACCTCCTTCTAGTTAGGTCTACCCGCTTGAAGTCTATTTTGCCCTCCCTGTCCCTAAACCCCAGTGCTTTGAAAAACTCTGCGCCATCATCCTGAACTATAGGGGGAAGCCCTTTACACAACATTATCGAGTGCTCGGCCGTTTCTTCTTCCTCTCCACATGCACTGCATACTGTGTCTACCCCTTGGTATTTGGCCCGATATGTCTTGGTTCGCAATACTCCCGTCCTGGCCTCAAACAGTAGAGAACTACCTCGAGTATTATCATAGATCCTTTCTTTGGCAATGTCCTGCTTAAAGGTTCAACAGATCTCTAGTGCGGACTTTTTAATCATGCCGATTCTCCACATGTCAGTCTCCGTTTCCTTCACTTTCTTCTTAACAGATAGTTCTATTTGGTTTGGCCACCTGCTGTTTTCTAAGTATTTACCAGTCAATTTCCTGGTTCGCTTCCTCCACTTTGACGCAGACAGCTGAATCGCGCCGTCTTGCGATTAACCGCGGCTCAAACGTCCGCACACTGGAGGTGTTCAGGAACGATCTTACAATCGGTTACAACCAATGCTGTAGGCACGAGGTGCCACAGCAGACCCATGCCCCCCCCCCCCCCCCCTCCTCTTCCCGAATTTTTCCTTCATGGCAAACAGATCGAAAAAATGACCATTTCAAGAAAGCGCCGTCAACTACCACCTCCCTCCCCCAGAAAAAAGTCGTGCTATAAGTCGTTTGCATTTTGATAACAATAAGTACTTCTGCACTGTTGATATAAACACTACGAATTGTAACTAAAAGTTTGTCGTGCCTCGTTAAAACGGCACGTTTCACTGAGCAGTGAAGAAGTGCTCTTCGCTGATATTTTCCAGCAAGCTCAAGTTTACAACACAGAGCTGGTAACACGTACATGTGCCTGTATGGGCAAAGTTACTGTTACCAAATACGCGAGAGGTGCCCGACGTCCCACAAATAGTCAATTGTGCGGGGCACTTATGCAAATCAATGCGCATTGGTTACTGTTAATTTGTACGTGCCACACAAGGAAACAAAGCCAGCAAAGGTCAAGGTTCCTTAAGATCGTTTCCTTCAAGTCTCACATTTCATTAGAGCAGAGAAGTCTCGCTTCCGCAGCACGTAAACACAACTGAGGGACCGTGATCAAGGCAGGATTCAGAGCTGTTCTGACACTATAATAACATCGGTTATCTCAGAAAATGGCAAGGCTTTGATCAAGACTTTGTCGTAACAGATAAAGTAATTGTTGTTTTATAAATTACTTTGTAAATGTGCAGCACTAAGCTTCCATAGGATATGTGATACGGCAATATATAGTAGCTCAACATCCCCCCTCACTTTCAAAAATCACACCTGGATCAGTTGCAGCCGTGTTTTGTCAGTGGTGGTCATGCGCTACGTGGACGACAAATCTGTGTTGTATACGGGAGCACCGCTCCTGAATTAATCTTTCAGCCCGTTTCAACCTGGAAAAACTTGTTAATCGTAAATTAGGGGTCATGTGCACACTGCAGTCACCCCAGTACACTTTAGACGATCTACTTTCTAGCCATCGCCTCGCTGGCGCTATACGATAGGTCACATACCTTTATGCCGAAATCTTTTTCTAGGACTTCGTCGACATCGTCGTAAGTCGGAGCGGCATCTCCGGACAGGCGATCCCGAACGCTCTCGTAGGCGGTCTTGATTTCGTCGAACTTAGCGGCGCTCGCCGTGTCGCTCCCACTGTCCGGGTGGTACTTTCGCGCCAACTGGACGAAGGCTTCTTTTACTTCCTTCATGCTGGATTCTTCGCCAATTCCGAGAACTTCGCAGCATTTCTGCGAGTAAGTGGGGGGGGAGGCAGGCTGTTACTGCGCGCCATGGTCCTCTGCACTCTAATACGGGAAAGCGACGGCTGCGATGCCATACCTTTATGTTCTTATAATTGCTACTTCGTCTCAGAAGAGGCGCAACTCTGAAAACGCGACTGACACGTCCATACGCGGACGCTGCAGGCAAAGCGCAAAATGTACTACGCGACAGCAGCATTTCAAGACATACCGAAACCGCAGCACCAACTAAGCTAAACTAGGCTCCATTTTGATTGCGGCTTGGCTTTGTAAGGCCGTTTTGAGGCGGTGGTGACATTTTGTTCAGCTGCTTAACAAATATTTACTAGTTGTAACATAAATTTTAATAATAAAGTGTTATACACTGTAGTTAATTTGTATCTTTAATCTTTGAGATATAAACTCAAGTCTGAAGGCCTATGCTTTTCTGTACTACAAAATTTATTAAAATTGAGCTCGAAAACGTCACGGCCAGCTTGTTTTAAAAAATCTGGTTTATTATCAGATTTCTCGGGCAACGCGATCGTCGTTGACATCACCCTCTTTCCCGCAGAAACATGGCGACAAGGTCGGAGGACGTTCTCGGTGAAAAGTGGGATAAGTGTGTCGCCGACACGCTAATTAAAGTTGGTGAGTTGATTAACACTGCAGCGAAAGAGCAATGATTAACTGCAGCATTCATTTCTACGAGGCTTAACCAGCGCGCAAGTGATCGTGTTGTTTGCAAGCGCTTTTGCCTCCGGCAGTGTCCTGAGCTGCATTACATCAATTACTTTCCGAAGGAAGTGTAAATTATGAGGAACTCGATTAAGATGCCTGTTTCTTGGAGTTATTATAAGTCGGAACGCTGGAATACCTTTACTTTGTTCTATTTGTCGTGTTTATGTGGTACTAGACGTAGTAATAGAGTGGCATTCATATAAGCCCATATAACCTTCACCCTTTTTTCAGGTACCGGCTTCGGTGTTGGAGCTCTATTTTCCCTGCTGCTTTTCAAAAGTAAGCGGAACTTGTATAGTTCGTTGCGCGACATCTGCTTAGAGCACTACGTAAGCTCGCAAAAGAGTGTCTACTACATGAGGGTACGAATGGCGCGATGTTCACGCCGCACTTTCGTTTCACGCAGGGCGTGCCTGGCCTGTCATATTCGGCATCGGTAGCGGATTCGGGATGGGCTACAACAACTGCGAACACACGTTGAACGAGCCTACATTGCTGCGCGCCTACACACTAAAGGTTCGTGTGGTTGAACTCGTCAGCCTTAATGGGACCACGTTTCAAACGTACCGCAGACTGAACCGCTTGCCTCGCGGGATTCTGCTAGAAAAACATTGTTTTGTTTTCTTTCATTAGCTGGAACAAGATTTTTGTTCGTGTATGTGTGATGCCGCTGTTCGTATATGTTAAACAATTACAGCGTAACAACCCACGTAGCAGAACTTGCTGGCACTTTCAGTTTTTCATGTGTGACTGCGTACTAATTTAGATTAGGGGGGCGGAGGGTAATATTACTATTTATTGCCTCCGTGAAACCCTTTTTAACTCCTTTTATCCGTGCCTGCTCATCTTTACTCAAGGAAAAGAGCGAAACACACGTGACACCTGACTGGTTCGACTGAAGCTGTTCACTACACACTCATTCACGCTCAGGCGTATAGCAAGTAGTACTAGGTTTTGTGGTCCCCTGCTTGCCACTAACTACCTAAATACCTGCAAGCTTAAACTACCCACAGAAAAGAAACATGGTTCTTAAATTTTTCAATAATGTCTAGTTCTTCCACCACATTCTAGTACGTCATACTCTATCATTTTCATGTAATCTGCCATCTGAGGTAGTTTACATGAAGAAATGAAGGCCAAACTTCCATTTCTTGCTTTTATTTTTAATGAAGCCGTGCTATGCCAGCATAGTTTGGTAGGCTTAGTTTTTTTTTTTTAATTATCATTTGCATTACCACTTGTTTGATAGATCTCCAGGGAAAGCCACAGCTTTGTAACATTACCAAATGATGCCAATGCCTACACGAAGTAGGTTTGTGCACTGTTCAGCCATTTGACACTAGCTACACACGACTCTTGTCGTCTGGTGTTCTGAAACTGCAGTCTAATGTTGCTTAGTGTTTTTATGTGCCAGATGAGCGATGCAGTTACAATATTTTGCACTCTGAGTTTCACACTATGGAGTTCCTGCTGCAATATTTTTCTTCTTTGAGTATACGTTTGAAGCATCGCAAAACAATGCAGATACTCGTTCGTCGACAGCCATGTGCACGTGATCCCGGCCAAACTCAAATGAATATAGGTCCCTTGAAGTCAACAAATCTGTAACAAGGGGCAACTTATGGCAAATAAATTCTGTGGAAACTTCCTATACAACCCACATTTTTACCATAATAAAAAGATCTCTTCATTAGCAATACAGTTCACAACCTTTACAACAAGGAAACATCATAGGTCCTGGGCACTTCATTATAAAAGCACTTGAGTCTGTTCTTGGTGTGCCATTAATTAAAATTTAAGCTGATTTATAAAATTGTGTGGCCTATCATAGAGGTAACATCGATGAAGTCTGATTTGTATACCTTGGATTAAAGTGATCAATGTGCACTGGACTGTGTTTAAATATAATTTAAGGCGTGACCAGTGCTACTGTGAGAATAAAGTGGGCTCTCGAAGATAATGTTCCCCTGCACAGCTCATATTCACCTCGTAAGAGGTGCTTGGTCACATTATGGCACAATGCACTATCTACAAAACAAATGTCTACAATATCGTTAAAATTTTCGATAGTGTAATATTGCATGAGAAAGCTTTTGATACTGGTTCTGGGTATATGGACCAATAGCCACTTCTCTCAGACACTCTTTTCATTTTTTTCCTCCTTCCAGGCAAAACAAAAAGATGCAACACCAGCAGCCACCGCGCCCAAGTGATCCTCTCCTGCACGCTGTACTTATGTGTTTACACGGGCTACAAGATTCTAGTTTTATGTTTCTTTATTAAACACTCTTCTGGCTAGTTAATCTTTTGTTGCTTGACTCTTGCACAATTACTTGAATAACAAGACTCAATTGAAATAAGCTTTTTATTTCTGAGGATTTGTTTTACTGCCCCCTGTATCATTCCCTGTAAATTTTTTAAAGGGGACCTTCAACACTTTTTGAGCATGGTTGGAAAACGCTGCAGTTCGGTAGTAGAGGCTCCCGATAACACGCAAGCCAAATATAGCGCAGCAGGGGGCCTGGAAATTGCAATAAATTATCGAAGTCAGCTAAAAATTGCTTTTTTTTTTTTTTCTCAACAAATATCAGAAGCCGCTCAAAAATCTATCAGCCATTGGCCGATTCGAACATGGCGTGCTCGGTCGTTACAAAAATCACCGCGGGAGGCCATGACTAGTCCGTGTGTTCGCAGGCGATCACACTGAAAAAGCCACGCATTTGAAGAAAAAAAAATTGTGCTCAAGGTCGTGAGGCACGTGTAACGTATTTTCTTTGTCCCTTCCATTGCTCTCTACTTAGCTTCCAGCACTTTCATAGGGACAAGAGAAGATAAAATGCAATTGCAGCATGTGACATCTTTGTAACTCCACTCGCACTGGAGGGATTCTTATAATTTTTGCGGCATTGAATTCGCAAGACAATAAGCTCTTCCAGTGAATTCATTCCATGGTTACTTGAAAAAGTGTTTCAGGGCCCCTTTAACATGAGTCACTTGACCAGCACTTTTCAGATTGTGCTGCGTAGATAATGGGGTAGACTTCCTGCGAAAATTTAGCAGGGTTTAAATGCAAACATATGCCAAGTATCAAGATACATCATCTCGCAAGTAATCAGGAGCTTTCTACCAAGGCACCACATAGTCTCTGCATTGCTTTGAAATGCGTAATTCTATCCAAGAGTGAGCCAGAATTGCCAGGTCGTTTCTGACCAGCAACATTCTCACCACCAGGTTCTAAAAGTTGATAGCAATCCTGTCGAACTATTCATACTTCAAGCTTGAATTGTAGATATGATGAGAAAAACTCCATTGCTTAGCTTTAAAGAACCACCAACTCGGTTATGATAACTTCAAATGGAACGGTGTGGCACATTGATCAGTAGGCGATGAACATTTCTACAAAGTATGACATGCCTCTATGGCAGAACAGTTTCTACTTGAATTCCGAGCCATACACTATCCTCCTCAACGAATATTCGCTTGGAGAAAGTCCCATGCATGTCTACATCTCAGGAGCACTGAACATGAATGACTACAAGCTATGAATATGGCTCATCTAATGTGGAGCGACCAACGCCTCTACACGAAACACTGCAAATAAAGATCAGAAAATGCAAAAAAGGAGGTAGTGCTTCTCAAGTGAAGACTACGCAATCCCTCACTTCTGGCAGTTGGGAAAACGTAAGGGTGCAAGCTAATAGGAGAGTAGCAAAACCATGGCTCACGCAAAGAATTGTAAGCAAAGACACTCATCTGCAACGACTTCCGGTTCGAGATGCCACTGCCGTCGCTTTCTGCGCATTCAACCTAGCACACCCGGGAGCCTTTTTTATTAAGTTGCTGCAAAATGCATTGGAGTGCCGTGCGGCTTAGATAAATAACAAATGCATTCAATACAAGATATTTATAATGGTATGAGCGGTCATTTCTATGTTCAAGCAGCACACACCTCTGGACACCTGCATATTGTTTTGCAGCAAAAAGTGTTATCGCGCATGTTTTCACACATACGAAGATCTTTCTGTGCATCATAGCATTACGAAACATCTATTCATTTGTTCTCATGTTGCTCACTCACAGAATTATTTTACTTTTGTGTTGCAAAAGTATCTCAGGTTCGATATAGTGAATCGCAAAAGTAAACAGTTTCTTATTTAAAAAAATGAAATGTGATCACAGTTTTGTGGCTTTTTTTTATGCCTTTCAACCTGCCTTTATGTGTCGTTCCCTTACAGACTCGATCAATGTGTCTCAATGCATGCTTACATACACTTCTGAAGCATAGCCTTCAAATACACGAGTTGTAGTTCAACACTGCCTATCAGCACTTCACGCTCACAAGTCTGAAATAACAGAGCCGTCATACCATGCAAGTGATAGCTCTGAAAGAGACCTCGATCATTTTATGTCCTACGGTACCGTTAAATGAGAGGTCGTTTTGTGCCATGGGCTTTCTACACGCAAACTGGTTCCATAAATTTCACAGACAGCAAATGCAGAATGTGCTATGCAAATATATGGTATTGGTGTATTGATTGGGCATAGTATGGGTACTTATGTTGTCAATGTATGTTCACATTTGGCAGCATTGTTCACATGTGTGAGTGATCTTGAGCTAGCCACCATTTGTGACCGAAAATACTCAATAGAGACTACTTTACAAAACATCGCTCCGTGTTTCAAAGCATAAACACACTCGAAACCCGCTTCTCAACACTTCTCGTGTTTGCCCATTCCCACTTCTCGCTACGTTCTCTGAAATACGCAAAACACCATATAGTATCCATACGCAAAAAGAAATAAAGAGCACTATCTCTGTGCAAACAGCAACAAACCCGTCGCAGTACGTGCTTCCTCTCCGACTACACTGCGTAGCAGGCACCTTGAAGCAGCGAAGGGATAGGCCTCGAACCGGAGGTGCCGTAGCAGACAAAGTACCATTTTGCTATCCACCTATTGCAGACACTGGCTGAGACAAAGCATGACATTGTTGCCTTTGGCAGTGAAGCTCACCTTCAGAAGGCATGACAGGAAGACTTAACTTGTAAATATGAAGAAGTTCTTTTGGTAAAACTCTTCTTCCTATATGTAATCAAAAACTTCAGTGGGATCTGATGAAAAAACTTTTCCAAGTTCGTTATTGTGATTGAAGGCATTAAGGATGATAGTACTTGAAAAATATTCATATTTCCATATTCATGATTTCCTGTAAAAAGTTACCTTAACTTTTCGGAGCTGCCACAGTGATCTAATGGTTACAGTGCTTGATTGCTAACCCACAGGTTGTGCGATCGAATTGAAGCCGTGGCGGTGCATTTTCATTAAAGGCAAAATAGCTTGAGGCCCACATTACATTTAGTCTACATCAAAATATCTCCAAAAGGTCAAAATTTCCAGAGCTTTCCACCATGACATCTCGCATAATTATATTGCGGTGTTGGGATGTGTAACCCCAACAATTATTACTATTATTAACTTCACTTTTATGAGGGCAGTGGGGAGCACACTTTTAACACTGATGCATCTTAACATGCTGCTTTTATATTTTGTTAGATTAAATTTAATTTTCATCTTTTATGATGCCGAGCATAGTCTCATTGATTGTGGAAAAAACAGCAGTGTGCAAATCATATCTAAGACAATGAAAAAGTTTGAAGAGAACATGATTAACCACTATAAAATGAAGCCAGCACATCTCGTAATGCAGCTCTTCAAAAGAACAGTCGCACAGAAACCTGGTATAAAAACTACAAGGTCGGTTTTATACCGCCACGTACACCAGTGACTAGTCGGCAAGATGCTTCAAATATGAGGACCACCCAACATAGCTTGTGTTGGTAAACAGAAAAGCACACTAATACGACTGCTTATGAGCACTAAATTTTAGTGAAGCAGTTCAGGTAACAGCTTTCTTTTTTGGCTAGCATAGTATGGCAACTGCACACCACAAGCACTTATATAATGAATGCCCGATACAAATGTTGCAGAGACTATCGTGCACTACCGGACAAGACAAAACCCGCTAGCTTAAGGGGATGACATTTTAATAACTTATGTACAATGCTGGAATGAGTGCTGAATGAACTCCTTCACTCGAAGGGAAAGCACGAACACCATCTCGTTCACGAGTCTGGCATGTCACCTCCAGGAACCATCTAGGAGGAAACACAACAAGACAAAAATTGTAATAATCATAACAAAGTATTTCAGGATATTGATAACTGCATACACTGCGAAGCTTCATCAGCACTACTCACCATCGTTATGTTGTTGCCGTTAAGAAGGATTTGGTCGAGTTTCGTAATCCTCCTGCCTTCGGGCGTGCTCTCGCTATAACGGAATACATTCGAGACATCGTTACATCCGGTACACATCCACAATGAGTATCAAAAGCGCGGCATTAGATATAGACTCACTTACTATTCCGTAACATCCTCGAGCACCATATCTGTAGCAGGGTAGTGGCGTAAAGGGCAAATCTCGACAGAATGGCACGGAGTATTACACGAACAATAAACAACTACTTCGCGTGTTGCGCTTTCTCTCAAAGGATACTGACGAAGTCGTCAAAGCCGAGGAGCGTTCCCACAATTTCTTTGTCACTTTTCATGATTATGTGGATCTTGGAGCCAATGCACTTGTCAATCAGCTCTGCAAAAGTTTCACAGTAAACAAAGTTAGCAACTCAAAAAGTTTGTTACGCGCCCGCGAGAGTACCGCCGCTAAAGAACCATTTTCAAAGAACCAACTGTACCTAGGGGCAGCAGACTTGAAGGGTTTACTGCAGACATCGCCATCTTCTCGATTTAACACAGCCGGAACTATTCAGGTCAATAAAATTGCTTACAAAGGCGAGGATAATGGTCTTCGCGCGAAACGATTGCTGGTCGTTTTGACTTACAGCCGTCGATTCGGCTTCACTTGGCCGACTTCGCGCGAGTGACCGTAAAAAGAGCGATGGTGATCATGATATTACTCAAAAACGTAACTTTTAATACTAGTTACTAAAATAACGCTAAAGAACAACAAATGCTGGTGCGCTGAATTTAACAACGTTCGGCGTTCACAGTATTTTTAAGCAGTATTTTAAATTTATTTGTTAGCTTTAGCCTGCTTTAGCTTTTGTCTAGCCAGTCCAAGAAGCCAGCAAAGCCAGTATTGATTTTTTTTTCTTTAGTTTGTTCGTGCGTCTTGTGCTGCGCACGTGCTGTGAACATGTGGTTTGTTCACTGTTTGTGAAGCGTGGAAGCTCTTGCGAGCCGGCTCAGCGCTGAATCAACAGGCGCTTTTGTCCTGTGAACAGTCGCACTGGTTCCACTTTGATCGGGAAACAGAGCGATGGCGAAGATAGGCGACGGCGTGGATCCCGTAGCGGCTCTCGGAGCGGCTCAGTTGCTCACAAGACCCGCTTCCGAGTTCGGCAATGATCCCACCGTCGAGTCCTTGTGGGCAATCAAAGCAGTGGAGCACATGGAAGTATATTTCAACTTAATTAGCGCCGTCGACGCAAAGATCTTGAAGCTCACACCACACGACGAAGACATCTATAACACTTTCAGGGAACACTTCCCCAACTTGGATGTCAAGCGTCTTGTAGAGTCTGACATCAAGAGCGAAGAATCTAAGAAGGAGTGGAGGGAGTTCTGCATGAAGTTCGAGAACGTCGTGGAGGACTTCAACTTCGCCACCCTTCTTCGACTGGACTGTGAGCAAGACTATGCTGAGGAAAATACGACACTCGTTCCTAGGGTACAGTTCTACGCTGTAGAGATTGCGCGGAACAGAGAAGGGCTCAACGACGCCGTGAGAAAAAACTTCCTTCCGAAACCGAGCCCTCAGAAGCAGTGAGTGTAAGTAGCATTTAGCCATGGAACTTTCTCAAACACTTGCCTTGTTCCTAGAGGACTTCTGCGGTCAAGTGCACGTGGCGGACATTCCCCCAGTCGAAGCTATTGGCAGCCTTGCCAAGGGAAGGCGCAAGCCCTCGGCGGACTACAGGGTTTTCGTCGGAAAGCCGAGCCACGTAAACCTGCAGCCACACTTGGAGCGTCTCGTGCGCGAACTATTGACTGCTAGCGCGTCCTGGACTATACCACTGAGCAGTTGCCAAATCATGTCACCCCGATATCTCGAGATTTCTCTGAACCGCGCCGCAGCTTACAGATCGTTGTTCAGTTTTATACTTGGCCCGCAAAGAGCAAGCGGTCAGCAGCTGGAACGGAGTGGCGGCGAAAGTGTGCTCATTTTTGTCCCACACGCGGACGAATCGTTCACCGGCATACGAACTGAAATGCTAGCTGCGTATGCCTCAAGATGCTATGGCGACAGGGATGTGGGTGTTAAAATCTACACCAGCAAGCCATCGCAATGTGCTGCAGCGCCATGCTTTTGGCGATGTAATCGCATGCGACCAAAGCTTTTCCTCTGGAACAAATGAAAATTATGTAGTGACTGATTACATTAAATTTTTTGAAGGGGAGGATACATTTGATCTAAAGAGCTATGTTGCTAGCGAGGGTATTGACGTATCAGGCTACGACATACATCTTGGCAAAGTGAGCATTGAAAGCCCTGCATTTGTGATTGCTCGCCAGTTGGCGCACATCCTCAAAAATTACAGCGACACCAATTCTATCACTGTTCTTGTAGTCATTCCAGCCTGTAAAGGTTTTGCTTGTACAACAGGCTGGACTCTTGTGCACAACAATGCTTCCTCGGGATCAGCTTAACAAGCTTCAGCCAACGGTGCTTTACTTGATTCATGAGGGAACTTTTGAACTTCCTGATCGTTCCTTCGACAATTACTTAGAACAGAGGAGGACTTTTGTGACGGGAGCCTTTCAGCGTACTCGCGAAGACTTGTCTGCCTCTGCCGGAAGTGGCAGTTTTGAAGACGAGTCTGCAAGGGACGAGTGACAGCTTACAGGTGGCAATCGATGTGCTTGTGGAGACTGAAGTCACTCACGAGTTCCTCTCAAGCAAGCAAAATGTCAAGTTAAAACTGTGCGAGCGCTTGCGTCATGCAGAGAAGGGTCACTACTTCTCCCAGTACACCTTGGCTAGGATTGCTGCAATACTAGACAAGTATGAATCGTCTGTAAAAGCAGGTGATACTTCATTCTATATCGAAGTCATATGCAACTTTTTTAGGCACTTTCTGCCTGCCATGTTGCTGCATTTAGGGTAGTCACAAAACATACATTGTGGGTGCTGTAGACGTAAAATCTTTCACTATAAAAAAATACAGAACTGCCATTGCGTATTACTTGTAAATGCCAGTGCAAAATTGAAAGTGTACTAACTATAATTGCATGTACAGTCGAATGGTTTATTGTAAGCCTTAGGTGATCACCTTCTATCAACTTGTTGATAATGCGACAGGCTTTAATATTTTTCACTGGTATGCATAAGCCTACATAAGTAATTAACTTGATAGTAGCTTGTCAAAGTCAATTAGTAAGATAACTTCAAAGCATAACTGTTAAACGCCATCAGTTTAGTGGAAAAAGTTAAAAACACAGCAAGAATGTCTGGCACCCATACTCTCATTCCTCCATTTCACATTTCATTGCTCAGAAGAGTCACCGCTTGCTTGACTCCTGAATGCAAATGACACTGTTCAGAATGGTAAAACCAGTGCAGATTTGGGAATGTTCCTGCAATAAACCTTTACATCAGTGTCATAAATGTGTGAGAGTGATGTGCATCTCGACTCACGTGACAATCTCTGGCACATTCACACTTCATTTAAGGAGGGAAAGGGAGTGAAAAGAATTGGTCAGTCCACTCTACGTCCTAGAAGTACAGTCTATGCACGAGAGTTCTCTCATCGAAAAGTGAATTGTCAGAGCAGCCAAGTTAGCATGTTTCTGCATGTTGTCCAGTTGTCATAAGGTGATCAAAACTTTGCACTTCATTGTTTTAGACTCAGACAGCTGTTTTGAAAGTCGTTTTCTTTGTCTGCTTTAAAAAAAATAAAAGCTCTACTTATGTCACACGAAGCTGCGTCCAAGAAACAAACACTCGAGCATGAATTTGTAAAGAAGTGCAGCGGAACATTCTTACATTTTCTCATGTACAATGTTTTTGGCAGCCACTAACAGCATTGAAACTGTACCTACAGAGACTTACGTATAGAATCCCCATTTCACACATCGTTCCCACAATAAGTATTCCTGCCTGCCACATTGCCAGCTGTCGTTGTGCTGGATCTGCCGAGAAGCTGTGTTACTAGTTAAGTGCTTGTACTGTGCTAGAGTCCTATTCTGGCATAGGCACAAAGAAAAAAGAATAGAACATCAGACTTTCACCTATAACTTCCCTTCACTGTTGAGTAAATTGTTCTAAATAAAGCTATGTGGGGGCATCTGTTTTGTCACTTAGCAGCACTTTCTTCCCAGATTTAACTGCATTTCTCATTCTCGACTCCCAGGCACCTATCCAGCACTGTGCCGGCTGGAAGACATTGACTTTGGCCTGCTCTGCGAAGAGTCCGAGTGGCTGTTGTGGCACAGACTGTTGCTTTGCTGGCAGCTGCTTCGAGAGCCCATGCCCCAGACTCTACCAGGCAGTGTCAAAGTGGAAGTGAACGCACACACTCTCCTCAGAGCCCTGGAGGCCCTCTGCACAGAGTTCAGTGCCTACTACAGCAAAGTCAGGGTTCTCGTTCATCCAGAGCCTCACCTGAATGCCATGGTGTTTGCACGAATTTGGCTCATCAAAGTTGTCCAGAGGACAGTGCTGTGTGTGCTCAACAGGTTCGGCTTGAACGGGTTGGACAGGATGTGAGTGTGAACGTCCTTTTTTGTCTGGTTCTGTTTTTCCTGAAATACTTGAGCAGTGTGTGGTTTGTTTTACATTTGACTTCATTTTGTATGTGAAAATGTTCCTGTCTGTTGGTGTGTTGACTGTAATTCAGTTTTTTTTTTTTTTTTTTGTGGTGGTGGTACAATACAGCTACAAACAGTTTAGTTTCAGTCACTCAGTGTAAGAAAGGTTTTTCTTTATGACGAGTTAGGCATAGCTGTATGAAATTTGTTCATATTGGTACCAGATCACGGTTGTCCATAGGGCAGTGCTGTGTGTGCTGAACAGCTTTGGCGTGAAAGGGTTGGACAGAATGCAACCGTGATGCAATTCAGTACTGCTTGGGTGTGTTCGTGTACGTCTTTTTTTTTTTTTTTCGAAATACTTGGGCAGAGTGTGGTGGTGTACTTTTCACTTTATTTTGTATGTGAATGTTCTGCTTCGTTGATGTTGATGTTAATGTTCCAGGATTCCTTTTTTTTTTTTTTACTCTGAAAAGACTGCACAATACAGCTACAGATGATTTCAACGGGGCCTCTGCATGTATCAACATATCTTCCCTTAGCGGCGAATTGAACATGTAGTATGGAAATATTTTATTTTCAAGGTAATGGTACTACGTCAAGGCTGTCCAGGAAATGGTGCTTTCTGTGCTGAACAGGTTCCGCTTAAGAGGGTTAGATGGAATGCGACCGTGATGCACTCTAGTATGGCTGCCTTAGCATAATTTTCTTTCCCTGCAGTACATGGACAGAGTGTGGCGACATTATTTTTCAACTTCATTCCTTATGTGAATGTTTCTGTCTGCTGATGTGTTCATTGTTACGTACATTTTTTTTCTTATTAATCTTTCTCTCTTTCTTTCTCTTTTTAAAGGGTGGGACAGTTCAGCTGCAGGATGATTTCATAATGGGTCACATTGTGTATGAACATTTTCTTATTGGCTAGTTAGCCATGCTGTGTGAAATGTTGAACGTAATGGCACCTGATATTCAGAAATCAGGCTACTTTGTGTACAATACGTTTTAACGTTTGTTTGCATGGAAATGTTTCCTTTTTGACACTGTTGATAGTAGCTGGATACAACAACTGGGCATCTCCAGATGGACTGTTCCAAATTACAATGAAACAGCATACAACTTCACAAAACCATAACTGCACTTTGTGCTGTTGCGAGTGTCTGCTGTAGAAAGTACGCCCATCTACGTGGGAGCATTCGCTGCACTGAATTTCTTGTGTGTTCGTATCGCTTTTCGTACCATTCGTATCGCTTTTCATAGCATTCGTGAAGTAGCGTCAGCTTGCAAACATCTTTCTACACTACTTGATCATCTTTCGTCCATGTTTCCCAGCAGTAGGAGCGAGCAACGGTCCCAGAAAGAATGTCTTGACAACTCAGCCTGTCAGCGCACAAGACTTGTTCAGGTTATTATGCAGACACAGTGTCAGGTACAGGAAACTAAACATGCATTGAACGAAATTGAAGAACTGTTTATTCTGCAGACGGCCTGTGCAAATTACTTGGTTAGTTTTGTTTGCTCTTTACGTGCTGTGTATTGTTTATCAATGCAGTTTTTTTAAGTCAACACAGTGTGTTGTTTTTAATAATCACATACTTGAAATATGTTTATTTTCAATGTTTACTCCCGTTTTCGTATTGTGCCTGAGAACGTAGACTGCAAGTTTTTGGCAGGTATGTTTTCATACAGGAGGTATATTAGTACGACAGAATTCTTCACATCGCCTAGCGATTTCAGATTGTTGAAAGAGCGTAGTGTCATAAGCATTGTGCATTTATATAAGTTGCAGTTTGCAGGGAACACCCTTGCATGCATGTTTAAATTGTCATCCATGTTCTTTCCTGTGGCCTTGGAAAAAATTTACTTGTGCTCATTAAAAGGGTTGATAACCAAACCTTTTGTGGCATTGTGTAATGCATTATTGTAATGTCACTAAGCATCTGCCAGAAAAATGATGTTAAAAAAAAAACACTGCAAGCAAAGACTGGCAACTGCGGTGCATACGTCCACACTATACATGCAAACTCTCTAACCACACAGGTGAAATTGTCACTTTGCAGGTGCAATAGAAGATCATGAATAAATAGGCAAACTAAATTACTTCTAGGCATAATGTCCCTAATCAACAGTTTGTCATAAAAAATACTGCAGTATAATTCATTTGGGTTAGAAGGATAAATCTACACCCATTCCATGCTTCACAAACTTTTTACTATGCAGTAAGGCATTTAGAAGCTGACGAACAATGACTGTTATAACTACAGGCTGTTGCTGAAATTCAATTTAATGTCTTGATACCACTTGGACAAGCATACACTTCTAGGTATGACAAACTTCAGTCACAAGGCCTGCTCGATTTTCTGATTTGTACTGATTTGGCAGCATCATTCTTGCATCTGTATGTCACTCATTAAAAACAATGTCTAAAGCTAGGAAAGGTTCTTGGAAGCAAGCCAGTCGTATAGGCCCAGACATGCACTTTCAGTGCTGCAAGTTCAGTTGGTAGTTGGCGCTCGTAAACGTCCCTCTTTGCTTTTCTTGCTCACTGTGGAAAACGAAGAGGAGACCCGGACCCGAATGCTGGCTGCATCCAAGCTGGACGAAGACTTAGGAATCCATGTCGATTCTTCCTCGCTCGACGAGGACAGCGAAGAAGTCGATGCATCCTGGTATTGCCGGGTGGCGACCTCGCCAAGGACAGGGATCTCGGCCACTTTCAGGGACAGCAGAGGTTCGTCCACGTGCGCTGTTGCTGGTAGCACATTGGCGGTGTCTGTCTGAGTCCGATAAGCAAGGCGGCTTGCAGACAACATTGGTTCCTCAAGACCACTTTCCTCTCGTATTTCCACTTGAACTTTGATGAAGCTCATGTTTTTCACTAGTGACTGGGCTCCTTGAGTAGTAGTGCCGTTCTCAATTAGCATAGCTTCCTTTTGCCGTTTCCAATAGAGGATGACGAGGTCCGGAGGTAACGTCTTCAAGAGGACGCGCCGCAGCACAGTGAAATATTCGCCTGGAGACCCTCCGAGACCTAGGGCGTTGATCTGGAAGGTGGCTTCATCATATAGATTTATTAGCTTGGTCACGTCAGAGGAACTTCAAACTGGTGTGAGTGACAGCAAACTGTCTAGATGGTCATCGACTGGCATGTCGCGACATCCGAAGTGGTTGAACAGGATCTGAATGGCGACGTCGTAGTTTGCCTCGTCCAGGCTAATATCTTGAATGGCTGCCTTCCCTGCTTCAGTCAGATATGTCAATAAGTATTTGAACTTATCGAATTTCGAAATACAGTCATTTTTGTGGATGCTGGCTTGGAACTGGTCCCAAAAACCGTGCCATTCGTGTGATTCTCCGGAAAAACTTTGGATGTGCAGCTTGGGCAGTGCGATGCGAGACGGCGTAGGAAGACCGGGCAAAGGGAAGGTCGCGACCGGCAGCGATGTGTTGCTTTAGTGCAGAATACTCTATTTTCGTACTCACTGGCTGTGGTCAGGTGCGCTATCAACTTTTCGTAATGAAGAGCAGCCTAAATATCCTTGTTCAAGTCCATGAGTTTGGTGTTCTTCGCGACTATGAGGGCAAGTACATATTCAAGTTTTCAACAGCGGTTGACGAGTCTTCCAGCAGGGCATCGAGCAATAAGATGTGTTGCGTGATCGTTTTTCGAAAGAGCGGTGCTTGGTGATGAGTTGATTCATGGACGAGAGTCGAGGACCAGACGACCGGGTGGGTTTCGGCATCAGAACGAAGTGTGAGAAACGAAGGAGACTCGAACCCGAGCGTCTGGCTACATTCAAGGTCAACGGAACAACTGCACAAGCCAGCGCCCGTGACTCTTGCTTGTGCCTGCCCCCTTCTTCCTTCTTCATTTGCAACACTCGCTATGTCACTTTTCTTTCAGCACCAGCGTGCTTGTGCCACAAGCTCGAGCATTAAGATGCACTTCAGTGGGCAACATTTCAAATCCTTTTGTTTTCTGTAATCAAGACAACATATTGAAAATCTTCAGTTCAGCTGAGAGAAGTTTGCCAAGAGCCTCTCAGCATTATAAAGCATTTACTACATAAATTTAATGAACACTAATATTAATCTAACAAAACTGAAAGGCAGCAGTACCTCTGCCAACAATACACACAGATTTGATTCCCTCCATTTCGAAAGGTCAAAACTCAAAAGGAACATCAAGTTTTTCATTTACAGCTGAACGTTTTTCTTCGTTCCTGCGCTCAAAGAAACGTTTCATTTGGCGAAACACACTTGAACACGAGACGAACAAAATAGTAAAGAATGAACATAAAATTTACAGTTTCGAAAGAAAATGCTGTTTCTGATACAGACCAAGTGTCACACTTAATATTTGTACAAAGATAGTTTGCAGGTGTATGCCAGTCCAAACAAATGATATATTGAAAACAAACAAGAGTGTACTGTTATTTCTTAAACTCTCCGCAGAAAGTGCGACGGGTCTGCTTGCTGGGTTTCTGAAAGGTGTTTTACTGCCAAAAACACCTGCAGATTCCTTTCGATCCCCTCTCCATAACAACTCCCGTAAATTGCTGTATCATGCTATAAATTTCCAATTCATGTCCGCACAAATTGCTAGCTGACCTACAAAAAGGTTTATGAAGTTACACAATAATATTGTGGCCTTCGTGGTTCAGTTGTGCTTAGCAGAACACTAATAAAAGTGATGAACAATGATATGACACATTCTTGCATCGAGCGTTATAGTGAAATGGACATACAGTAGACTCTCAGTAAACAATGCAACAACTGCCTCCAGCGCGATTGGTTTCATATCCGAGTTCTGCACCCCTGTTCACCTCTCACTAAACGGAACTCCTGTTAAGCAAAATACATTTTCCTGGTCCCTCAGGTTTCGTTTGCAGAGAATTTACTGTACATTCACTCGTTTTTTATCATTATTTATCATATTTTCCCACAGTGTTATACTAAGCACACTTCAGCCGTGAACATTGACCAAACAGGCTCGTTCAATGTTTCATAGGTATGGTGGTATATGGTTATATAATGTGGTATATGCTAGGTAGCTCCTAATTTACAAAAATTTATAATTATGTTTCAAAGCAAAACATTCAAGACTCCATTGCATGTTGTGTGGTTAGCTATTATTTGATTGTCGCTTGGTGTCAAGCACATTGCCACACACCACTGCCACAATGAAAGCGGTTGTGGCAGTCCTCTAAGTAGCTAAGTTGTAAAAATTTGGCAAGTTTTGCAGAGCATGCACACCTGCACGGCAGCAGCAATCTATAGTTCCCATGCGGATTCGCACAAGTTTCACAACACGCTAAACCGATGACACTTAAGGTTATGCTATCCTTGAATTTTAAGCACTATGTTGAAAGCCGAGTTTAAATTGTACACCTGTTCCTGACAACCACTCCACAATGTTTATCTTTTAAATGCCATGAATTTTGTTAAAATCAGCACGAAAGTAGTGCAACGCGATTGCTGTCATGGACTATTGAAAAAGAACAAGTTGGGTAAACTAAAGACATTCTTTCGTTATCAGCATTATTTCGGTTTGCACGTTTACTTTGAAGACCCAAACTACCTTGGCAGCCAGCATAGTTGGCTGTCGAAGACAGTGTTTCGAGCTTATCAATTGCAAAGGCCTATTAAACTCTGAGATTTCTTGTTCATATTCAATTTTCCTGTATCATTGTGTCTCAAATGTACAGTGCTCGAAATCGGAACGAAACATCACGACTGTTTAGTACAACTGGCATGCGAACTTTTTAGGGATAACCGCATCACGTTGCAACGAATCAGGCTGCTGAAGGTAACACTAGCATTGATAAAAGTTTTCAGTCAAGCTTGCGCTGATATGACACAAATGAAGGCAGAGTACGCGAAAGTATGTGCATTACTCAGCCTTCAATTGTCATGTTTCAATGCATGAGCGCTGTACACAAACAGCATACGTACAGGATTCATACCCAAACTCTATACGAGACTAACTGGAGTGCATGCTATGAAACTCAATATCAACGCAGTCAACACAGCAACAAGAACCAGTATCACAGGTGTGCTTTTTTTTCGTTTGCCATTACGATGTTAAACTTGCATGTGCTTGCCCAAACATGAAAAGCATGCTCAGTTATCGCCGCTACACACCACTAAATGTGAAAAAGCTTTGTGCAAAACGCGGCTACCATGCACATATTCTCCCGCACCACAAAGGGCAACTTTTGCGACGGTGAAAATGGAGAGATCAACAATGGAATGAACTTGAGCTTCAACAATTTGAGAAAAAATGAGGTCACCACTATGTGAAAACTAATGGCACAGATAAGGATTAATATGAGCTAAGTCATACTGGTTAGACACTGCCAGTAAATTCTAGGCAGCCTGAATATTCTTTTTATTTTTGTTTTGTTTTTTTGCAGGTTTATATATTCCCACTAAAGTCGTGTAGTACAAAAAAAGAGCTAGCATGATAGTGTATATACGTTATAACCGAGTTCTATGCATTTACTAGGCGCATTTACTTTGCACCCAATGACGTAAATGACACATTGCCAAGAAGCTGTAGTTACGTATACGAAAAGCTGAATATGGCAATACTGAAAGTGCTTGAGTTTCCACACCACCCACAAAATGGTGCTAGCTGTAAGGAGGACAGTGGAGCTCAGAAGCAAAGGGGGTGAAGCGTCCTTGCAAGCAGCAAGGAACAGAAGATGACCCGCAAGGACAGCACGTGTGATGCCACTTTTTACTTTTTTTTGCTGCTGTTGATGCTTAATGACTGCGCAAAAAAGCTAATTATAGCCCGCTCAAAAAACTACACTCTATATCTCTCATAACACTGAATACTTAAGATTATACGTTTGTGAAAAAGTGTTATCACATGGATGCAACCAGTCACTGCTCGTTGATTAGAGCAAAGTGCTGAACGACTTCCCACCGACAATACTTAAAATGCAACACTAAATGTAGTAAAAGGGGCATGTGTGTGAACACATGACTTTTCAGTAACTACCTGGTACTGGCTCTCAGCACAACTGTCTCTGACAGTACTCAATCAGCCCGCAAGTGTATAAGAAGGGCGAAGGTTCAACTCAACATTTTGTGCAAGGCGCAGGGCTACATCGAAAGTAAGATAAACAGAAACCCAGCCCATTTCGTAAATGATGTTCATTACATCTAGTAGGTAGGTAACTGGTTCGTACACAATACCACATAGTATTGAACTCAGCTTCAGAACATGTATTAGTAGTAAAATATTTCTGTACGCACTCGCAAGCATGTAATACCATAGCGTAACTTCTAACCATGACAGACGAAACAATGCCACTCAAATGAGATAAAATAGCAGTACCACGTTGCTTGACATGATAGCAATAAATATTTCTTATGTTCAGCAGAGTCAGTCACTCACTAGGTAACTCCATGTGTGTTGCTAATTGGTAGTGTGATAGCCACATAAGAATCCACAGACGGGTGAGAGAAGGTTATTGTTAGGTGAAGTACTTCGAGCTAACTTAGACACATTGTGAAAAAGGAACCCTGTATACATACTACAGGCTCATACATTCACACAAGCTATAAGCCACTCTCAACAAAACATAGCAAGTTATCGTACGGTTAGACATGCCAGTGATGGACACTATGTATGTCTGATAGCAGTTGGTTGCTAAATTCCTAATGCCCTAGACATCGCTGATCAGTGAACAAGCGACTAGATGTTAAAACGTTAAAAACTGCACAATAACTAAAAGAACATAAGGGCACACTCTTTCGGTGCCCCCACATGAACACTGGAACTAAAGCAACGTAACAGTCATGACAAAATGAGAGGCTTCAAGTCAATAACGAAAAGAAAAACAGCGAAGCAGTTTTATCTAATTTGTACACAGTTAAGAAATGTATGTGCACGCCAGCAATGCGGTCCTGCTGTATGAAAATATCAATTATAACCCTGTACACTGAACTTCTCCGCCACACCTTTGTACACAAAGAGCAGCCACGAGAAAAAACGCAAAGCAATGAGAGAGCACGCGTGGCTCTCAGGTAGTGTCCAGTCGAATCGTCCTCAATTTCTGCCGGTCAGCAAGGATGCAGGCCGCCTCGTTCGACCCACCACAGTAGTGTGACGACGAGAAGACAGTCAACAACTTGCCCTTCTGCTGTACCTACAGTGGATGACAAACACAGGCACGAAAGAAAAGTTTCATTGGTTGAATTGAATTGAATTGAGTTTTATTGACATAAAAATAGTGTACAGTACACAACAGTGTAAAAAAAATGCATCTTAATCCCTAGCCAAAGGCTAGTTGGGATTCATTCAAAAAAGTAATTTAGAAAAGGGCATGTCATTTACACACAAAAGAAAGTTTACAAATGCATGTATTTTACACATGGAGAACTGAACATAACATAATGAATTTACAGTGCTTGGCGAATGATCATGATCATGGATGCAGGCAGAAAAAAAAGAAACAAAGAAAGGTATATAAGGCATCGTTTGAGAACATATCAAACTTCACAACAAATAATTGAGTGCATTGTGATATATGCAAACTAATCATGACATATGTATCTGTATAGCATAACAATACTGATTAAGGACTGAAAGAAAATAGATTTTAATGCATACATACATATTATATAATTGCAGATAGGCGTTGGTCATGTGCCAGTTGTAGGCCTAACTCATTGCACGAAATTTCACTTTGGCTAAGTTCGTTACTACTGAGTACACTGTACACAACTGAGGAAATGATAGCAAGGGCACAGGGTAAGTTCATTGTAAAAATCCCTCAGGCACCACTGAATAGGGTTGAAGTGAATGGCTTGTGGTGGTTTGTGCCATGACACAGGTTCAGGCACACCATCTCCAAGATGTTTCAGTACCCTCCTACCTCAGAGGTCAGGCTGGGGATTTACATGTTCAAGCGCACACTACACCGCCATGCCACATCCAGACATTTGTGGCACCACTAGTATTGCCAAAAAAGGGCAGGATGGGGAAGCTGGCGACGAAAAAATTCGTAAACACAAGTATGTGCTTGAGCATCGGTTGCGACAAGTTGACTTATCTTTTCTTCAACGCCGGCCCGAGCACACAACCCCGGTAGGTGGATTTTTTAAATGCGAAGCATTTAAAATTTCTCATACATTTAATTTAATTTCTCATACATATTAATTTCTTATACATACATACATACATATATGTATACATACCCCCCCCCCCCCCCGCCCGCTCATTTACCCATTCACCCACCTACCTACCTACCTATCTATCTAGCCACCTACGACTTCTAGCTCTCCTGGCCGTTTCGATAATGGTATCGATACCCAACTTGGTATGGCATAACATGACTGTATGAAGAACATATTTGTCTTGTAATAACATGAAACTCATGATATGTATGTCATCAATGTCATGATTTACATTTTATGGTCCTGCAGCTCTTGCGGTAGTTTCGTTCACATGGCATGTTGCAAAACTGATATGGTATGACATGATTGCATGGCGAACACAAGGGACAGACCCTGGCATGAAAATAATAACATGCGTGCCATGTAACAACATGATTGCATGACATGCTCATGACGCGCACGCGGCCTTTTCGCTAACGTCAGATATACCAAATTTGGTATTACAGTACGTGGAGGAATGACGAAGGTATGTGACTGGTGCAAACATGATAATCATGAGATGCGTGTCATGTAACATGACTACATGCCACGCTAATGATGCGCTGGTGGCTGTTTCGCTAGCTTCACTTATACCAAATTTTGTATTATGGGACGTGAATGGATGACAAAGGTATGATACTGGTGTAAAGATGATAAACATGAGATGCGTGTCATGTAGGAACATGACTACATGCTAAGCCCATAATGCACTTGCGGCCATTTCGCTACCATCAAATGTACCAAACTCTGTATTACAGCGACGCGAAACAGACATCATAGGTAAATGACACATCCAAACATGATAATCCCGACATGCGTGTCATACAACAACATGACTACTTGCCACACTCATGAGGCGCTTCGCGGCCATTTCGCTAGCTTCACATATGCCATATTTCGTATTACGTGACGCCAATAGATGACGAAGGTATGTGATTGGTGCGAACATAATAATCATGAGATGCGTGTCATGTGAGAACATGACTACATGCCACAGTCAAGGCGCCAATACATTTCGACACGACACGGTGCGCGTGCTCGCTGGCGTTCAGTTCGTCGCGTCACGCCCAGCGTTGCCACGCCAGGCGCCGGTCCAGCCATATACTCACAGGTGCGCTGCGCTGCGTTGCTTTGAAACATGCGCGTTTCAGCGCGTCCCGCGTCCCTCTATCACAAGAGGGAGACGCAGTGTTGTCTAGGTAACGCATCAGCATAGAGTAATGTTACTCTATGGCATCAGCGTGAAATGCAGCATGTCGCATACTGCATTTCACGCTGATGCCATAGGTTTGGTTGGCGTCGGGCCGGGCCGACGGACGCTGGTCACACCTGGCGTCAGACTAGAGTGCTCGCGTTTAGCTAACGTAGCGTCGCTGTGCTCAGCGTGCGCATGCGTCAACGCTACATTGGAGTATATTGGGCCCTTCATGATGCACTCACGGCCATTTTGCTAGCTCCACATATACCAAATTCGGTATCCCGTGACGTGAATAGACAACGAAGGTAAATGCCATGATAATCATGACATGCGTGCCATCTAAAACATGGCTACATGCTACGCTCATAGCGTGCTCGTGGCCGTTTCACTAGCTTCCCGTATACCAAATTTCGTATTATGTGACGTGAATGATCGGCGAACAGCAAATTCCAGGCTAAATTACGATAATCATGACATGGAAGTTATGTACGGCATAATTTACCTCCACCTTGTAACATTGTGCTGATTTTAAAGTGACATATCAACATTTCTCATTCATGCTTCGCATAGCATCGATTCCCACTATACGTGGTATCTGCCAATTCTTTTACCACATACTGACTATGGCTGAATATATGTGTGTAGTGTGGTGGACCATACATTCACTCAATGCTTTTCTAATGTCCAATTCGGAATACAGACTAAAATGTGTGTGGCCAAATGCCCCTGTCCATAAAACCATATATTTATGCTGCTACCACAGGTCAAATTAAAATGATACAGGTTCTACAAGATTCCTTTTATAGGCCTACATACCTTATAGGCCTACATAATACCGTATTTACGCACATAATTTGTGCCCTCGCATAATTTGCGCACCCATAATGATTTTCCAGCTTTTTCGGAAAAATATATTTACTCGCGTATTTGGCGCTTCCCGACCCGCCCGAGCCAGCTCGTTGGCGCGCATCTTTGGACCTTTTGATGCATGTTTTGATGCTTCGGCCGGGTGCACTGAGCAGAAGAGCACACTCATACAGGCTGCGAGTGTGAAGTCCCTTCTTCCGAGGACATCCCCCGAACTAGGATACCTAGAATACCACACCTGAACACAAACCTGTTGATGGGTCACCAGAACTGCTGGAGCGTTTGCATCCCCTATCTCGCAATCTCTACCATCGTGATACTGGCGAGAATGCACGCTCGCATCACGGCACGGACGACTTCCTGCATCGGAGTCGTGCGAGGGCCTACCACACCAACTGTTACCTTCATTCTCCGTGTCCCACTGCAACACAGTTCACTTGGTCGATTTCGGAAGTTTACGTTTCGCCATCCGGCCGACGTGGTTCGACGGTTCCCTTGCGATGTGCAACGGTAATTATATATATAGTGAAATTGAAGCTCGCTGTTGTAAATTTCGCTGAAGAAAATGGGAAGCATGCTGCCGCAAAGCACTTCAAAGGGACGTACTTCAATGTGACGATCGGCGCGATCGGTACGCGAGAAAGCAGAAAAGTGCGTGCTTGCTAATGCAACTTTCCTGCCATAGAAGGAGACATTTGATTTATGGGCAGATGCTTAGTTCTTCTGGTACCGCTGTGTCATAGGACCTAGTTTATTCGAGCATTGTTGAAAGAGCTTCATTCAAGAAAATGGGGCGTCTGAACGTGCTCGACGGAACCGAAGACAATGCGCTTCGGGAGGGCGGTGGCACCGGCCGCCGCGATGATTCCCAATTGGATTTCGCATTCAGTGATTCCCGCTAGACCGCGCGTGACCGGATCTGACTGATTATAGCATGCGCTAATTCTATAAAAGTTTAAAAGTGAGCTTCGTTTGTACTCCAATTCATTTCTTCTTTTTTTTTTCTAATGTATATACTGCGCGCGTTCAGACTGTGACACAATATTTTACATGTGCTCGCGAAATCCCTGTGTCATTTGCGCACCCCCTTTTCAAGACCTAAAAATCGCAAAAAAAAGTGTGAAAATTATGCGTGTAAATACAGTAATCACTTATGCTATACTGGAAAAGTCCCTCCTAGCCTTGTTTTTTATGTAACAAGCATGGCTAATGTGATGACGTTTATTCGAGCAGAGAAGTCGCAACGAGGTCGCAACGGAAAGTGGGCGTACGGCAAGTCTGGCAAAGGCGGCACAAACTCTCGCGCAAGCAGAGCACGGCCTTTTTGTTGTCTTCCGAAGGCGCATACGTGTTGGTGCGTATGCTCCACTACAATACCCCCGGGGTGAAGGGTAGCCATCCTGGCGACTCAAGGAGTAGGCACAATGAGGGGGTCGTAGTAGGGCTTGAGACGGTCGACGTGTACGGTCTCGCGTCCTCGACGGCGCAAATCTGGTGATTGTGTTAATGGCTCGATGATGTAATTCACCGGGGAGGTCGCGTCAATGACACGGTACGGACCATGGTACCGGGCCAGAAGTTTAGAAGACAGGCCAGGAACGTGCGGGGGCACCCAAAGCCACACAAGGGAGCCAGCACGAAATGTAGGAGCTATGCGGTGAGCGTCGTCGTGTCGAGTCTTTTGTAGACCTTGAGCCTCACTTGTCAGAGACCGAGCCAACTGACGGCAGTCTTCAGCGTATCTGGCGACTTCCGAAAGCGGGGAGCACTCAGATGCATCAGGGCGGTACGGTAGTATAGTGTCGAGTGGGTGGGAAGGTTCACGGCCGTACAATAGAAAGAACGGGGAAAAACCGGTAGTCACTTGCGTCGCGGTGTTATAAGCGAAGGTAAAAAAGGGCAATACAGCGTCCCAGTTAGTGTGGTCGGAGGAGGTGTACATCCTCAGCATGTCGCCAAGTGTGCGGTTGAACCGCTCAGTAAGACCATTTGTCTGTGGATGGTATGCGGTAGATTTCCGGTGGATAATGTTGCATTCAGCGAGGATAGCTTGGATGACCTCCGAAAGGAACACTCGACCCCTATCACTGAGTAATTCCCGCGGAGCACCATGGCGTAGAATGAAGCTGCGGAGAATGAAGAGTGCAACTTCGTGGGCGGTCGCTGCCGGTAGAGCTGCAGTCTCAGCGTAGCGTGTCAGATGATCGACTCCGACAATAATCCCCCGGTTTCCAGAGCTACTATATGGGAGGGGGCCATAGAGGTCTATACCCATGCGGTCGAATGGGCGAGCCGGGCACGGGAGCGGCTGTAACATGCCAGTAAGGTGCCGCGGAGGTGTCTTGTTCTGTTGGCAAGTGGTGCAAGACTGAACGTATTTCTGCACAAAGCGATACATTCCTCGCCAGTAATATCGTTGGCGCAGCCTTTCGTAAGTTTTCAGGACACCTGCGTGAGCACTTTGGGGATCTGCATGGAAATTCATGCAGATGTCACAGCGCATATGAGTTGGGACAGCAAGGAGCCACTTCCGACCACCAGGCATGTAGTTGCGGCGGTACAGAATGTTGTCTCGTAAGGAAAAGTGGGCTGCTTGCCGGTGTAGCGCTCTCGTGGAAGGGACAGCAGACGGATCGGTAAGGTAGTCGACTAACAAGGCAAGGTATGGGTCTTTACGCTGCTCCGAAAGCATGTCAGTGGTGTCGAGTGGTGACAAGGTGGTAAAAGGGGGCGACAGAGAAGCCACATCTGGTGTTAATGGCGATCGGGAAAGTGCATCGGCGTCCGCATGCTTGCGACTGGAATGATATACGACACGGATGTCGTATTCCTGCAATCGAAGTGCCCAACGCCCCAGACGTCCGGACGGGTCTTTCAAGGTGGACAGCCAACATAGAGCGTGGTGGTCTGTGACCACGTCGAAAGGACGGCCGTAAAGGTACGGGCGAAACTTCGTAAGCGCCCAGATTATGGCCAAACACTCCTTCTCTGTCACGGAGTAATTCAATTCAGCCTTCTTAAGAGCGCGACTCGCATAAGCGACTACGTATTCGGTTTGGGTGCCTTTCCGTTGTGCCAAAACTGCGCCAAGACCAACGCCACTTGCATCAGTGTGAACTTCTGTGGCAGCAGTGGGGTCGTAGTGGCGAAGAATAGGTGGCGAGGTCAGCAGGCGGCGCAGCTGGTGAAATGCGTCGTCACATGCAGGTGACCATGCAGATATACCTTTGCTGTTGAAAAGCAGACTAGTCAGAGGTGCAATGATGGACGCGAAGTTGCGCACGAAGCGACGAAAGTAAGAGCAAAGACCAACGAAACTTCTTAGGGCTTTCAGTGATGTGGGCATTGGGAAGTCAGCGACAGCTCGAAGCTTATCGGGGTCTGGAAGAACACCGTCTCTTGTGATGACGTGTCCCAAGATGGTTAGTTTTCGGGCTGCGAAGTGGCACTTCTTGGTGTTAAGTTGTAGGCCTGCAGAAGCTAGACACGTCAGAATTTCGTAGAGACGACGAAGATGTGTCGGGAAATCAGCTGAAAAGACTACGATGTCATCTAGGTAACACAAGCAAGTTTTCCACTTGTGGGCCCGCAATATGGTATCTATCATGCGCTCACACGTTGCAGGCGCGTTGCAGAGCCCAAATGGCATGACTTTGAACTCATACAGGCCATCCGGCGTTACAAAGGCTGTTTTAGGGCGATCACACTCAGCCATTGGCACCTGCCAATACCCAGAACGCAGATACAAGGATGTGAAGTACTCGGCGCCTTGTAAACAGTCAAGAGCATCGTCTATTCGTGGTAGCGGGTAGACGTCTTTCTTTGTAATCTTGTTTAAGCGGCGATAGTCCACGCAAAATCGAACGGTGCCATCTTTTTTCTTTACCACAACCACGGGTGACGACCAAGCGCTTTGAGAAGGCTGTATGACTCCACGTTTAAGCATGTCATCTACTTGCTCCGTAATGACGCGGCGCTTTTCGGCAGAAACGCGGTAAGGACGCTGTCGCAGAGGCGAATGTGAGCCGGTGTCAATAGTATGAGTGACAGTCGTGGTGCGGCCCAAAGCAGGTTTCTGAAAGTCGAAAGAAACTTGTTAAGGAGAGCAACAAGTTGACTGCGATGCGAGGGGGGAAGGTCTGCGTCAAAAGCATTGTCGAAGGCTGGCGAGCTTGATGGCTCAGACGCCTGAGTGATTGCGGCAATGTGACATGGCGTTTCGTCGGGAAAAATAATATCATTGATATGGTCGACAGGTTGCACATAACCTAACGTTTCACCACGAAGCAAGCCAATGGGGTAGTTGCAGTGGTTGGTAACCAGCATTACGGTTAAACCAGACGCAATCGTAAGAACGGCAAATGGGAGCACGATGCCCTTGCGTTCAGTAAAAACAGGGGATGGCGTAAACACCACCGTGGCGTCAGGTTGCACCACACATGAAAGGCTAATAGGGACTGAAGCTTCCGGAGGCAAGGTGATGTCGTCGTCAGCTATGAGTTTGCAGAGCAGTGGTGAATGGTCGGGCGATGGAAATTCACAACTTGGCACTAGGGACACTTCCGCACGGCAACAATCGATGATAGCTTCATGACCCGATAAGAAATCCCAACCCAGGATGAGGTCATAAGAGCAAGATGGTAGCACAAAAAATTGGACGATGTACAAAACGTCTTGGATGACGATGCGCGCCGTACACACAGCCGAGGGCTGAATGCGTTGCGCGCTAGCCGTGGACAGCACGATGCCACAGAGAGCTGTGGTCACTTTCTTCAGTTTGCGACAAAATTTTGCGTTCATCACAGAAACGGCGGCCCCAGAATCAATTAACGCTTGTGTGGCGACTCCCTCAACGTTGACATCAACAACATTTTGCGGCGAAAATGGAGGCCTTGATAATTGCGCAGAAGTTGCAGTTGTTGCCTCTGGAACTGCACTGATTAGTTTCCCTCCTCAGGAGGTGGTTTACGTCGCATAGGAGATGGCGATCGGCGACGAGGAGATGGGAAACGAGAAGTTGATGGGCAACGATCCGAGTCAGAGTGCCTCTGTTCGTATTCAGACGTGGTGGCCTGCTGCGACGCATAGGTATGAGTTCCAAAGGAGGCGTACGCAGGTGTGGGACGGCGGCGGCAGTAGCGTGCAATGTGGCCAGCGATGCCACACGCGAAGCAGATAGGACGGTTGTCATGCGTGCGCCACTCATTAGATGGACGGAAAAAGCGAGGTGAGGGCCTGTAAACCGGAGGCACTGCCGGAGGTGGTGGAGCCGATAAGGATACTGGATGCGGTGGGGGCCGCGCAACCACAGCTGCGTAGCTGAGAGGTGAAGATGGTGCAGGTGGTGCGTAGCTGACAGCTGAGAGATTAGATGCTGCTGAAGTGCATGCGTAAGGGGCCTGCACTATAGGTAGGACATCGCAAATTTCAGTGCGTATGGCCTGCTGCAGTGTCGAAGGCAGACTTGCGGTGAGCGCGTCGCTATGCGGCAGCAGGGACAGCTGTCGGGCGACTTCCTCCCTGATGAAGTCTTTGATCTGGTTGGACAGACTTTCTTGGCGAACGTTGGCATTTGCGAGTGCGACAGCCGAGATCGAATCTGGTGGTGAGACACTCTGTCGGGCGATGAAACGCTGACGGCGTAATTCATCGAAGCTCTGGCACAGGCTTACGAGGATTGCCACCGAGGTTGGGCTTTTCGCTAGCAACATCTGGAATGCACCATCCTCAATGCCCTTGAGAATCTGCCGAATTTTCTCTTCTTCGGGCATAGATGGGTTAACACGCCTGCAGAGGTCGAGCACATCCTCAATGTAACTCGTAAACGTTTCGCCAGGCTGCTGGGCTCTGTGGCGCAGACGCTGGTCAGCGGGGAGCTTGCGGACCTCTGGTCGGCCGAACGCTTCAGTCACGAGTGTCTTAAAGGAGGACCAGTTGGCGATGGCGGTTTCGCGGTTGGTAAACCAAAGCTTAGCTACGTCTGCCAAGTAAAAGATAACGTAGGCAAGTTTAGAGTCGTCGTCCCACTTGTTGCTGGCACTTACGCGCTCGTACAAGGAGAGCCAGTCTTCGACGTCTTGCTCACCACTTCCGCTGAAGATTGGTGGGTCCCGCTGGCGAGTAGCGCCGGGGCAGGTAGACGGGGCAGCCGATGGTGCTGGCTGGGCTGGGACGGGCTGGTTGGCGACTGCGTCAGTCATGTTTTGCGGTAGTCTTTCAGGCAACTTGCGAGAGCGGAGCTCCAGGTCTGCTTGGGGATCTTAGCAGCCTCCACCAAATGTGATGACATTTATTTGAGCAGAGAAATCGCAACGAGGTCGCAACGGAAAGTGGGCGTACGGCAAGTCTGGCAAAGGCGGCGCAAACTCTCGCGCAAGCAGAGCACGGGCTTTTTGTTGTCTTCCGAAGGCGCATACGCGTTGGTGCGTATGCTCCACTACACTACCATTATTGTCATTTTCATACTGAAAAAAATATCTGGCCACATTTTGAACTCCATTGCTTAATTTTGTTCACTCAGCTGACACAGAGGAATCAACTGTCTCGACTAAGAACCGTTGCAAACAGAGGAGATGTGACGAAATTTATCAAAGTGGCATCAAAACTTGCTGCCACGCATGGCTCTAGTATTGAGTCCCATAATCACTACAATGGATTAATTTTGTGCCGCACTTCTCCAGAACAAAGAAGAAAAGGCCCGTTACCTGAAATCCAGCCTGCTGAACCTCATGAGCCCTGACAACGTGGGAGAGCTCGTTGCGGGCAAGAAACTCTTCGAGGGCTTCGGCACTGAACATGTGCGCCGTGCCTCGCTTCATGTTGGGCACAAAGTCCCTTTGCTGATCTGCTTCAGTGCTGGAATAAGCAAGGCATTCACAAACAGAACAGTTTTAAGAAGGACAGCTCTCAGACCAGGTCATCAGAGTACCAACAATTCGTCACTACACAAGGGTCGAAAGTTGGGTAGGTTGAATGAATGAATGAAACGGATGCTTATTTCAGTACAGTCGAGCCCACATATAACGGCCCCACTTAAAAAGAACTTTCGCTTAAAACGAACAATGTCCGCGTGACCGTTAAAATATACATTGGTTCAATGGCACAAAATCGTACTTACAACGAACGTCTCCGAGCGCTGCTGATCAGTTACAGCGAACGGAGTCAGCGGCCTGCCGACTTCCCGGGAAACCAATTTCGACCAACGATCAGGCATCGGCGAGGTGCCCATACATTCTTATTGTTAAACGCCGACCCTGCCTCCGCAACCCTCTAGTTGCCACTTTCCCCAATCCATGAAGGAAGGAAAGTTGTTTCCTTCTTCCATGGCCCGACTGCTTTTCGTTACGCACTCCTCCGTCCTTTGTCTCCCCGCTACTCAGAGCACCCCACATCGCCAGACAAGGCCCCTGTTTTCACACTGCCACCGATCTTTCGAAGATCAGTCAGCCATCTACCCTGTTTTTGATAGCTGGTACTGTCGTTGGCGTCGCCGTCCTGGAGTGACCAGATCATGTGCCAACATAGCCGGCCACCAACTGTATCCGAAAGTCTGCGTCTAGTGCGTGCGCGTACGTTACCCCACCGACTCAGACAATTTGAAATTCGTTTCGTGTTTAGGACTTGTTCTCGCTCACTCTGCCCTCAACTGAACATGCGTTCCGCGCCTGTGCGGACGCCCGAAAATGGCTGTTAATTTGCGCGGAACGAATCGCGAAATATCGAAGTTCGTGAGTCCACACAAACCCGCCGGCACAACAAAACAATTTTTTGACCACGGTCGCCGATTCTTCTAACACTGCCGCGCGTACCGAAACAGGCGGCCATGCTTTGACTTCTGCGTGCGCAGGGACTCTTCGTAAGTTTTTCTACATGCGTGTTTCGTGGACCTTTCAAGCAAGCTACCCAACCTGCCTCCTTCCCATGTGTTTTGGTTTTCAAGGTCGCCCTCCCGCCGCACTCTCCCCTCTCTTTATCGCAACTCCTTGCCCTTTCCTCGCAAGTCTGCTCCTCTCTTGATCACAACCCCTTCGTCCGTCTCCACTGCTCCGCGACGCCCGCCACGCTGGCTCGAATTAGTTTCGTTTTCTGACTGGAAACGGGCCCAGAGTTGTTCCACGCGTTCTGGCATCTGTGTCGCGTGTGGGCGTCTCGCTCACTCTTGGTGTGCATTGGTGGTCATGATGGCCGACGGGAGAACTAGCACACTTTTTCGTGCCACTCAACAAAACATCGAAAGTGTGACCGCTTGGCTTGAGCGTAATGCGCACGTTAGGTGCCGCGTTGCGGAGCGCTTGCTCATAGCTGTTGAAGACCTGGCAGCCAACTTGCTGCTTCGGGCGTCCAGGTATTCAGCTGTGGAGATGGTGAATATTTCGTGGGCGGCTGTGACGACTACATACACGCGAAACTGTTTTCGCGAGGCTAACTTTGTCGACGTTGGGCCCGATGCCGAGCCTGAAGCTTCCGAACTGCGGCGGCGATTTGTGGCATCGCGTTGTCGACTCCGACCTGGGAGAGCGGGTGGCACACCTGTTGCGATGGTTTAATTACGGCCGATGATGATGCCGACACTGCGGAACCGTGCACGGATCGGGGCATTGTGAATGAAGTACGTGGCGAGAGCGATTTCAAGGAATAGGATTGCGAGAATGACGAAACTTTGGAGCCAGTGCCTCATGCAGTTCATCCCACGGGCCTCGGCAAACGAGCACCCTGCCGTTTTAAATGAACTCGGGACCACCCTTATCGTTTTTGCTCTTTGAAACACGTGCATCACGGACTTTTTGGGGCAAAAAAAAAGTTTGTGTTTTTACTCGCAACTTTTTTTAGAAGCGGTGTTTCATTTACTACGAACTACTGAGATACTGCGAACGGGTGCCGCGTCACGCTCAGGTTCGTTATAAGCGGGCTTGACTGTAATTTAGTACTTAGTGGAAGCACAATAAAAGTGATGTAAACATAGTAACGCAGCTATTGTAACTTCCCCATACAGCTGTATCACAATCCTCTGATCCTTGATTTTCAACATGCCTGACAAAATGGTTTATTCATACGCTAGTGCTATAACAGTACACAGACCATATGTATCTTCAAATCACGCATAGTTTGTGCATTTTCAGACTTCCACTATATAAAGCATTCGGTATAAATTCGAAGTGTCTACACTCCATACCAATTTTACAATGACCACATGTTTAAATACATATGCTTAAAAATCCAAACAAAGCAGCAGCTCAGGAAAAGATAGAAGCACGAAGAGATGAAAATATGCTTGAACAAGAGATTTCACTGGAGCCAATGTTTCAACAAGTGGTCTTGTCTTGAAGAAGCTGCTGCCTTCAAAGAACCCTTGTCGGAATGTCGGCTCCAACGAAAACCCCTGTTCAAGGATTTTTTCAACATTACGCACAGTTTAACGATTACATAGTTGGTCCTTGAATAGCAACAGCAAGTGTCTTGAGAAGCACAGACGCAGTGTCCTTACGAAATGGGGTCACTCCACATGAGTTCCCAGGCGAGCGATGACTGGCTTTCCGGATCATTCAGTGGCTTCGGAATCTGGTTTATCGCAGCCAGGTAGCCGCCACCGAGCCACGGAGGAGGGATGCCCCCGTGCACACAAAACACCTAGATGGAAGCGTGGTGGGGACTTCAACATGTGCTCAATGTCCTCAACCCTGCACAGTTTTCTGTGAGGCTTCAATGCAAAGCATCGTGCCTTAGCAAACTGATTTCCAACTTCGTATTGAGTTGAAACAGATGTATTTCGTAGCTCTCAAAAACCCTAACAAAGCAACAATGTTGACAAAAAAATCAACTATACAACGTTCCAACCTATTCCTGCTGTATCACTGTAGCATTTTACTAAAGCTGGCAATCATTTCCATGCGCACCATTTGTATCATTAACTAAGCACACACAGCAGAAAAACTGCAGTGTGCGATATACCTAACTATCCCAACACTACCTCAGGCATGAGTAAAAAAATCGTGAGTCACTGCACTCCGTGAAGGATGCTGCTTAGCACACGACACAGTGGTGACACAGAGCTTCGAACAAAGGTGCAAACTCATTTAGTGTAATTATCAGTGGTTATCATGACAAAATGTGCACACACAGATTTACTGTAGCTGTTCCTTTCGTCTCTCCTCATAAGCGTATTGCTCTTAAGGAGTCTCAATCATACGTCTTACCATAGAAACTGAAGAACACAAGTGGAATGTGCTAGTACTCAGATGCTGCCAATCTCACTAATTGCATTGTGCTGCTGTGCGGACAACTACTGCCACCTTGGTGAGCCGGAGAAAACGACCCATTCATGTGATCGGGAACGAATGTTTGTGTCAACACACATGAAAAATACACGCAACACAAACAATGGGCAGCTTCGCTTTAAAAGAAAGCCATACTACAGACTGCATACTTATACCCGTGCCACACGGGCAAATAAAATGGCATTTACCCCCGAATGCCTTCAGATTTATTGCCATTCGCGCGGTGCCACACGGGCGAACGAAATGGCATTCATCCGAATGCCATTCGCCACCAGATGCCTTCGCCAGAACTCAGATGACTGAGAAATGCCTACTCTCGACGACACAACTCGCGAAGTGCGATTTACCTTAACGTAAATAAATGAAATCATATTCAGCTAAAAATAAAAATTCCCGTCTTTTATCTGCACTAAACTCTTAAAAAAGTGCTTTGAACGTTATACGAAGATCAGTTTGAAATGGTTTGAAATTAATTGAAGTTTAATGTCCTGAAGCTGGCGCATAATAACTCGTCTCTGCTCCAGAATTATTCGCTCTTGAGCACGATGCTTTGCACGGAAACACACGAGTGCTGCCGTGAAAAAATGAACTCTGCGAACATCTTCTGAGAGATGCAACAGGTACAATGCGACAGGCGCCATTTTCTATTTACGCTGTGGATCTGACTATTGTTGGCTTAGGTTGGTACGGTCGGCTGCAACGTCGTAAAACAAAGCAAGAAACTAAAACTCAGGGCAGCGTAATATGCTTATTTCTACATTTAATGATTATCTGATGTGTATGAACCTTGTAAACGTTTGTTTATTTTTTTATTGCTATTCACCCAATGCTCACTTGGAAGGTGCTGCGATCGACATCATCAAGTCAAATGTCATTCGCTTTGGACGTGTAGCAGCGCCGCCGAAAAAAATGTCATTCGGGACCTGAAGGCCTTCGCCACCGAATGTCATTTTCTATGCCCGTGTGGCACGGGTATTACACTCCAGGCTCCATCTTTCACACTGCATTTAAACAACTTGTTGCATAGTGACATTTTTTTTTCAAGGACAAGTTTACAATGAGAAGGACAGGCTTTTCAGAACCGAAATCACAAGCCTTAGATAATATAGTTAAAGATTGGAACGTAAATAATCGTCAGCATCTTTTTCAGCCGGTTATAGTAGTCATCTGTGAGAGGGGGGTCTCCCAGTGATCTCCAGTTTACCCTACCCATGGAAGCAGGTTCCATTTTATACTCATGAACTTCTTAATTTTGTCACTCCGCCAAACTCTCTGCCTTCCTTAAATGCGTTTCGCACAGGTTCTGTTGCTCGTACTGTCCACTGGTTGTCTGGCCTACGCATTACATAGCCAGCCCAGGTCAAATTGTTTTGTTTGTTGTCAAATATAATAATATCTGCTACCCCCGTTTGTTCCCTTGCCCATTTTTCCGTCCTCCAATCTCTTCATATTACTCGTATAAACTTTTCGTTTATCGTTGTTTTTTTTGCATATATATTATATGAAAGCAATATGTAAATGAGCACAAACCTGTAGGATATAAATGATGATGCAAAGCAAGGTTTAGTATAGGTGTGGCCATATTTTGATTGGTGGTCTGTGCACAGTGTTTTCCTCTGGTGTATTGGTGAGTGGCCTGTTTCTACAGTCAGCTAGTTTTGTAGAGATATCAAATACGAGACCCTCTCACGTCTTTGTTCTCGCTTCGTACGTGTGCCACTCTTCAAACAAATCTGTCCAAAGCATAGGTCGGCAAAGTCACTCGTGAGTCAACTCAGACTCGTTCAGACTCGTACTGAGCCAGTGAGTCCGAGTTAGTCCAGCTGAGTACAGTCGAAACCCGCAATAGCGAAACCCCGCGAGTACGAAATCCCCGCGGCAACAAAATATTTCCGGATCCCTGGCGAACGTTCATAGAAGCCCACTTATTACGTATCTCGCGGCAACGAAATTGTTTTTGGACAGCGATCCCGCATTAACGAATTTTCTACCTCGGTGCTTCGCGATGGCAGGGCCGGGAGCTGGCTTCTTGGGCTCATCGGAAAGAGCATTTCTCCGTGTTTAACTTTCCTGCCTCAGCTGGCTCCTCCCTTTAAAAACAAGCGCACAAAAAGCAAATGTTTGAAGGTCGTTTCGAGGCCCTTGATTGGCTGTGGCCACCATGTTGCCTCAGCTCGCCTCGCCATTGGCCCACTGCTCGCTCCGGGAGATCGTCTGCTGCTTGTGAGTCGCAAGGACATGGCTCTCGAAAATTGCTACTTCGTGACGTGTTCACGGCTCGAAGATCACTTAAGATATAATTACGCTTTAGTTAGGAACAGTAGGCGGATGCGCGATCAGGTTACTACGAGCGCGGCGCGTCATCGGAGCCGTCTTTAGCCCTCACTCCGCCGACAGCGAGACTGCGGGCAGGAACGACACGCTAGCGCACTCGTCGCAAGCAACGAAGCTGTAAGCCGCGGCAAGGTCAGATTACTACGAGTGACCGCACCAGATGCACGATCAGATTACTACGAGCGGGCACGCGGTCTACTAGCGCGGCGCGACATCGGAGTTGGCCTTAGCCCTAACTTCATTGACAGTGAGACTGCGGGCAGGAACGACGCGCTAGCGCATCCAAAACAATCCGCGGGTTGTTTTGGATGCGCTGGACACCCTTCGCTCCTTCGGAACACATGACGACGACGTAGCAATGGACCACTTTTTCCAGTGCGAAGGCAGAGCTTTGAAGTTATTGCATGGCAAGGGTCAGCAAAGTAAGTTGACCGACTTCTGGCAATAAACTTTCGTTCTTCTGGCCATATCACTGTTTTTATGTCTCATATTCGCGGCAATAAAATTCTCACGAAAACGAAATTTTTCGGTTTCCCCGGCGATTTCGTTATTGCGGGTTTCGACAGTAGTACTTTGCCGAGCATAAATACGAGTGAGTCCGGTTGAGAAATAAATCTTGGTGAGTCTGAGTTCGAGCGAGTCCGAAGGGCAAAACATATTTCATGAGTGAGCCGAGTGAGGTTCGTACTTTTTTTGCCGATCTATGGTTTTATTTACTCAACTTTTCTATTACTATTAGCTTAATGTTGTTCATCGGAGGCGCGAGTTATGGAGGAAGGTGTGTGCCACAAGCTCCCTATCCCCCAACCTCAGAAGCACTTTCCAGGAAGTTCAGGATGAAATACTTCATGTGAACTATTCCTTGTAAGAAAAATGTCCTCGATGGGTCGATACTACTGAGACTTCATATTTGAAAGTAGGACATCTAAAGTACAGCAGGGATTACGCTAAATATTGGTGTTAAAGAGCATTCACACAGAGTTCGAAGAAGCCAATTGTGCGATAATGTGCTCAACGAGTCAGCTTATTCTGAATTACTCAGAGTCAAATAGAGCCGTGAGTCTTGAGTCTGAGTGAGTTCAAGTAAGTAACATTTTCGCGAGTCTTGAGTCCCAGCGAGTTGGACTCGAAAAATATTTCGTGAATCTGAGTCCGATGCGTCTGGTTGACAAAAATTGTGGTGAATCCGAGTCCAAGTGAGTACAAAGGCCAAAAATGTTTCACGAGTGAGTTTGAGTGAGCTTCACATTTTTTTGCCAACCTATGTAACAACTAATCAGGCAGAAATTCACAACAGCAAGGTGTCTTACTTTAGTGTCGACCACAGCGGCGATTGGCATGACGTCGAAGCAGGCATTTATCTGCTCCCACACCTCTACGCCAACCCGTTCTCCAAACTTGTTCACACACTCGCTGCGCAAAACAAAAGTTCAAGGCAGGAGAAAGAAGTATGAGAATCCCTCTCGTGTGAGACACCATTTTTTGCAATGCACGGCTATTTGCATAAGTTATTAAACGAGTTACATGCAATAAATTTTCTTGAACCCCGTAAACTGCAAAACATCTGAACTTTATCACACTGTTTGCGTGTAGCTATGCAGTGCACTTTCACATTCACACACTTGTCCAATTATTTACTCAGTTTTTAGAATATTCTCAGTCCTGAAAAGGTCTCAAAGACAACTGTTATACAAAAAATAGGCATAAGAATGTCAAATGGTCTAACAGGCCAGCAATAGTACAGCAACCAATAACCACGTAGTATTCAAATAACCATAATATAATTATTATATATATAACCGCATATCATACACCATAACTTGGTAACAAGCAACCATACTTTCATAACCGTACACAAAAGCCTATTTGCTGGGAATGCGTGGAGCCAGAACTGATACCGATTTGAGCATGAGGCAGATGTCAGCCTAACTTTCTTGGCATTTCGCTTAAAGAAACCTCCGCATAAGGATATGCCTCAGCATCATGCCAGAAATCTGTCACACTTATTCCTAGTAGTGCTTAGCTATATCCTGAAGCATCCTATTGAACAGAAGCTGCGTTTAAAAGGTACAGCTTCAATCAGGATATGTACACAATCTACTCGGCTACCACAGTTTCCTAGCAATCAAAATTCCTGAACTTGTGCACACGATCAGGATGCCACGGCTATGAAACCACCGCAGCATAAATTCTAAATACAATCCAATAATACCGACGTGATATGACAAGAGAGTAAATATACGCTCAAGAGGTATGACATGTGCACCAGTTATGAAGCGATTATTCCATTTTCTCATAGCTTCAGGTTTCATGCACAAAGCGCACACACGTGCTTTAGGTTTGGCGTCTAGAAATCAAATAATTTGACAGAGGAGCACGCGCGTTTTTTCTTGAGCTTACGTGTAGAAGGTGAACATCTTCTGCACGCTTCGCACCTCGTGGTTCCCTCTGAGGAGATAGAATTTGTCAGGGGCCAGTATCTTCTGAGCGAACAGATGTGCTATGACCTGTTGAAAAACATGGGGAAGGCAAAAATGAAATTAAATATGAACCTATGTGTGTTACATACTGAGAAGAATAACAAGTTATTTTATGCTCCAAACCAGCTCCTTGCACTAAGCCTAATACTAAGTATCACACAACACATTTTTCAGCATTATCTACAACAACAAGCGTGTTGCCACAGAGAAAGGTACATTAAGTCTGTTTAAACACCCATTGCTAATGTTGAAGAAATTAAAATATACTACATTCAAACTAGCCACAGTTTTTGTACAGGACATGAGAAATGAAATGTGGCTGCAATATATTTATGTGAACAGTTAAAAACTGCTGCAACGCCATGGCTAATCTTCATAATTAGACGAAGAATGACAGCTTTCAAGTGGTTTAACTATTTCTGTTCACAAAGTGAGAGCTAGCGAAGTCACCTAGGTGCAATACAGTTGGTGTACAATTTCTCGGACCCTCAAGGACCACGAAAGCATCCGAAAAATCGGGCTGTCAGGAAATATGAACGCAAACAAAAACACTTTTTTAATAGGTATTTCTCACTAATGAAGAGGGTGAACGCAGGAGTACAGGATTGTCATTGCAATTCAGCAAAGGCATCATTTAGGTGGCTCTGAAAAGAGCCATTTATATTAAAGATCCGATGCGGCCAGCGCTATCACATTTGCGAACACTTGGGCACAAAAAAAAAAGTCTCTTATTTTCCTTTGCACGGCATTCCACTTGTCCGCGATTATGTCTGCTTTAATTTCAGCCAGCATTATACTGCCGCTGTACACTAATGACAGTGTCAGTGCTCGCATCAATGCTCAGCTTGTTGGCCGCGTAGGTTCTGCCTCTTCAATCTCCGTGTCGGAGTCGTCGGAATACTCCGTAACCTGATGAATGATTTCGTCATCGGTCAATTCTCCACACAGCACGAGGTCTTTGTCAGCGTTGGTGAAGCCTTTAAAGGTTATCCCGGCTGGAACTGAAACACCGGCAGCATGCAGACTGTTGAAAAGAACGGCCGCAAGTGGAAGTTCGTCGCACACGCTATTCTCTTCGGGCTAGACGGCCGTCTCGGCATCCGGTATGAAGCTCGCGTTGGATTGCAGCATTTACAGTTTCGAGGGTGTCAAGGGTACGGCAGCCGCAGCATGGTGGGTTCGAGGGTACGAAAACAACCGAAATGCTGATGTCGATGGTGACTTCGAGCCCACTGTTAATAGTAGAAAGTCCAGAAAATCGAATGGCAAAAGCTATGAACGTTCGGAATTTCGGACTTTTTAATACATTGGCTATATGGGAAACTTGATGGTGCCACAGATGAGTTTGGGAAATCAGGCATGTCCGCAATTTCGGGCGTTCCAGAAATCGGATATCGACTATAACTGCAGAACCGCACAGCAAAAACATCAATGTCATGCCAGCCTTTGTCAGTTTTTTGCAACATTCTGCTGTATATTATTTGGGAGAACTCTAGCTCTACTTTATAAGTAAAAGACAGGAAAACGTACAAATAACAACGAGACTCACCTCCACACCATGCTCTCCTCGGTCAACATAATCACCAAGGAAGAGAAAGTTTGCCGGAGTCAGCACAGGCCCCATTCGCCAGAGCGCCTTCTCAAAGCACACCAGGTCCCGATAATTTCCGTGAATGTCGCCTGATAAAGGCAGCAGACAAAATAACAGAGTTATGCAAGGGCACCACAAAAGGTTCTTTTTACCATACAGTGCAGAGTTTTTCAAAAGTGCATACAAGAAATGACAAACAATACAGCAGTTATAATTAAATACTGTAACAGCTGGCACCACACCTGGAAGCACTTCTTGTGAGCTGGTTTGAGTCATGTACTTCATGTCAAATAAATAACTTATTCATAACCACCGGTCTACACTATCGAAACTACGTAATGGAGCCTCATGCCTCTGCAAATGCTTAAATTGTTCATAAACTTCTATGTCAATTATACGAGTGTATACAGCGGAATTCATTGTATCCGCATGCATTTTGTGTATGTTTTTGAGTTGTTTCATTGATATTGCTTAGTTGTGAATTTTAACGAGAGTGACCTCTAATTCTTAAAATGTGTTATGTAAACTTCTTATGCTATTTATGTTTGAATTTTGTGTTTACAATTTCAAGTTGCTTGAAACCAATGTATTGAATATATATATTGTTTGTCAGTGCTGATGTCTAAGCTTTGCACTGTCACGGACTGCGGAGGGACAAGGGCCTTTTGTCAGGCTGTTCGCCTTTAGCCCTTTGCCCCTGCAGTGAGCTTTGTATCCGGCTTACTGTAAATAAAAATACTACTACTACTACTACTACTCTAGACCCTGATTGATTGGTTTCATACTGATTGATTGGTTTCATACTTCAATTCTGTACCCCTGTACTCATTCTGTACCCCTGTACCCCTGTACTCAACTCATGCTAAAAGCAACCCACTTTCCTGGTTCCTTCAGGTTCCATTTAATCAGTCTACTATATACAACACAGGAGCTTGCTTCAAACAGAGTGGTACTTCTGATCTCCCAAGACAACATGATCGATACAGGCTTATGTTAAACGTCATGAAAGAGCAATGAACGCTCAAGCCTTGACCAACTGCGCGGGGCGAGGGTGAACATTCTAATAAAGAATGCGTATGAGACTGCGCACCTCCCTTTACTCAACTGGTTAAATACACTAGGCCGCAGCAGACCTTGTGGCTGCCAGCCAGTAACACACAAACCTTTTCTTTTTTTTTTCTCTTCTTTTTTGTACCTTGTACATGTATTTTTAAGCAGATCTTGCAAGAATTCCCTCGACAACTAGCGCGCGTATGCAATGCAACAGCCACAAATATAGTAACTGCTTTCTCAGTGCAGACAGTTGTTGTCCATCACATTTGATCATCACATATAGTCATACAGAAGTGAGAATTTGAAGGTGTTGGAAGTGGTCACATCCTATCCTTTCAATGCACACACACACCATCAGCTTCCACATGGCACGTCCATGCGGAGTACTTCCACATATGGTGAGTGCAGTACACAAAGGTGCAGACAACAGAACGCAGATACAGGTACTACAACAGAACGCAGATACAGGTACTAGCAGGTTCGATGCACCAAACTTGAACAGCGCATCTATTGGATCGCTCATCCAGATGTGTTTCACTGTTTACCTGTTTGAACATAAAACAACCAGCCTAGCTAGTAGTAACATTCACGCGAGACTTACCAAGGATGTACGTGGGCACGCTGAGCTTCAGCAGACGCGGCTCGGTGAACATGATGTCTCGCGTCTGCCGGCACATGGCTAGCAGGCAGCGTGCCAGGGCCTCATGGTCCACCGCGCCCCAGCTGAAGGCATCCTTAGACATGCGGCCCGCTCCGGGACGTCCCTCTGAGTTGTCCTTGCGGATGGCTCTCTCGAAGTAGCGCAGCCCCGCTAGCATCTCGTTAGCATGGGACTTCTGCGCTGACACCCACGAAATGCATTTAGCTCAAAGACTTCATCGTTAAAACAATTAGCCACTACTACAAATAAAACATTTAGTTGCAAGCTAGTATTCGGGCTCTTCGTCCTGTGTTCGTGCTATTCAACACTCAAGATGTACTAATAAGCCCAAATGAACGTGCTAACATTGTGCTCTTTAACAACTGACCATAGTTGAGGTGAACAGGAAGATGGCTTAACGAAACACACTTAGGTCGGGGATTTTCGTTGAAACAATGAACCGCTTTTGCCAATAAAGCTTTCAAGTTGCAAGACAGTACTCAGGTTCTTCGTATACTGTCTCTGTGCCATACTATATTCCAACACGTGCTGATAAGCTCAAATGTACGAGCTAACATTCTGCTGTTTCACAACTGACCACGAAGCAAGAAATAACACATTTCCTTGAATATTAATCACACCTCTGTTTTAAGCCCACAAAAAAATGAAAAAGCTTTATTAGCCCATGCGTATATCCCACAACCCCACTTTTCGAGCACATTTTTCGGTGCTGGCTATATACAAGATATAATGGTATCTAGGAAGGGAAGCTCCTTGTTATAATGACCATCTGCAAGCAATCAGATAATCTAATAAAAATAGCATACATCAATGAAGGCATCGGAACTGGTGGTGCCTTTCAGCAATTAGCCGCAACTATGGTGCAGAAAAATGGAGGGTGGCGGGGGGGAGTGGGCTGCAACCAAGTTTTCAAGCACCCCTGCATATGCTCTTAGGCAGCATTCTTGGGCAGATGACAGGGGTGTTCTCATCAGTGAACACACAATTTCTTAACATCCCTTTTTTTGTTTTTTGTTGCATCAGTTTCTGTGAGCTTACACAAGGAGTCTGTGGCAACAAAGCAACAATCAAGCAAGATTAAACGCGCTCCATGTCTCCATTCTGTACGAAAGTGGTGAAACAGGAGCAACACGTGCAAGCAGTTCCCTCGGCAAATGAAATGGAGGTAATTTCCTCGTCTGCCACCAGATGCCGCTAATATAATGCAACTCTCTAGGACCATGACATTACCTGGTCATCTGAAATAGCAGAGTTACGCCTCTTAAATGTTTTTCACTCCGTGGAACTGACCGAGGTCAAGGTTAGCAGGAAGACGTCACTCCCACGTCGTCAGCTGTGGCCTAATAAAGAACAGGCCTGTTTATAACAATTACTTATACTACAGATATTTGTCTCTTGCAGGCACAGGCAATGACAAAACCTCATGCTGTGCCTTCGCACCTTTCCACGTTGCCTCACTGTGGTCAATAATTCATTATCAATATGTACATCAGGGTTCCTTATGTAAAACAGTGTCTTGCACTTTGATATTGGCTCTTGGCAGAGAAGGGAAGCACGAGATCTCACTTGGTTGAACGAATCCATCGAAGGCAGTCTCTCGAACCGCGTCTTTTCGCCCAGTCGAGAACTCTTTGTGAGAGCGGCTGTGCCTGTAGAAAAAAAAACGATGTTGAAACATAGTCAGTGAGAGCGCATCGGGAAACTTCACCCTAGTTGGTATGAAATAAAGTAAATGAGCAGGCCACAGACATCAACAGCAAATTATAATCAAACAACGTCACAGGGCATTGGCAGTCAGCAGGGGGGTCGCAAAAGGGGCCCCTGCAAAACAGGCACAAATTACGGGCGGTTTTGACCTCGAAGGGTAAAATACTCCCGATTTTCGGGCCACTGAACTTAATCGCCCTGCGTTTGCACGCCATACCTTCTCTTACGATCATTCCTTACCAATTAGGTAAACTTTCCGTCATTCCAATTCAGTGACCTCTCGAGCAGAAGCACTTCACTACTAGTGCAAAGTACTAAAAGCTCTCACACTGGGATGCTTACTAATGCTCGCTGCACGTCGTACTTACAGGCGAGTGTAATCGGCGAACCCTATCCACTGTGTTGATGCGTGCAGGCCCGATTGCAGTGGCTCAGAAACTGAGTAAACCATCATTCCTATTATTGGGAACGTGGGTGCACCATAAGTACTTAGGGTGGGTAAACCATTTTGGTGTACAAAAACATTTCGCTATTCTATAACTCGAGCTGTTTACGGCCCTGATCACCAGACAGCAAGCCACTATCCATGCTGCATAGCAGCCATGTTGTTTATGTCTGAGCAGTTTATTTATCTCATTTGCACCTAAGTATATCTTAATTACTGTTTGTAACTGTGGCCCAATATAAGTTAGCAGACGCGGCCTCTAGCCTAAAATGAGGAACGCATGTGGTACCTACTGCTTCAACCATCACCGCAATCATTAAAAGCAATAGACACCTTTCTTTTATTGCAGCAGGACAGTTGAGAAATACCATTTAACTTTAATCAACAATTTTACCTTTACCTCTGACATCATTCGTTAACACCTCTTGTAGAGCACCCTAAGCAAAAGCATTGAGCATCTTGGACAAAGAAAGGGGAATTGATCAAGGGCTCATCTTCTTTGTTACATACAACTTTCAGTAACCAAGAAAAGTATGGGGGACACTGTTTGTAGTCTAACTGTAACGAGGTAATTATGATAATAATGTTGTGAAGAAGAAGATGTGCCTGCAGCGAGCAGCATCGCCAACGCCCGGCTCTCTCGGCTCGTGCTTCGGCTCGCTGCTGTGTTGATCTCTGCTGGACGGTTCTTCACGCTGTCTTGCCGTTGTCGTTATCGACTAATGAACCTCGTCACAATTGGTGGAGAGTGCTGTTCATCCCCATCGTGTTCATCCCCACGCTACCGCCCGTCATGACTGACAACGCCAACCCATCGGCATCGTCGCCCCAGTTCAACTGCCCCGGCCATCCTAGGCTACGGGACCCGAAGGTCTTCAGCGGTGCGGATGGGACCGACGTGGAAGACTGGCTTGAGCACTACGAGCTGGTGAGCGCCAATAACAAGTGGGATGAAGCCGACAAGCTCGGCCCTGTCATATTTTATCTCACCGGCGTCGCAGAATTGTGGTTTAACAACCACAAACACAACATCCCCACATGGAGCGTCTCCAAGACGTCATGTGCTGAAGTGTTTGGTCGGCCGGCTGTCCGCAAGCAGCAGGCAGAACAGCGCTTGCGCGTCCGCTCTCAGCAGACTGGCGAAAATTTCACCAGCTATATTGAGGATGTCGTTGACCTTTGTCGACGTGCGAATGACGCCATGCCCGAGTCGGACAAGGTCAAACACAACCTGAAGGGCATCGACGATGGCGCATTTCAAATGCTCTTGGCTAGAAATCCGAGCACAGTTTCTGAAGTCGTCAGCTTATGTTAGAGCTACGACGAGCTGAAGAAGCAACGCTCTCTGACTCGACAACCTCAGCGTGGTGGTGAGTCGCTGTCCAGTTTCGACACCATGCCTGACAATTCACCATTGCTTCAGCAAGTCCGAGCCTTCGTCCGTGAGGAAGTCGCCCGCCAACTTTCTCTAGTGCCTTTTGCTCACGAGACCACCACCCGTCTACCCGCCTCGCTTCGCACTGCTATATCGGAAGGGGTTGCACAAGCTGTTCCCCTTGCGCACTACGAGCCGCCTCTATCTAGCCGTGTCCACTGCCCGCGTGTCGCACAGCCGGTAGGTGCCCCTGTCGCCTATCCGCCAGCGATTCAGCCTGTGGCCGCGACCCTAACGTATGCAGCGCAGCCTGTGGCTCCGCCTGTCGCCTGTTCGCAAGAGATGCAGCCCGTAGCCGCCCCGCTCACATATGCAGACGCTGTGCGTAGGCTTCCGCAACCGCCCTACACCACGCGCTCACAGCGCGCACACCCGGCTGCTTATACTACACCTTTGGCGGCACCACCAGTCGCCAATCCATGGAGGACTCCCGATAACCGACCGATTTGCTACGCCTGCTTCACTCCCGGACACGTTGCCCGCTACTGCCGCCGTCGACCTCAGACGTTCGGCAACTATGCCCGGTCGTCGCAACCCGGCAGCCAACCCTTCGACCAATACGAGCCGGTCTCGTCACCTCGCTATGCCCCTACTGACCACCTTGACTTCCCACCGCAGCGCGCACCGTCTCCTCGTCGGCGATCGCCCTCCCCCATGCGTCGCCGGCCCGGACCTTCCGAACAGGAAAACTAAGCACCGCAGTTCAAGAGGCAAGAACTGCGCCGTCTTCGAACTGTCTAAGCCCTCGCCCCTCTCCTGCTAACGTGGTCGCAGTACCTGTTGAAGGTTATTGTACTTTCGCCCTTGTGGACACCGGCGCAGCTGTTTCTGTTATTGCCGCTAATCTCTGCCGTTTATTGGGCAAAGTCATGACGCCGCTTTCGGGACTGTCGCTCCACACTGCAAGCGCACAGCAAGTAACGTCTCTCGCAGCCTGCACTGCAAGAGTGTCCATCGAAGGCAATCTTTACATCGTGGAATTTATTGTTCTTGCTGTCTGTTCGCATGACGTCATCCTCGAGTGGGACTTCCTACCCGCCATAATGCCGTCATCGACTGCGCTCGCGCCGAAGTTGAGTTTTCACCCTTGTGTGATGTCCCATTACTTGACGCTCTTCATCAGCGGGCGAAGTTGCTCGTTCATGAGGATACCGATATTCCACCTGGAAATTTTGCCCTTGTTCCCGTTTCATGCAATGCCTACACTGACGCTACATGCCTTTTTATGCCTTCCGATATCTTCAAGAGTCGTCGAGCTCTGCCGCTGCCTTTCGCAACAATTGACCTTGCTGCTGGAAGAAGCAATATGTTCGTAAGATATCCGCTTTCCACACCTGTCACTTTGCTTGCGGGGGAAGGTCTCGGCCGCGTGCAGGATCTCGACCTTTCGGCTTTGGTCGATGTCCCGGATGACTACTGCGACCACCCAAAATCACTGTCGGCACTCGAGGAGTCGTCCAAGGATACGTTTTCTAGCGCTATTGCCGACACTCTCACTCCCACCAAACATGCCGACCTGCTGGATCTTCTGCAAGAGTTCAAGAGCTCTTTCGATATGTCGCAGCCTCAACTGGGCCGCACGTCACAAGTCAAACATCATGTTGACACCGGCCTACACCAGCCACTGCGTCAAAGACCATACCGTGTCTCCGCTGAAGAGCGCCGCGTCATCAACGATCAAGTCGAAGATATGCTTCGTAGAGACGTCATTCGACCATCTCACAGTCCCTGGGCGTCTCCTGTCGTCCTCGTGCGTAAGAAAGACAGATCTATCCGATTTTGCGTGGACTATCGTCGTTTGAACAAGATAACCCGCAAGGACGTCTATCCTTTGCCGCGCATTGACGACGCCATCGACACCCTTCACGGAGCGGAATTTTTCTCGTTGCTATATTTGCGGTCTGGCTATTGGCAAGTCCCAATGGCTGAAGCCGATCGTCAAAAAACGGCATTTATTACACCAGACGGACTATACGAGTTTAACACATGCCCTTTGGGCTTTGTAACGCGCCTCCCACGTTTGAACGTCTTATGGATAATACGCTACGTGGCCTTGAGTGGAATATGTGCCTCTGTTACCTCGACGATGTCGTGGTTTTCTCCCATAATTTTCCTACGCACCTCCTTTGCCTCAGGCACGTTTTGACTTGCCTGACCAACGCTGGCCTGCAGCCTAACATGAAAAAATGCCGCTTTGCTGCACGCGAGCTCGTCATACTAGGCCACATTGTGTCCAAACACAGCGTACTACCTGACCCGGCAAAACTTCGAGCAGTCGCAGAATTTCCCAAGCCGACGACCATGAAAGAACTTCGCAGTTTTGTAGGCCTATGCTCGTATTTCCGGCGCTTTGTTCGCAATTTTGCATCTATCATGTCACCATTAACCCAGCTTCTTCGCGGTGACGTGAACCTCTCCTCCTGGTCCCCTGCATGTGACGTTGCCTTCACTACTCTACGCCATCTGCTCACCTCCCCACCTATTCTTCGCCACTTTGACCCGACGGCTCCTACCGAAGTGCACACCGACGCCAGCGGCGTCGGGCTAGGCGCTGTCCTCGCTCAACGAAAGCCCGGCTATTCAGAAAACGTTGTAGCCTACGCTAGCCGCACTCTGACGAAAGCCGAAACTAATTACAGCGTGACAGAAAAAGAGTGTTTGGCTCTGGTGTGGGCGCTTGGAAAATTCCGGCCATACTTATACGGCCACCCGTTCGATCTATTAACTGATCACCACGCGCTTTGCTGGCTCTCTACTTTGAAAGACCCTTCTGGCTGCCTTGCGCGATGGGCACTCCGCATCCAGGAGTACGACATTCGCGTTGTATACCGCTGCGGACGCAAACACTCTCACGCTGATGCCCTGTCCCGCTCACCTTTATCACCAGATCCGACATGCGGAAAACACTCGCCTCGAGACCTTGTCATTGCTAAATCTCGACTCGATTGCCACCGAACAACGTCGTGACCCGTGGATCACATCTATTATCGAATATCTATCTGGCACGCCCAACCTTCCAGTATCTCGATCCCTCCGACGTCAAGCTTTCCATTTCGCCATCCGCGATCAACTCCTTCATCGACGCAACTACGCTCCCGATGGCTGCCGGTGGCTGCTGGTCATTCCACACACTTTATGATCGCAAGTATGCGCCTCTCTTCACGACGATCCGCAATGCGGCCACGCCAGAGTGTTCAAAACATATGAACGCCTTCGCCATCGCTATTACTGGCGCGGCATGTACAATTTTGTACGCAAATTCGTGCAGTGCTGTCCTGACTGCCAGCGACGCAAACCAACACTGCCACGTGCTACAGCCGCATTGCAGCCACTTCCATGCCCTGCCAAGCCATTTGATCACGTCGGCGTTGACCTCTACGGCCCCCTTCCATTGACATCAAATGGTAATCGGTGGATTATAGTGGCAGTTGACCACCTGACACGCTACGCCGAAACAGCCGCTTTGCCGAGCGCTACTGCTCAGAATGTCGCCTCTTTCATTTTACGTCGCTTTATCCTTCGACATAATCCACCTCGAGAGCTCCTTAGTGACAGAGGCCGCGCTTTCCTCTCCAAGGTCGTCGAAACTCTGCTTTCGGAATGCCACGTCATTCATCGGAAAACGACAGCATACCACCCGCAGACTAACGGACTAATGGGAACGGTTCAACCGCACGCTGGGTGATATGCTCTCAATGTACGTGGCATCTGATCATAGCAACTGGGACCGTGTTCTCCCATACGTCACATTCGCATATAACACCGCAGTTCAAACCACCACGGGATTCTCACCTTTTTTTTCTTCTCTATGGACGCGAGCCTTCCCATACAATCGACACCCTACTACCCTACCGTCCTGATGCTTCCGAGTGCCCACCTGTCTCCGATGCTTCTCGACAAGCCGAAGAGTGCCGCCAGCTCGCCCGTGCGTTCACCTCAAAAGAGCAGCAACGCCAGAAAGAACACCCTAGCACCGCCCTTTCAGATCCCAGATATGCCCCAGGGTCTCTTGTGTGGCTCGCAATTCGACACCAAACACCGGGACTCTCCTCGAAACTTGTCCCCCGGTACGAGGGGCCTTACACCGTTTTGGAGAAAACCTCTCCAGTCAATTTCCTAATTGAGCCAGTTTCCAGATCGGACGACATGCGCAGGCGCGCACGTGACATCGTCCATGTTTCCCGACTAAAACCATACCATGAGCCTTTGCCTGAAACTTCTTAAGTCGCCAGGATGGCTCCTTTTTCAGCGGGGGCGATTTTGAAGAAGATGTGCCTGCGGCGAGCAGCATCGCTAACGCCCGGCTCTCTCGGCTCGTGCTTCGGCTCGCTGCTGTGTTGATCTCTGCTGGACGGTTCTTCACGTTGTCTTGCCGTTGTCGTTATCGACTAATAAACCTCGTCACAATGTAAAAAAATTAAAGTGGACAAAAAGACAATTTCGCCACTGGCAGAGACAAAACCTACAACCACCAGGTAACATGTGCAATGTTCTACCAATTGCACAACAGCAGCAGTCGTCTTCAAGTCCACTTTGTTGGCTATTTCTGTGCATGCTATCCTGGGAGTATTAGCCTGAACCATTTGTAGCCACGACAGCAAGGATGGAACGCTCTGTTTTGCCAGCTGGTGTACCATGGCAAGGAGTCCTTTTACAAGATAGCAGCTGAACAATAGTCCCTCGCATACTACCTGAAGGCCTCAAGTCTGCCAGAACAAGATCCTAGCTAGGAACAAATGAATAAAGAGGCATTGGTCATAGAGTCATCATCTTTGTTAAGTACAACAATCCATTGAGCATTTTGGAAATATTTTCACTGCGCTAAAGCTTACCTGTGACACAGGTATTAGCCGTGGTTGTGGGATGTCGAATTGTGGCAATTGTAACTACCGTATTCACTCAATTGTAAAGCAACCACGATTTTTATGCGAGCGGGTGACTTTTCATTTCGTCCGGAAGATAATATATAATTTCGGTATTCGATAGTAACGCAAGGGTCGACCATAGGTATGGAAAAATATGAAAAAAAGTGATGCTACATTTGAGTAAATACACTACACTAACAGCTAGCTAGCAAGCATCTCTGCATGCCAAGATTCGATCACATTGCTGCGAGAACTCACCTTCAAGCTTGCCAAAGCGAGAGAACGTCCACGAGGGTGCCGGTACGACGCACCTTCACCGAGTGAGTTGCCAGCTCGTACTGACCGACCTGATGAGGAAAACGGCTGGTGGCATCAGCTGACACTGAGTCTTCTACAGCCGCTGCAGGCAGGATAGAATGTAGGGTGAGAAGACGTCGGTTGACTAAAACACCAGGACTCTTTCAAAAACAGAGGTATCTCATAGCGCTGCAGCTGTTCTCGTGTTACAGTAGGTTAGGACAGGAAATTCCAGCAGACAAGCTCGACACAGCCCACACACATCGCAGGCCTGCTACCAGGCCTATAGTTAGTTAGAGCTTAAGAAAAAAAGTCAGCTCTAACCCACGACCATTGCCTATCCCTCCCACAAACAATTTGCATAAATGATCCATTCAGGAGGAGTTACTAATCTTTAGGACATCAAGCACCTCTCGAGTTTTTCGAATGGTTGACAATACCAGACAGACACACTATCAAGTCGCAGGGTTTAGGTCAAGCACTTGAACGCCCTCGTAAGTTACGTCATGGATTCTGAGACTGCTGGTCAGACAAATGTAATGTTTTAGGCAGAAACAACAACGCTTCTTAATATGCGTAGCATTTTATTAGCCGAGAAAAAGTACCTTCTGTTCAAGCACAAACCAACAAGCATTAATGAACTTCACGGGTAAAGAGCAAGCGTGTCCGCAATGCTGTGGACGGAGCTCATATTTTTTTCTTAATTTGTAATGGAGCATAGCCGAGCTCATACAATGTATAGGATTCTCAGCCCGTACGACTGCGGCACTTATCCCTAAGTAATCACAAGCACCTCAGAGCCACCAAGTTTTTCGAATGCCATACATTAGAAGAGGCCTAGATTCGAAAATAGTGTACTAGAATCTTACGAAACGAATTCAACTGCTCTTCACGAAAGAAGTTAACAAACCACACTCACACACGGCACTCTGGTCCATGTTGTCGGTGCCTATGGTTGGGTGGAACATTTTGGACCTCTTGGTAGGTGGGCTCAATGAGCGACTCCTGTGTGCTGCAACAATGAAAAGAGAAGAAAACCCACAAGGAAACTTAATTTTCGGGGAAGCAACATAACTGCATGGTGTTGCACAATTTTAAGAGTGTGATGACAATGTTGAAGCACAACAACTGACCAAGAAAAGACAGAGGGAGATAAAGAATCAGCACATCATCTTTGGGAATGAAGAGTTGTTCTTATTGACGAGCCAAGAAAAAAATAATAAGCAACCGTTAGTATCGATATTTTACTGCACAGCTCCACAGGACGTTTTTCTGCATGATCCCCGACAGTACTTCCTTAACATCATCGGCAATGACTCAAGCAAGTAATTTCTTTAAGTTTGGTCATTTCTTCATAACACAATGAATACTTCCACACCAATAACTTTTCGCACGTATCACACCCATCACTCTTGAAACCCTCTTCGATTTTGACAATCTGTAACCTTCAGTCCTTTGAGCACATGCACATAGTAGCATTTCCAAATTTTACACTTTCAGCATTTCCGGAATCGCCCTAATGTTTAGGATCGATGTTCAATGTTAGGTGACAAACTGCCAGGTAAGCAGAACCATCGCAAGTACAGTTAAGTACATAAAGAAAGGTGTATAACAGAAGACTTAGCAGAGCAATCAATAGAAAACATAAGACTTGACAGAATCACTCACTACTTCTTCTTGAGCGTGGGCAGCACTGAAGACGGCGACCGGAACAGCAGCGACGTACCCCTGAACTTGAGCTGTCCGACGGCCAGAAGAAACTCATTGAGAGGCAGCTGTCCACCAGTGGGCAAGTTAAAGCTCCTGTCTCACAACATGCACAAAAACAATACTTATTACTACAAAACACTCATTCCTAGTACAGTGACAAGCATTTCTGCAAAAACAAACCAACTTCCTTCCCCAGTATCGTAGTGAGTTAACACAGCTTCCTTTTTTCTAGTTACGTAAAAAAATATCCACCACAGTGACAGTTGGCAGTCAGTCAGCCAGGAATAATGCAGGAATAGTAAGTCAAAAGGAGATTTCAGCTTATAGGTTTCCATAGATTCTCTCTTAAAACTGGACAATACGGATGTTAAAAACAGGAAAACATAGGTGAGAAACGTATCTGTGGTTATTTTGCATTGTACAGCCTACAATAACAAGGTACAGTGATAACCTACACCGGGGTCACAAATGAAGCCTGATAAGTCCAGAAGACACCTTTGGAAATAATTTTTTAGCGGCGCAAAACAAAGTCGAGAAAGAACTCACACAGCACTCGTAGCAGTGAACTTGTCCAGTGCCGCCTCGTCCATGGTGATCCCTCTCATGAGTTGAATGTCCTTAACCATTTTTCTGCAGACCAGCAAGAAAAGCAGCAAAGAAGCACATTGTTGTCACGAAAACACAGAAGTGCACACTACGAAACATTTCAAACACCTTTTTTTTAAACAGGAGCTCAACAGAAGCTCGAAGCTTTCCCTCCGTGTGAACAAAGAGGTAAAGACAAACTGCAGGCAGAAAGATGGACAAATTTTGTGTGAGCAGTATTGAATGATGGTGAGCAGATTTAATGAGCGAACTGGGAGCACAGGGGTAAACACAGACACAAAGCAAAGAGGAGGCACACAGCATCAGTGCTCGTGCTGTGCGCCTCCTCTTTGCTTTGTGTCTCTGTTTACCCCCACGCTCTCAGTTCGCTGAACCATCATGAATTACCAACTAGCCCACCTTTCCATCCTATTACGTATTGAATACTACTAGCGCGTACTTTGGTTAACTGCTACTTACACACAGTGATTCTTTTAGAGCTGACCTACCTCACTGAGCTGTAGTTTTTTTTTTTTTTACACGCAATACGATTTTAATGCTGTTTACAGAAAAGATTCAGGGAAGAGCAAAAATTTCATGGCCCTTCCTGTTTTTTATGTGCATCGCCAGAACAATAGAATGCGGAAGAAAAACATTTCTATGGAACGTGTAAAAATCACTGCCAATACACCGTGGAGTGTTGCACCCAACATGGAGCGGTGACTTCAATTAAGCCTACGCCAAGAGCGTGTTCATATCTGACCTATGCAGCAGGGTAGGTCCCTATGTGATTGTTAATGTTTGCAAACCATTGCAAACCTTTACTGGTCACTTTTTGTATGCAAATGACATTGTTTTAAATGTTTTATAGGTGCAAGTCTTCCCTCTTTGGGTAGCATTTTGTGGTTTGTGTTATTACTCCTTCATTCTCTTCTCTCTTTTTTTTCTTTCTGCAATGCCCATCCAAAAACACAACAGGCAGTTAAATTTTTATCGGTTCCGGAATGTTTTGCCACAAATGGCATTAAAATCAAATACTTTGGAACAACACGACAGCCCAATAAAATAGATCAGCTCTAAAAGAATCACCCTGTACTTTACAATCAGTACATTGTTTTTTTAATTAGGATATAGTGGATAGTAGCTATCTGAATAGGTCTTACAGTGCCATTGTTAGATGAGCATACTTGCTAAATTTAATTAACAAATGCATTCTAATGCGACAGCATATCAACAACCTGAAAATTTGGAAGCATTATGAGCAGGGACAGTAAATAGGCGGAACCATCATTGCTCTGGTGGCGTAAAGCAGAAGCATGATATCTACTCCATTTTGGGGTGGCGAGGGAAGGTTTGCAAAAGCATCATCACTTTGCATTCCATGGTGTTGAAATAAGGAATGATGAAGGACAGAGGCAGAATAAAATGCAGGGACATCAGCCTTTGTCCATCCTTCAAAACTGGCCAAGTGAAGTTATTTTCTGAGGCAAATGCACAAACACAAAAAGAGGGCCTAATGCAGCAAGCTGTTAGCGACCAAGTACCATTTGAATGTCGCTGCACAGAGGGTGAAATAACGCAAAGTTCAATGGAAGATAGAGAAGATGAAAGCTTGGAAGATAAGAAAAAAATTTGAAAAATGCGGTGCCCCTGGAGCCAACGTTCCAACAGGTGGTCTTGTCATTTGGAAGGCTGAAACTGAAACTTCAAGGCTGCATCAATTGCAGCCTTGAAGAATTTTATCTCTGCATGAGGGGGATCAATGTCACAAAAAAGTAACCCTACCAAACTTTCGTTTAGTACACTGTCAAGGGGGCCAGCTTGCCTGAACTCGGAATACTGCATGATGCCATCGCAGTTGGTGTCGTAGAGGCGGAATATGTGACGGCAGCGCTGCTCCCCGGGGTTCCCGCCGTGCTGGGTTCCTGGTTCCATGGCTGCCAGACCTAGTACGAGCTCCTTGTAGGTCAGCGCGCCACGATTGTGCACATCCATCGCTCTGAGCACACCAAGAAAAACAACAGTTTGGATTCATTAGGGCAAAAAACAACAGTTAAAATAAAACCCAAAGCTTTGGTCTCACAGCTGAGCTGACCCTCGCAAATTTGTTCTCTTTGCCCGTACACTAAAAGAATGTTCTCTTTGCCCGTACACTAAACGATACAGTCTTGTCACATTCCCATAATAAGACACAACAAAAGTTAAGGGTGAAATGGGAGGTTAAGCTTATATAGCGCTAAGAAAGTTTGTTTTATGAAGATGTGAAACTAAGATGTCTTTTTAGAACCATTTTTCGATTCATTTAGTCAATGTAATACAGCTATGATCTCTCTAGAGAAAATGTAAGGATTTATAAATGTTAACATTTTTCCAACACAACCAGTGAGTGCCGGCAGCATAGCCAAACAGTACTCATCTTACTAGCGGCTTAACTTTTTTTGGCAAAAGCAGAGTGCGCCTGTGAGAGAACTCACCTGAACAAGTCGGACAGCAGTGGCGACCGCTCCCAACCTAGGCTGGTGACGTACCTCTGGAATGTTGCTTCGTTCATGTACGTGCTCGGTTTAGTAAATTTGAAGAAGTCAAAGCGTACAGCATCTTGCTCTGCGAGAAGAAGCATTAATACAAAAGACTCAATGGGAGAACAAGACAATTCAACATATTTATGCGACTTCTGGAATACTGTACAGTAATAACATTAAACACACAAAACTTATGCAGTTTTACTTATGCCTTTGATGACACAAATTTTTCATTAGCACATAAAAAAACAGAAAAGGTATGGAGAACATACCCGACAGAGCAAAATGCTGCAGTATCAATGTACATATTCGCATATTAACATTTTAAAAATTCGTATGCCAGGTACAAATAGGCATTTGTAGAGTTCCACATATATATCTTACATTAATGTAATGTGAGTATGACTCAGTCATTTTAATAATACATTTGCCACTTAGAGTAGAGGCCCTAATTTGGTTAAACACTGTTACGACCGTCATCATTATTGAAGTTTTTCGGCCTTTGTGAGTGGGACGAAAATATTTCGACGCATTCCAAGCAAGGGTGTGCCGTCAAGACGGGTTGATTTCCTCTCGCCAAAACCTGAACGAGGGATTCGGGACTGGTTCGCGCAAAGAAAACGCACGAGCCAAGAGTGACCATTGTGAGCTCGACTCAAGAAAAGCCATTGTGTTTGCTGCGAGCAAGGCTTTCGAGGCAGACAAGGAGGCAGCTGGGCCATTTTTGAGGTCACCGAGGATCTGGAAATCTCGAAATCAGCATGGTATTTGCAGTTCAGGCTGAAAGCTAAAGCCAAACTGGTTGTGGCTGCATCTTGTGAGGAGAAGCGGAGCCCCGGATATGCGCAGCTAAGCCACAGCTTCTAGCAAACAAACAGGAATGGAATGTGGGGTTGAAGGAAAGGAAAGGGCACTATCTGCTGTAGCCCTTGCGGGAGCCCGCCTCGACAACGAGGGATTAGTCGACCACTCCTCCTTCCCCCTTTCTCCATAAGATCGGCTGAATGGATTGGCATACTTTGACGATATGCTGGCGCACCACTACATTGTCCTACCCAAACAGTCAGGCAAGTTTGACACGTGTACTGGCAGCCGGTTTTTTGAACCTCCCCCAACTGGCAGAAGAATCTTGGAAACCAATATCATAACATGTGCGCGAAACTTGGTGACGTGTGCGAAAACGTCGGTGCAGTGCGTTTGTGACCATATTTCGGCATCGTGTAGACTGTGCCTTCTCCGCATGCACTGTGTGGTGTCTTTCCTCTCCTCCGTGGGTGGAGCACCCAGACCATGGAGCGTCCTATTGGCGGAAGCCGCGGACAATGCGCCCAGGGTTGTCAACGAGGCGCTATATAAGCCGAAGACTTTCATGTATATTAAGTTCCACAGTTCAACAGTTCTCCTGTACAGTTTTTGACTTCTCGTTCTCCTTCTCAGTTACTAACCATGTAAATAAATTGTCGCTTTTACGAGCACCTCATCTGACTTGTTCGACGATGGGTCCTAGGACAGGGGCCCGCTACCAAACTGAGACCCGCGGGACCCGGAGTCGCAACAACACATAGAGCTTCCTAAAATTAACTACAAGAAACTTTGATGCTGCGATAGTTCAGCAACCATGGGAATGATGGGTAGTACACGGATTTGCCTAGTTTTCGTACTTGCGGGCGTCGAACGCACTTGCGGCCTCGTTTATTACTGTGCTTCAGTTTTGTTTCGAATTAAAGAACGAATGGTTATAAATCTCGCGAGCCGATTTGAAATGGTGAGCCTAGAAGGTCAAAGTATTGAAGTGCAACTGCTGAACATTTATCAATTGTTGCTTTGTGACACAGCAACTTCAAGCCACGGTTCTAACCTGAGCTGGAAGTACGAAAACTAGACAAATCCGTGTACTACCCATCATTCCCATGCTCGCTGAAGCGCCATGCGTTGTAGCTCCCATAGACACTAGTGCCAGAGTTCCCTCTAGTGGATCTATAAGAAACTCTATGGTTAAACACACCTAAGCTCAGCACGAAGTGCATGTAAACTCGACATTAAAATTCATAACGTTGCCTTGAAACTCCTATCGCCAATAGTGACCACCATATCTTGGCATCTGCACCCACCCCAGTTGTCTAGTGGTTATGGCACTTCATTGCTGGCCTGTAGGTCTGCAACGGCACTTCCTATCTGCTGGCAGCCTTCTGGCGCTTTTACTGTCCAACGGTTCTCTGCTCTATGCATTACGTAGCCAGCCCAGGTCAGTTTCTTTCACTTGATGTCAACTATATATCTGATCATTCTCTGGGCCATTCTATCCATCTCTAATCTCTTAATGTTAGTCATATAATTGTTCATTCCACTAAACACTGCATTGTTCTCAACTTTTGCTCCAGTTTTCTTGTCATCCTCTATGCTTTAGCCCCTAACGTTACAACTGGTAGTATGCAGTGATACAACCATTATTTATCTGGGAATCTGCGTATCATGAACGTATATGACCTAGCCTACATTTCGATGCCTGCGCAGCTTGAATTTCAACAAACCTTGTTGGCCAAACTTCGCTGACTCCAGCATCTGCTCGATCTGTGATTCTCGGGCGGGCACGCTGGGTCGAGTGGGCGAGCCCTGTGCCGTCAGAGGCGTGCTGGCGTTCATTTCGAGGAACTCGCACGGCACGGGCGGTTGCCGGTTTTGAAGCAGCAGCTTACAGAGCTCGGCGGGCTCCACCCCGAGGAACGGCAATGGCCGCACCTTTACCATGCGCTGAATTTCCTCGGCAGACACCCATTGGATGTGTATCGGGTTCGCCTGCATTGCACCATAAAAGAACAGAAAGCCTCATAAGGGTTGATTTCTCACCGCCATTAAAGGGGTCCTAAACCACACTGGTGGCCATCAAGGGTAACTGACCGGATTTCCAGTGAAGGCAAACGCGTGAGGGGGAAACAGAAAATTAGGCGGCAGATAAGACTATGAAGCTTGCAGGTATAATGTGACAGCAGAGAGCACAGAAACAGGTTGATTGGCGGAACATGGTAGAGGCCTTCGCCCTGCAGTGGGCATAGTCAGGCTAATGATGATGATGTGAAAACCGCTTCTTGGCATTCGTGAGCGAACAGCTCAGCCAAATTTTGCAGTCGTGCATGGCAAGGAGTTTAGAAGGTGAGCGCGAAGTTGCCATTTTTAGCCTTCGCAGTGCTTTCTTTTCAAACAAAAAAGAGTGCTCACTTTTTTTTTTTTCTTTTGAGCTGCCATCAGCTGCTGTTTGGTGTCGAAGAACAAATAGCATACTATTGGCTATTAGCCAACAGAAACCAGAAATGATGTTTAGATCAAATGCACTTATTGCCATGAGGTCCCATCGTGTGCAAGTGCCATGCATTTAAAGTCTGCTACCATTAAAGCAAAGCCACGCTCATGCACACAAAAATCACAATAATACAGAGCGGCGACATTTCATCAAACGCTCTCAAGGTGATGATGCACGCTGACTACCTTCCCTTCGTGCTAGCCTTCATTTTATAGTTTCCGGCATGCTTGTCGAGATAGAATAAGACAAAAAAAAACCTTAAAGCGCACCACAAATCTCTAAAGCTCCACGCAATCTTCACAGATTTGAGATACTATTGTAGCAATAGATTCGTGAAGCAATGAATTCCAATAGTGAGGTCATTTAATAATTGCTTGAAAAAGTGGTTCAGAACCTCTTTGCGGAATGTATACAAGGCTTCAGTTCATTTACCCCGTCCCTAGTTAAGTGGAAAAATTACCCATGACTTGCATAAAATGCACAGTTGTCGAAAGAGCACACACAAATTATGGGAGGCAAATGATCGACAACCAAATCATGACAGACTGCAATGTGTACCCAGCAATGATTGACACAGTCATGTACCAACTCTTGAAATGCTGAACTGGAAATTCAAATCCTTCTCAAAATGTTAGATATTCTGTAAAGTTCTGTCTCGATTATATCATTTTCAGTCTCCCATGTTTCTGTTAACGAATGTATATCTGTGAATATATATTATGCATATATGTACATACATATGTTTGTATTTACAGTAGTATTTCTTCTTATGCTCTTATTTGTGGCAACTATTTTACGTCCATTCATTCTTGAAACTAAAATCTATTACTCTGTAGTGTAAAATTGTATATTTCAAAACTGTTTAGTAGCTAACATAACCACTACTTTTGCAATCTGTACGTTTCTGTGTACTTTCATTATGCGTACTTTCATTGAGGGAAGCACGCCTGCTGTGAGGTCCAGCGCAGAGAGGTTCAAATCAAGGGTCTGACTATTTCCTTTGCCCAAGGCGTGGGCAATGCATCACATTGTATTACCGAAAAAAATTAACAAGTGAAAGTTAATAAGGTGCTATCAGTCTATCAACACCCTCAAGCAAGACAAGTTTGATTGCTTACGTGCAAGCCTGAGTTGTTTGCAACGAAATATTATCCTCCAACCCATCTTTGGCATTCCCTATTTTTTAATCTAGCTGCACAAGCTTAAGACCAGCTACAAGTGCTCTACTATCCCAAAATATGCTACCTCAAAGTAACAGTCCTGTTTCATTTCATCTTGTTCAATTGCAGGCTCTCTGAATATTTGAGAGGGGTGGGAGGAGAGGGGGATAAGTATCAGAACTACACAAATGAAGATTATAAAGGATGCCCTAGTTCAGGACTGTGGATTTATCTAGACACCCTAGGTCTCCTTAACATGCAAGCGAATGAATGAAGTACACAAGAACTTAAACATTTCACTTATACTGAAAAAGTTGTTATTGCAACAGAGACTCAGACACTCAACTTTTTTTGTGTAAAACAGTATAGAACATCGTAATCACTCAGCCACGAAAGTGACTCATACTTTCATTCCTGAGTACAACAGTAGCATCCACCTCAACTAGTGATACTGCCTTTGCCCATATTAAAGTATAACTTAATTTAGAGAAACTACTAGCTAAGTAGCATCTACTGTAGACATTGCGGAACCTGAAAGCAAGCAAGTTTAATCAGTGCGTTGACTCAGAAAAATGGGTTCAAAAAGAAAAACAGTAAAGCGAAATATATAGATAGAACTGTATAGACTCTTGACAACAAGTATGCCATTACTTATGGGGCCAACATTATATGACTTAAAGCTTCAAAAATGCTACATTCTGACATTTAAGGAATACCTAACAGGTCAAGAGCCATGTTTGTCAACAAAGATGGTTACAAAGATAAAAGCTTATCCTTTTTTGAGACTGGGTTGCATTTAAAAAAAAAGCTGCATTGTGCCTGTTATACGTCCCCATCTACAGAAACAAAAGTCATATGTAGCCAAATATTTTTTATTAAATATAATGTTAAACAAATAATTAACATGTCTGGTCATTGTATTAGTTATTTATAATAGTTTTAAGAATTTCATTTAGCAATGCAACATATTCGGTAAGTGTATCCAATAATGCAATGCGTTTCTGGCCTACAGAACAATAGACAAAGGGAAAGCCATTAACCGGTTCGTGCATATCTACAGCATTTGGCATAAAACCTGTATGATAAATGGTTGCACGGATTTCATGAAAGGAGATTCTAACAATCTAACATAGTTTATAAACATGCATTCACCCATTTTTTTGGCCATGAAATAGTTAATGCAGCATTTGCTACATACAAAAAGCCTTTGAAGACTTTTGATAATTCTCAATCAACAGACAGAAATTTTGTGGGTGCACAACAGACAGAAATTTTGTGGGTGCACCTAATTTTAGCACTAGATTTCAAGAACAAAAGTGTCAAACAAACAATTCAGCTATCTGCAGAATGCACTGTAAACGAACGAGGTAAACCGTAGGTTGGGGCCAATGCTTAGTCAAGACAAGATAAGGGCGATCTTTGTCAGGGAGTTTTGACAATCCCTTTGTCTAACTGCAATCACTTGTTCAACTGCAAGCGATCCATTATTTTACAACTTGCTAACGTTTTATCAACAAGATGCACAGAAGAAGGGGAGAGGATCAAGGAGTCCATTGTGTTAGACACCCCTCCACGAAGCTAATAAAAAAAAATAACGGCCGTTATTCCCAGTTTCCAATAGAGGTGTAGTAAATATGAAAATAGAGATAAATGAGCAGGCAGAAATGTGTCTTGCTGGTGGTGACTCATGAGTCCCAAACCCAAGTCACGTATTGATAGTAAAAAAACAGCGGTGGTCCTGTTTGGTCCATCCTGTCATTGTTTTACTGCTCTGTTCGTCACTATTATCGTATAAAACAAGCTCAATGCCATAGTCTTTTGAATACACACATATTACAAAGTTGCTTGGCATGAAAGAAGGCAACGCTTCCTTTTTGAGTGTAGTCGCCTGTTTCTCAACCAAACATAAACCACACAATACCGCAGCAGAAAAAGGAAAGTCGTGATGAACTGCACCGTTTCTTCGGCAGGCTGTTCCATTGGCTCGTTGACTCGCACTGCAAAGATGACTCTCGTGAAAAAGGGCCGATGAAGAGCTGGTTGTATCCGTAACACTTGTATGATACCCTGATTGGTGAACGACTTGATGGACAACTGCAAAGGCACAGTCCATATCAGTGAAAAACGATGACACATCAAGCGTTCCACTTGCAATGCTTTTTAATGCTCTTGTACACTCTTGGTGACGTCTCAAGAGAGTTCCAGTCACAAAAACCACTTAAAACGCGCGCGCGCGCGCGATCTCACTTTGGCGCGCTCGTCAAGTGCGAGACACAAGAAGGTCGTGGTCTGCTGACGCACCGCACCGCGACCTTGTTTTGGCTGCCCGGCTTTGGTAACAATGTACTTGTGACCTTCAGCATACCTAATTATGGCGACCGCTTTTTTGTGAAGGTCTTTTTCGTTGAAAATGTCAGACAGCGTGACGTATAAAGTATCGTTATACAGAGGCCTCGGTCATACACGTTCGACATATCGGAGAGCGTCATGCTTTCTGCTTTCAAAGCTTCCGCCATGTGTGTATCGAAATTGCGCATGAGTTTGCTTGTAAGGCTGCAAATTTCAGGGCACGGCATTCGTGGAAGTGCTACTTCTCTATGCATCTTGAAGACGTATACACTTCTGCACGCCGCTTTCCATGCTGCGGAGCTTATTTACAACTCATATGCTACGTGATTTTTCATCGTTTTCAAGCTTTAGCTTGTATGAAAACATGACGTTATTTTTCTGAGACTGTTTCCCGTAGCGCGAAGCATTGCAACTTCCTGCCGCCTACAAGGAGATACATTGTAGACGTATTTGAACGAATAGGCTCAAAACGAAGACATCACGCGTTTACTTTACGACTTAGAAAGCGAAAGCAACATGCCATTGTGGCTGCTCGGACGACGATCAAAAAGCGCGGTAAACCGATACAAGGGTGTGTACCCAGGCGGACGCGCGTTACGAAATAAAAGGTCTCACGTCTCGCAGCAAGGTCTCCATCGTAGTGTCCCAGCTTTCGCCGGGGACGACTTCTTTGTGTGGCAACCAGAGGCCCTTGATGGGGTAGTCCACAAGTCCACATCGCGTATCACTGTAGTAGCACAGCACACCGACGTAATCCTCGAACGACACATTCTGATCGGCCGACGATTCGTCCTGCTGGCGCTGAGAAGTAGCCGGCGAGTTGACAGCCATTTGAGAAAGCCGGCTAGTCTGCTGTCATCGCAGCGTTGTCACACCGCGACGTGCACGAAGTTTGTACGCACTTTCTCAAGACATAACTTGACCTTTCTACGAACGTTTGAACAGCGGTGCAGTTGTCGCACACACAAGCGCAACTGCGGAGCGGACCTCCCGTGAAGAAGGGCTGGCTGCCGGCTCGTAAACCGTCTCGGTAATAAATTTCCGCACAAATAAGCGAGTCATGGCTCAGCACGGGGCCGCAGAGCCCTCAGGTCATTCTGACAAAAATTTACGCGTAAATTTTGGTGCACCCATTGATGCTATCTCCGGGTGGCTATTCCCGGCCGCTACGAAACTAACCAAAAACAGCTGACGCTTCCAGAAACCATTTTGCAATGGCGGAAGCAGACGTCGAGGAGATAGAAGCACTAGTGAGTAAAATCTTCAAAACATGTTTCCCGGCCGCAAATTTTACAAATCACCCGGTCTACTTGTGTGCAAAGAGTTGTATCTACTGCCTCCTTGCAGCTGTCGCTGCCAGGGGCTTTTTTTTATTGCAGAACGTTGCGAGTTTGTAGCGCCGTGATTGCTTTTCGCGTGAACAACGCTGTAAAGGAAGTTTTATGTTGTTCGATTAATTTTTTTGCAGCCTTCACCGTGAAGCGCTTGACGCAGAATGCGAGCAAGGAATGCGTGAATGTGGAGGGATGCTGTCTGTTTTTCTGGCTTTGTCGCGGTTGCAGTTGAGCGTGCATCCTTTGCGTGGATCGCATTAATTCAGTTTCGCTCTCAAGTGCACGAACCACGAATGAAGAAGAAGCAGGAGCCCGGCACTTCGCTCGCGTTTTGTTCCTTAATTTCTGTTTTTTCACGAAGCGAATACTGTGCCGCATCGCTTCGCGTTCGTGTTTTTGTGCTGAGAACGCAATAAACTGGCGATTGTAACGCATTTTTGACACTCTGCAACGAGTGGGCTGTGGTTGCTTGTCTCAGTGTTGTCTATACTTCATTTCAGAAGGCAGAATTCGAATGGATTTTGCAAGAAGAAGTGAACATAGTGTTGCAGCAGCTGCAGGATATCATGCTGGTAAATTTTTACAGCAAACCTGTTTCATTATTTTATTTTAAACACATTCACTCATGCACGCTTCGACGCGCTTTTTCAGCAAACTGAACGGCGCTGTTTATAATTTCTGTCGACGATATATGGTTATGGATCATAGCAGCTGTCAATTTGTGCTTCTGACAAACAGCTGACTAACAAAAGAGATGCCCCCCCCCCTTTTTTTTTAATGCGTGTCAGACGTTATATGATTGTAATCGTTGTAACACTCAGGGCAACATCTTTTAATTTTTGTTTTTTACTTCTATTCTTCATTACCTGAGATTTTTTCTTTGTAATTTTTAAATAAAACACACCACCATGGTCTTGGAAGTCATAACTGGATCTCAGTAGAAATAAAATGTTTTGATGAGAAAAACATAACATATTTTCTATGCATAATACTAACGTGTCGCGGTTCTGTTCACTGTAGGGCAATGAACATGCTGAGCAGACTTCAATTAATTAGAATCAAGATACTACTTTGACGTTATCAGCAGATGCAAAAGTGTAATGATCAAGAAGGACCTCACAGATATGCAATGCATGTGTGTGTACTGCACTGTAAATTGGATAAGGATGCTATTCGTACCGAACTGAGAACAAGTTCGGAATGGTACGGAACACGCAGATCATGATGCTGTTTGGTGTATGCGATCATTGCATTTCAAAGCATTTCTGTAGAAATTGTTCTTGGTTACGATTTACTGCCAAACTGCATTTATTGCAGTCTTGCTATTTTATATATTGTGCAGTGGTTCATGTATTTTATTCATTTTTCAGGAATGCTCCAAGCGCTTTCCGCACTCATTTTCCGACCAAGAAAATCTTGTCAAGACCGACAAGCTGATTCTGAACAGTACAAGGTATGGAAGCGTATCAGCACATAATGTGCTAGCCAATGTTGTATATATATTTTTGGCATGCTTTGTAATTAACACTGACCTACTTTGTCAGTGATGGCCATCAAACTAATGACATTTTATGTGTGCTTATCTTCCTAAGTTAATTAATTTTCATGAGAAGATTTTTCATGAGATAAAGTAAACATTGCAAGACATCATTTGCTAGGTTTCCCATAACTTAAAAACACCTTTCTGTGAGGTGGAACCTGTGGTAGGACTCCTACATAACCGAAGGTATGTTGATGTTTGTTTTAAACTGATGTTTTTATCATTTCAATTTCATTGTACTGTACGTTCTTTGTGTCTCGGTTTTGTCCCTAGTCCCTAGTCTTTTTATTTTTTAAATTTTTTCCGAACAGAATGCACAAAGTTCACGAAATGCGGTTACACAACCATGAACGAATGAAAGGTGAACGAGACATTATAATGTTAAACACATCCTACTAGCAACATGTAAGTGTGATTTTGAACTCGTAGTCCTGTCGAGAAAGATGCTGCAGGCTTCAAACCAAGTGTACAAACTCTAGACATGACAACACTGCAAAGTCCAAAATGAAATAAAGTGCTCTTGTTATTCAATTTGCTGAAGGGTTGAGAGGCAGCCTAGTTGGTTTAGGTTCATTGTGAAATACTGGCAGTTTCAGTGTTTGCTTGTTTGTGTCCTCTTTCTGTATCCTGAGGGTAGTGCTGCCAATTTTTCACTATGAACTCAAATTCATTCACATTTCATTTTGCCATAATTGTATATACATGTGTATGGTATTGCGAACGTTGTACACTTAAACCTCATTATAACAGACTTTCATATTACATGGAAATAAGTTTGTTATATCCAAAAATTTATTTTAAAGGTTTATTCTCATGACTAAATCTATTGCAAGACTAATTTTCATTTACTTCGTTATAACCGATATTTTGTCATATCCGGATTTATTATATGGAGGTTTGCGTGTATATCATAGCGGCTGACTTGTCGTCATTTCTTGTTCAACATAACTTAAATGGCCAATTAACTATGACAATTTTACCTTCACTCATGTGTCTCCACTAACTATGTAACAACATTACTTTGCCATAGCCTGGTAGTCTTGCCTAACTTAGTAGCACACCCAACTCGGTAATCTAACACAACCTTACTATAGTAATACGGCTACACTAGCTGCACTTATTCTAACTCTACATTCTAACCTGGCCACATTAATCATGGCTCGGTCAGTAATTTGAGCTCATTAACATTACTCAATAATGTGCACAAAATTCTACATTATCAGTTATTATGCATTCCCAGAGTTACACAAGCATCTTAAACCAAATAAGCTCACGGTTTTCCACCAGGTGACATCTCTGATGCAAGCATTCCGTGATTACAGAACTGAAAGTCATTGCAGTGTAACAATGTTATCGTCACCAAGACATGAAAAAACTGAAACAGCTTGCAACTGTTAGTCATGATGTGTGATATGGTGTTGTGAATTCTGGCTGCTGTTCATTTTCTTTTTTTTTTTCTTGTGATTTGTTAAAGCTCCACATCTACTCCCGAGCAAATCAAAGTCCTGGCAACAATGTCAGGGGATAGCATCAGCCATGCAGTGAGTGGAAATGTTCATTTTGATTAAATATTTCTCTTTTTTTTTTGTGATGAATCTTGACAGACAGCATAGTGCATGAGTTACAGTACACGAAGACATTTAAACTTGAAGTTAGCGAATGTCCAGCAGGGCTGACCAGGGCTGCTGTAATTCCTTATTTCTAAAAATGTATTCCATTCTGCTCCGAGGGTGCCAGACACTTAACGTGGCATGTTTGCTCACCTGTCATTGAGCCAACGCTGCCAAAATACGACAGCATACTTTTAAACGCATGACTTCACGCTCACATATTGGCATAGGAGCTTAGGCGTGAAGTTCAGAAAGTGAAAGTCTAAATTTCATTTTCGCTTGCTCTAATCACACACTGTTAGTCAGGAAATCAAAAACAGCACAGTTTCCGGGAAATCATTTATGAGCCGAAATTGCGCATAGCTCTATCGTGCTTTCGATTACGTTACAGGACATCGCACTGCGCATTCCCAAACATCCTGGCACCACCCTGAGGACAATAGTGCAAAATGACTGCCAGTGGAAGCTCCAGCAGGTATGGCCGATGATCTTCTTTTACTCCAATTTGCAGATGGAAACAGCATCAGCAATATTGAGGCACTGCCAAATTACACCTTATCACTCTGTCTCATTTTTTTTTTTTTCATGACACACTCTTCAGGTTCAAGACGCAGGCAACAACCTGATGACTGCTCTGCAACTGCTCACACCACCACCACCAAGCACGAAGTTTGAGTTCAAGTCTGCAGAAGAGGTCACTCAGGTAATTGCAAAGTGACAAGCATTGTTTTTTTTTAATGTTGTGTCATGCTGGATATGTGGCAGGAAAGTTTATATGCATCACATGTAGCTGTCAATCAAGCTGTTATAGTTACTTTTTAGAGCTCTCCGCCTAACCGTTAGTATATTTTTATTGAAGTTGAATCGTGCTGGGTCAGTGATAGGGGTTAAGTGATTCCTCACAGCTTTGACGCAAGGCAAATTGCCACTTGTATCTGTAGTCCTACTATAGTTAAAATAATTAATTTCATTCTTCTTGCCCTTCAGCAATCGCTAATGCATCACTGGTATCAGCCGTTCATTGCAAAAAATAAAAGAATATAATCAATTGCAAAAAACTGTGATGCAGTATAAAAAGGTTATGTGCTCGTATCTTCAGCCTGTGTATAATTTTCTACCTTATGTAACACTTGAGCAGGTGCAATTTTCGCTGTGTCAAAACACTAACAAAAATGTGGAAAATGCCCGAACTTCGTCTTCAAGAATAGATTGAAATAGCGTTGTCGGGTCTCGTGTGCATTGCCTTCAACCGTGCTGCAAGGAAAGGAACCTTGTGCGCATAGCGATGATTGTTTCAAACTATTTTACAATTTCGATAGGATGTACAATTGCTAAGTGCCCACTGTGCCTCAGTTCTCTTTTTTTGATGATTGGCTAAGTACCCACTACTCGTTCATGAAGTGCCGCGTACACCTGTGCAACTGCACGCTTTGTAATAGGAGGGCTACTCAAAACCAGCCACTCATAGCACAGTTCACTTGTTTTGATGCCTGTTACAATTCTAGTATTCTATCACGCAAAATTACATGCACCAATGAGGTTCCTTTCGCTACGTGATATTCACCGCGGCAATATAACACTTTTTCCAAAACAGTTTTAAGCAACGATGTGGCTCTAATTAAACACCATCGTGCCACACAGATGGCGTACGTTTGGTTCTCGCCACTAACCAAAAATTTTTATGGATTATTTTATTCGCACCTTACTCGATTTTTCAGTCACGAACAAGACGATAACTTTTCGCTCACAACCAACAACGGTGATGCCAGAATTTCCGTAAAATGAGCTCTTTAACGCTACCATGTTAAAAAGTTCCACCTCTCACTTGCTACTGCATCTCAGTAACACGATAGTTTAGAATAATTGCGGTCATTAGAACAGCTGTTACCAGCACGCACCATTTGTCATAAGCCTTGAGCTCGAAAGTGTTCACCTCTTTCATTTTTGTATTGGACCTTTTGTGTGCTACGCGATACAAGTGGCAGGATGTTGCAGCTTTTCCTGCTACCTACTGTTGCTTTTGAGCGAGTTCACCAAGTCATCATTTTCGTTGTTCGTGAGCTGTGCTTCACATTTTTATCATAATAACAATCACACCCAGCACCTCCGAGACCGTGCCTAAATGCTTCTGGCCTTTCGGGCCACTTCCTTGCAGCTCATGACTACCGTGATGGGTTGCCTGCAGAGGGGTCGGGCGAGCCTCATAATTCCGAAGAAACGCACCATCGACGAGATCCTCGGAAGCCGGAACATGGTGGGTGCTTCTAACGCAGGTCGACCCCACGCGTCGTGGGAGTGGGACGCCGCATTATTTAACATCTTGCACTACACAACGTTGCTTTCCAGGCATCTGCAGTAGAACTTCATCGATGCAATTTTGAAAAATATCTGGGAAAAAAAAAAACGTACTGACAAAAGAGAGAGAGATAAATAGAGAGGAAAGGCAGGGAGGAGGAAACTTACATTGCAGAGGTCACTGTTACGAGCAGCGTCCTTTGGTTATGATTAGGCTTGCATAAACACTTCACATATTTCAATGGGCATTGCAGTATTCGAATTTGTTTTGATTGGAATTTAAATAAGTACAAATTTTGAATTATTTAAAACCAACGAATAAGTGTATATTATTCTGTATGTAATCCTCCTGTAAAGGTGGTTTCACTGCGATTGAGGAATGTAGTACCGTGAATACATCTCAAGGGAAATCTGTATCGCAAAGAAGTCCCACTTCGAGGTACGATGAAAATATTGCACTCGCATTGATTAATCATTTTTTAAATTTGAAAGCTTGTTATATTGGCTTATGTGCTGTAGGTATAGTAAACTTTAAAAGTTAATGTATTTTACAGGTTATAGCTCGTGTTCTACTGAAAGAGAAATCCTGCCGCTATTCAAAGTTGCTTCGGCTTACTTTGAACAAAAAACGAAGACATTTGCGTGTGCCTTATTTCAATTTTAAAATGAATATATTGTGCATGTTAGCTGGGTCATCACTAATATGCTCATTTTTTTTATAATATGTGACATATACCGTTTGCCTTCAATTCGAAATTATCTGATAAAATCACTATTCTGTTCCAACCAAAAGTTTTCTATTGGCGCAAGCCTAGTTATGGTATCATAGTCAATGGCACCAAGAAATCGCACGAAACAAGAACATATCAGTGAGGTTTTACTGTATTTTGTGGAATGCTTTTAGTGGAATGCTTCATCACTGACTTTGTCAATGCCGTAAAGTTGTCCTGTACTTCGTGTTTGGACAGCACCACCTCTTTGCAGACTGTGTGTTTAATATTTGAGAATGTCGTGAAGGAACGATGGGTGGATGAAAGGAACAGATGCAGAAGTAAAGGCGTGGGACATTTTTCTTGAAATTCTGCCTCTGTGGTGCCATTCACCAATATGCACCAGCTCTAGTTTACCCAGTTGCCTTCTTTGTTAGTCACATAGCTTCAGGCGGTTTGTCATGATTGTATGATAACAAGAAAGTAATTGAAATGCTGCATGTGAACCGCTTGCTCACATTTGCTTAATTAGAAAGTCCTTAATTAGAAGTCCTGTAGTGGCACCTAGCAGCAGTGCTATTGCAACAACATTCAACACAAAATTTGCCCATCGGCATTTCATGGTCGTGCCAGCACAAGTTGCTAGGGGGGGCTTACACTTAGACAAGCCGATTGTTTGCAACACTTGTGCAGAAGTCCCTGCAACCACCCCTGCCTCAAGACCTGGGTGCCAGCTTCTACGTGCAGTCCCACAAGCTCATCTTTGCCGTGTACTACGTCCACAAGGACTCGCACGGACAGCCCAAGTTTGACGTCTTTCAGGTAAGATGTCGGCGCTGCGAAGGCAAGCCGAGTACTAGCTGGAAACCATAGTTATACGCTAGCAGTTTTCTTTTGCACAATTAGTGTTGTTCTTTGACCACTTAAAAGGCACATTGGGGAAGATAATGCTCTTAAACTTTTCTTTAATTTCTTAATTGATTTCGACAAAAGCTTGCCAAGTCTATGTATATTTGTGTGCCGATTTCAAGTATGCAATTATTTTTCTAGTATGGTGCATAGTTTTTAAAAGTAAAGTGATTTCATGTATCAATTGAGTTGGCAAGATTTTTCCTAAACTGGAAGAGTGCCAAAGTAAATCAGCTTAACAAAATAGTCTGCAATCGGAACTGTGTGCAGTACAGCAAAGAAGGGTCTTTTGAACCAATTTGAGCAATAGTTACCCTACGTTGAACATCGTGAGTTAATCTTAAGTAGGAAGCTGGTTTAAATTATATGCAAATAGATATAAAAATTGATTTGATTGATTGATTGATTTGTGGTGTTTAACGTCCCAAAACCACCTTATGATTATGAGAGACGCCGTAGTGGAGGGCTCCGGAAATTTCGACCACCTGGGGTTCTTTAACGTGCACCCAAATCTGAGCACACGGGCCTACAACATTTCCGCCTCCATCGGAAATGCAGCCGCCGCAGCCGGGATTTGATCCCGCGACCTGCGGGTCAGCAGCCGAGTACTTTAGCCACTAGACCACCGCGGCGGGGCATAGATATAAAAATTATACATAAACTCACCGAGTATCATTAAAATGAACCAAGAAATGTTTTTTCAAATGCCATGTCTCCCTTTAAGGAAATTGCAATATTGAGATGAGTTAGGTCTGTTCCCATTTTCTCTTCGTTAATACGTTACCAATGAATCTAACAAGGAATGAAGCCAAGGAAAGCATGGGGGGCAATATTTGTAGTTTTTGAGTGAGGTATGGTAAGTTATATAAGAAATGCACAAAAAAAGCCATGGCGCAACTACCGTTTGTACAGTTCTGTATAACAAAAAGTGAGCCCCCCCCCCCCTTTTTTTTTTGTTCTGTGCATAATTTGAGTATATGAAAATATACAGGCTGTTTCACACTTAAGGGAAAACTCTGAGCGGATGGCATCGCAGTGTGGCAAGCGCTGGTGTTGGGAGGCAGCAGCAGCTCTCGTAGTTGCAGACGGTTGAGAATGGAGTATTAAACCACAACGGGATGCGTTGGTCGTGCTTTCCGGAAGCTTGCTATTTTCAGGTGCAGTGAACAGATTTTATCGTTAGTGCGTGAGCTGAGCCGATAATCTCTGCTGAACGTTGAGCGGCATCGACTACTAGGCCTTCATTGGCAAAAGTAAGGTGCTACAAACTTATTCCAATAGCATGCTTCACTCTGTGAGCTACAAATGATACACATGACAAGAGGCAGCAAACTGTGTTTGCAGCGTGCTCGGTCTCCAAGCACTTCCTCTGAAAGTATCACACTTCCAATTAACGCAGGCAGCGTGCGGCGCCGTAGCAGAAGACACGGTGCAACACGACACACTCAAAGCACCTGCGTCTACATCAGCTGTTGTTGGTGCATGAATAAGAGCTCATTGCATGACATTTCTATGCATTCTGAGATTTCCCCTGAGAATGAAACAGCCTACATACATGTGTTTACGAGCAGTGTCTTATAAATGAACAATGCAGACAAACATCAAGCTAAAATGAGTTAATTGACAAACTAGTGCTCCAAAATACCAGAGCATTGCTTTGGCTTAACATTGTCTCAGTGTTAGTGAAATGGTCATGCCAAATAAAGAAAATGCCTAAATAATCACTAATACTGTGGAGACAGTTTGACATTGCTCTTATAGACTTCAACCTTGCATACTGAATCACGTCTGTGCATTTCAGGCCGAAACATCTGTTCCCTGGCTGAGTGAAGTCCTCGTACTCTTCACCATAGCCCTGCAGCTCTGCCAGCAGCTTAAAGATAAGGTGAGCCATGGTGCTGCTCATGCATGAAATCTTCACCCTCATAAAGTGAGCACGACTGGTTAGTTCATTTAGCATATTTCCTACTCACATCCCAGTGAATGGCTAAACGTATTCAAGTAGTATCTTCTTTTTTTTCCTTATCATTTTTTTTTGCACTTTGTTTCATTGTAAGGGGCATGTTATAAATGCATGTAAGCTTTCTGAATGGTAATATGTAACTGCAGTGCAGACGCAACCATCTCCCACTTTACGCCGTGGCAAAAGTTAGAAAGCCAGTAAACAGGCTCCAGCTTGTTCTTTTAGACCTCCCAAACAAACATTCTAACTTGTGTAGAAGGTCGTGGTGATCACATTTTGCAAATATCACAGGGTTGCAGGCCTTGCAGCCACTTCATTAAAAAAAAAAATAAAATGCTCGCTCACCTTTCTAGCGCCTGTCCAATTCTCGTCGTATGCGGAACGACGTAATCTTGACCATGCGCAATGTTACACAGCACTGACCTCGTCGATTGTACTACGAAACAGCGCCTTGGCCACACCCTGATGCAGTGTTGACTGTTTCAACTGCGCAGTCCACATTTTCTTTTTCCGGCACTGCCCCGTGCGATTTTGGTAGAGCGTCGAGACTACCAGGGCAAGCGGTAATGCCACTGCCTCAACTAAAGCCTTCGAAATGAAGAGGTGTCTTGTGATTTTTCCACTAGGTGAAGGGTGCATACCTTGCTAGTGTTCTCGTGACCTTCGCTCAGTGCTTTTTCCCTGCCCTGTTCTGACACGAGTGAAAAGTGGTGTAAGCCTTGCTCTGTCGTTGGCTATGTGCTGATGACGTAATCGCTGGTGTCGCATTACAATGCTGAAGTGGTTCTAATCCTGTCAAAGGTCTATGCCTACCCCTCTCCACTGCTCAGAAGGTTGGGAAGGCCAAGCAAGAAACTGAAAGCAGCTGAAGCGGGTTGTTCTATACCCTATTACTTCCTTATTAATGCATTTCTTCGCAAAGTCCTTGCAGTAGCATGTTCACGTCGTACAAACGCACTGTTATTTCTCCCCCGCAAAACTTTGGGCCGCGAGTTTGTCTACCGGCCCTCTAAAGAGCCTGTAAAACCACCCAGAAGTTATAAACCACCCAGCGGTGAAAAATTAGCTGTGGTGTTGCAGTTGTGCACGAGTCTATAACTAACACACTGCCATGAGAGTTCTTCAAAGCAGTGCCATATTGGTGGAATTTCACGTGTTTGACGATGTAAGAATTCTATTCGGACAACATTAGAACCCTGTCATCATGCTTCTTAGAGGTCTATGGAGAAAGAAAGCATGATCTGATGAAGCGCGACTTCTATTAACAGTTGCTTCAAACAAGCCACCGATGTGACTGGAATTTCAGAGTGTGTGGGCTGGGAAAACATAATGAACTGGAATGCCACGTGAGCTATGGCTAGTTGGTACTTTCGGGGACAAAAGTAACTTAAGTGTCTCAGTTTGTATTGGCTTTTGTGACCAATATGGTTACAGTATTAATAAAGGTAAAGGGGTCATGCATTACCAGAACATGAATTCGTATTTGCCATGAAGCTCATATCTAAGTGTTTTGCATACGAGAGATCAAGGCCAGTTTTTTTTTTCTTCTTCTTGTTCTTTCCTCAATGAACGGTATCTTCAGTGCACATATTTTTCAATAGGAACTAGCAAACAGCATGATTTAACCACATTTACACAGCAGGCCCGTAGCCAAAAGAGTGCCCTAGCCCCCTCCCCCACTACCGAAATTCGGATGGAGGAGGGTGTTACACCAAGAATAAATAACAAAGATACATAGGTGTTTTTCAACAAGTGCCCCCGCCCCCCTGAAAAAAATCCTGGCCACTGGCTAATACTACATTGAAAACATACTGGTTCAACCAAAAATTGGAAATTTGTTTTAGTTAACTGAAAGCTTGAACTATCAGAGTTTTATGTCCGCTGCGGTGGGCCTTATGGTTATCGTGCACCACCGCTGACCCACAGGTCGTGGGATCAAATCATGGCTGTGGTGGCCGCATTTTCGGTGGAGCTTAAAATGTTTGAGGCCCGTGCGCTTAAATTTAGGTTCACATTAAAGAACTCCAGTGGTTGAAATTTCCAGAGCCCTCCACTACAGCGTCTTTCATAATTATGTCATGGTTTAGGGACATAGAACCCAGTAATTATTAATTATCAGTTTGAATTATCATTAGCCTAGTGTACATATGCCTGCACACCGACGTATAATGTGTCAAACAGTAGTCAGTATAGGTTGTCCATCTTTCCCTCATCCTTTGTCTCTTGAGCATTTCTTTTTAAACAGAAACGTATCAGCAAAGTGTTGTTGTACTTTTCTTCCTACATTTGTCAGTGGATGCAGCAGTATTCTGCCTATGTCTCATCGTTACCAGCCAGCTGCTAACAGAGTACGACAAGAAATAGATGTCGAGCAAAAGTTTGAGCCAAATTGAGTTAGAGCGAATGTGAGCCAACAGTGCAGGATGCATACAAGTGCTGCATCTTCTTACAGGTTGGCGTGTTCTACCAGTACAGGGAGTTCCATATCCCGTAATAGAAGAGGCACAAGCTCACAAGCTTGTGCTGTGAGAGGGGACAAAGGGGAAGGTGTATTCATAGAGAAATACTTAAGGAACAACAACAAACTACAGCGTTGCCACACTACCAAAGCTGCACTATGCCTATGGAAGCGCAGTTCCTCTACAACGTTCCAGTTGGCATCGCCACTACTGGCCCAGGCAGCTGAAAGAACTCAACTCGCCCAAATGATTTTTACTCTTATTCTCTGTCCTTTCTCCCAGTGCTCGAAAAAGAAAAGGTCACGGGTATCCAAGTGGAAGGCATTAGTGTAGTGAGAAAAAAAAAAAGCGATTGTACTATGTCGTATGCTGGCAAAACCATAATGGTGTGAACCATATGTAGGCTTAACTCCAGTTGTGACATAGCACCTCTTGCAATGCTACTGATGCCTGTGTTTTCAACTTTTCTTGTATGTCCCTTAGCTTTTTTTTTTTCATGTATTACACTATATTAAATTAATATCTTTATATGCAAAAGTCAAATGAGTATATCTTAGAATAACTAATACTTTTTTTTCGCACTGTGCGAATTATTTTTTCTATCAACACGACTCCGTGTAGCAAGCATGACTTGTCTGACTTATGGGCATCCCTGACGGATAGTAAGCCCTTAAAGGTAGATTGCCAACACACGCACTGTATCACATCAGTCGGTCTTACACTCTGTTGAAGGCTCTGTGGCCATTTTTTTGTTTTCATGAGTTTTTTAAATTATTCTATAGAACATAGAACAAAGACCACTGTCTTTTTTTCTTTTCATTGAGTTTCTAAGATGTCGCATATGCATAATATGTAACAAATTTTTGTTTTTGAAATGTGCTTTGGGTTCACATTTCAGTTTGAGTGTGGGAGAGCTGTATAGCTGCATGCCGCTGCGAGGAATGTTAGAAAAGGCAGCTGTTTTGCATTGTCTCAACAATAGATCCTTATGCATGTGACAAATCAACATTTTTCCTTAATCTAAGCACCTTGCAATGAATGGTGTTTGTATGCAATCTGACACTTAGATTAGTGGCATTATCGTCGGAGACCAATAAGATGTGAAGATGAGAATTGGATCAGCTTAAATAAGACTGCCGCTAATACTTTGTAGCGAACAGAATTACGATTCGCTTCAACTTTCTGTGCAGCTGTGTACGCAGCATCCATAACAACGATGGCTGCGTAAGAAGGCCACGTTCGACATAAAGGATGTGCGCAGAACTTGTGCTCATGCGCACTATGCAAAACGTGGCATTCTTACATATGCGATGCTTTTACAGACAATGTATGGCAGCACTGAAGCTTACTGCTGATTCAATTTCAGAAGTTCAAGTCAGCCGAACCTTAGTGTTTCAGTGTGGTCTTCTCGTTTCGTCTGTCTATGATGTAGAGTTTGCTGTGTCGTCAGAGCATCCTTCAGTCTGTACCTTTGCATTCGTCTACTCTAGAACTGTACACCTCGATCCTATCTTTCCCACTTTCACCAAAAGTAGCCAACTAACAATGAATAGAATTGCATTGTCTTAGTGTTTAATCGTAGATTCGGTACATTGCAGAGTGCCAGTTGGCTAGATAGTTTACGAAGCAATAACTTCACTCTGCCAGCATGCATGTGTAATGATGAGCATAGTGCACGTGCCAGACTTGGGAGGCATCGTAAAGCATTGAGTGATAGCTGCCACTTATAGAAGCTGTTTCTTCAAATTTTTAATAATTTTTTTCTGCATGTTTGCGTTATAGTTGGTGCATGTATATTATGAAGAACTGTTTATGTATACATATTTTATATATATACATACATTAGGTTTTACACTTATTACAATGGAACTCAGAAGAAAAAGAAACTGACTTTTGTTGTGGATTTTAAATGAGATGCTGAAAATATACTCTTCTTTTTAAATAAAAAAAGAGGCAGTATTATTTTTTTCTGCTAAGATTTTTCTGCCGGGAGTGTGCATCAATGGTCATGCAACATATTCGTTAAGCACGCACACTTCAATAGCTAAGTCTTTTTCTGCACTGAGGTTTGTCCTACTCAATATTCCTGCATTGTGCCACGTTGCCAGTTAATACTTTGACTTTCCAACAATACATGTGACAAAGCACTTTTAAGTCTTCCTTGTAAAATATTTCATTACTAAATAATATAATAGTACTAGCACATTGCAAGCAGCTTTGTGGCGGCTCGTACAATCGTTTGTACTTCGCACAGTAGTATACACACCAAAATGTTACAAATTTATGTTTGGTCCACGTCGCAGTTACCTTCGAGTTGCATTTGTCGGCGTGGTTTTACATCACTCAGATTTTGTACGTGGGTCACACTTCCCGCCGTACAATGCCTCACCGGCGTGCAATGGTGTATTTTGTAAGACAGCAGTGGCCATGTGTGTCCAAAAGCATCAAACCGATTGGCCAACACAGCTTGCTGCTTTGAAAACTATGTTTTGAAGGAGCTGTTGTTAGTAAGGACAGGCTATGCCAGAACTTCACAGAAAAGAAAAAAACGGGTCCAAATTCAATTTCCGTACAAAAATGCATGGTACTGAACTTCATTACACTCTCATTTTTCTTTGCTTGCTAACTTGGTGCACAACTTTGAGTACATTTGCTCTATAATTGTGTTTCTGCAGACAGAAGCAAGTGTGGGCTTACAAAAATTGAACCATTTCAATTTGGTCACATAGCCTGAACCATTGAACTGTGTCTATCCCCTCATTAGAGAGAATAGACGTGATGCGAGGCCAATACTTTGTTTATTGAGTCATACTGACAGTTGTCAGAAGTTTAATTAGAGACGTACTACATCATTAAAAGGCATGAACATGTATGCCAAGATTACTGAAATTTTTAACTGATAATCTGGCTCTTCACAAAAATCTCTTGTTTGCGTTAGTGTTTATTTGCATAACTTGCATTGAACTGTAGCCTGTTAATGCAGTGTTTGCAATTGCAGTGAATTGTTGGTTGCATCGCTGAAGAACAGCGACATAACTAAGCAGGGTAACCTATTGGCTCTTACACATTCAGCATTTGGAGGGACAAACACTTCACTAGTAAGTTAGCTCGCTACAACGGTTAAAAAAAGCAGTGGTTGCATTATTTAAACACAATAATAAACACTTCCTGTGGCAGCATGTGACAATTTCTTAACAAATGGTACGCTCCGTAAGTCACAAGAACAAAATGATTGTGTTCATCTGCCCTGAAAGGCGAAAAATGGCAGAGCAGTTTTGCTACTTCAAACGTTAGGTGACAGCGCTGTTCTATTTGCCATATCTTGAATTTTGGACCTTTGTCATTCAGCAGCACTGTAGGTTCATGCTATATTCATTACTTATGAATATAAATCAAGACAAGTGCTAAATTGAAGGACAGCATTGCAGTTTACCAGAAAAGTGCAGCCTGTACGCCAAATCTGAGCAAAAAAGACTCGCTGCCTCAAGTAAATGAGTAAATTTAGAGCGAGCTCCAGTGTCAACGAAACATTCCACACAGTCTGCTATCACTGCATTGTAAAGCAGTATTTTGTGGGTACTTATTTAAATGCAGGAGCATCTTCTCATTTGCGACCAATCGCTTCAGTTGATGAAGGAAGCACCATGCAAAATGGTCGTTGTGTGTCACTACAGTCATTGACAGATGGTCACCAGTGAACATTAGGCTGAAAGCTTCCTGTCATACATGGTAGGTGAACGCATTAGTGAGGCTGTTTTGCACGGTTATATTGTTTTGATACTAGTGGAAATACGAAACACTGAATAGCTTTTCAGCAGTGTCTCATGGATGTCCACTTTTAAAAGAACATTCTGTAGTATACTTTTGAATTTTTTATACTGTTTGTTGACATTGTTTACTACTTGTGCCATTCTTTTTTGTTATTTGTATACTGATGAGTTAGAAACAATAAAATGATCCTAACACAATTATTGTGGGCCTCTGAGTATTTTCTTGCCTTTTAGCCAACTCGTAACTATGTCATATGTTACTTGAAAGTTCAGTTTCAACAACTGTTACAACCAGTAAGTTAACCCATTAGCTACTGAATATCGCATCCTCTGCATAGCCCTCTGCACAAATGATTTCCGCCCAGGTTTAGTGCACTTCAAACAGCGTGCATTAACAAGCTTCCCAACGTAGAATTTGCCTGGCCCAACCTAACCCGTCTTTACTGCCTGGCAGCCAACGCTGTGGTTTCTACCCGAAAGGGCACGACATCACATGGACGCAGCATACGTCGAACTTTCCATTAGTTCAACTTTCATGAGCGTTCAAAGCACACGCACGAGTATGCGATGATGAAACTTCTACAGAGACTTGACTGCGCGAGTGGAGTGCAGCCGGCCAAAAATGGAACTTTTGCAAACACAACTAGCTATGCAAACTGAAGAAAATTGAAAAGGCAGACAGGAAAGAGCGCAGAATCTCTCTTCTCATTTTCCTTCAGCTTGCATAGCAAGTCGAGTTTAAAAGTATAAACCAACTAGTCTGCAAACAAGTATAGGAACTTTTACACAGCTAGTGCCATTCTATATTGTAACCTCGTTCTTTCTTTCATGAATCTTATGGAAACACACAAGCAGCATTTTATTACGTCTTGCAATGCTGAAAATGCTCTTTTTATCATAGGTAAGTAGCTTGAATACCAGTGATAATTTGTAATCTGGACTCTTAATGTCATCGGGCCCATTCCAAAATGTCCCACTAGTGGTGCATAGAGTGGCCTATATTGTACGCGACTGCCTCAAATCTTCTAAGTTTTGTTTTATTTATTTCTTTTTGCGTGTGTTGTGTCGTGCGAGTGTCCGTTGGTCACTCGAGGGGGCCGTCCTCCTTGTTTACGAGCAGCAGCGATCGGCGAGCCTCCCAGTGCTGCGGGCGCCGGGTCAGCACAAAGGCGGCGGCCCGCTTTATTGCACCTTGCGAGTTCGGGTGCAAGAAGAGGGAAACATGCCGCTTTGCGCATCCGTGGCCTGTGGGACGTTCGACACTGCTTCCCCGAATGGCGAAGCGACGGACTTCCCCCACTGACTTCGTGGAACAATTTGTGCACGTGTGTGTGTGTGTGGTGCGTGCGCGTTTGTGTCAGCGCGCGCGTATGTGTACTCGGATCTGTGGTCGAGAGAGGAGAGCGAGAAAGCGCGGGAAGAGCCAGAGACGCAGCGAGAACGGCGAGCGAAGAAGAGTCTGCGAATTACGAGCGACTTGAGCGGTTGTGCGTTGTGCGGAATTGAACGGTTGCACGAGTAATATTGTAACCTAGTTTTCTTACTTAAATACAGGCTTCTTTTGTTTACATTTTCTTAACAGTGCGTGAGTCTTGTGTTGTGTCTTCTATCATATTTCACCTTTTTACGGCCATATCGGCGACACCCTAAACTTTACCAAAAGCGGGATAGAGGACGCTAACAATATTTACCCTAGTGTCTCGTTAGCGCAGCACTGCTATTGATAATATTGACCTTTCACTTTCGACAAATTTTCATTCACTTTTAGTGTCCCTTCAAGTGAGAGTTGAATTCCTCAAAACTGCGGCAAAAGATAGCGGGAAACATTGGATCTAAGTAACTCGCAATCGTACTAGCAGTGATATGATCGACCAAAGTCACTTCAGTGCAATTACTAGATCGGCTAAAACCTCGCCTTGGAGTAACGCAACCTTTTGGAGCAGTTACCTAACACGCATTTTCAAATACAAATATTTCTCGCTAAGTTGGAGCAGTTTAACACATATTCAACAAAGTCGGCTTATGCACAAATACGTATATGTTTACTTATAATGCCCCAAAACATGAAGTTGCTGGGCTTGTGCGTATGGTAAATTTTAGGCTCGTAGCGAATTCGAAGCGAATAGTGATTTTGATCTAATAATTTTGAATCGAATTGGAATAGTACATATGACATATGAAGAAATATGGCATACCTTTTATGACCTAACTAACATGCACAACATTTTTTAAAAATTGAAATAAGGCCTCTATGCAAATGCCCTCTTTTTTTTCTTTCAAAGGAAGTTTAAACAACTTTGAGTAGTAGCAAGATTTGACTTTCGGTGTGATGCAAGTTATAACCCTTATATAACGAAACATTTTAAAATTTATTATACTTGGAGCATGCAAGCAGTCATAAGCTTTTAAGCTTGATAAAATGAATTGATTTAAAGGTAATATTTCTATTTGAAGGGGCCGTGCAACACTTTTTCAAGTAGCCATGGAATGGATTCCCTAAAGAAGCTTATTTCCTCATGAATTCATCACCCAAAAATTTTTTAGAATCCTTCCAGTACGTGTGGAGCTGCAAAGATTTGTCGCAGGCTGCAAGTGAATTTTTCTATTCTCATCTCGACGAAAGCGCTGGAAGTTATGCAGAGAGGGATAGCACAAGGAAAGAAAATACATCGCGGGTGCTTTCTGAGCTTGTGGAGTCATTTGCCTAGAGAAGAGAGCAATTTTTAGACGACTTTGAGAATTTGTTGGGAATCGCACGCCGCGTGCTGCGCTATACTGTTTGGCTTGTGTGTCCTCGGTAGCCTCGACTACTGATCGGCAGCGTTTTCTTACAATGCTCAAAAAGTGTTGCAGGGCCCCTTTAAATTTGAAGAAGGGCTTCGTGGGCAAAGCGGATTTCTCCTGGATAGGATGATTTCATGGTTCAGGCACTCCGACAATGCAGTGAAACCACCTTTACAAGCAATACATTCGGATTAATATGCATCTATTGGTTCCTAGTCAATACTTCGAAATTTTCAATAATTTAAGTTCAAATCGAAGCAAATTCGAAAAGCCTACTATTCGTTCGAATATACGCACAAGCCTAGAAGTTACTGCTCTTCGTTTTTCCGAAGACAACCTTACATTTCGTTACTTCTGCCCCGCCGCGGTGGTCTAGTGGCTAAGGTACTCGGCTGCTGACCCGCAGGTCGCGGGATCGAATCTCGGCTGCGGCGGCTGCATTTTCCATGGAGGCGGAATTGTAGGCCCATGTGCTCATATTTGGGTGCAGGTTAAAGAACCCCAGGTTGTCGAAATTTCCGGAGCCCTCCACTACGGCGTGTCTCATAATCATATGGTGGTTTTGGGACGTTAAATCCCACATATCAATCATTTCGTTAATTCTGTGACTTCAGCAACCTAACACTTTCCAGAAAACCTCTTCATACTTGTAAAATAAATATGATGTTATCTCATGCTTTAGTTACGGTACTGAAACACAAGCTGTGTAACTTTTTATGCATTGTATTTACTATCTAGAAGAAGCAATCTGATGACATTTGTACTTTTGAAACAACTTGCATCTATCTTCTCTGCATGTGCTTATGGTGAGAATCAATAAAATAAAAGGTTCAAGGGCAGTCAATAAAGCATGTGGTTCAATAATTGGTTCCTTGTGTCTGAAATGTAATTTGCACATCCGTAAATATGAGGTAATGCGGAAGGTAGTCGTATTTAACTTCAAGTTTCTCTAGCGCAAACTCCTACTATGGTCAACAAACTTAATCGAGGCACCGAGCCACCATTCTTGCTCGACAAAATCCCACAGTCCACTGCAGCGCGCAGCGAATTGTTGATAACTCTGTTAATTTTATGGGGAGACCTAATAAAAAAATTAAGCACTTTGTAACAACTTTTAAGGAAGAATATTCCAACAAATAATGTAATTTTTTTAGAACCGACTATAAAGAAACAGCCTATTCAAGTAAATGTGTGTACTGCTCAATGCAATAATAATCATCATCATCAGCCTGACTAAGTCCACTGCAGGACAAAGGCCTCTCCCATGTTCCACCAGTTAAACCGGTCCTGTGCTTGCTGCTGCCAATTTATACCCGCAAACTTCTTAATCTCATCTGCCCACCTAACCTTCTGTCTCCCCCTAACCCGCTTGCCTTCTCTGGGAATCCAGTTAGTTACCCTTAATGACCAGCGGTTATTCTGTCTACGTGCTACATGCCCGGCCCATGTCCATTTCCTCTTCTTGATTTTAACTATGATATCCTTAACCACCGTTTGTTCCCTAATCCACCCTGCTCTCTTCTTGTCTCTTTAGGTTACACCTACCTTTTTTCTTTCCATTGCTCGCTGCGTCGTCCTCAATTTAAGCTGAACCCTCTTTGTAAGTCTCCAGGTTTCTGCTTCATAACCAAGTACCGGCAAGATGCAGCTGTTATATACCTTCCTCTTGAGGGATAGTGGCAATCTACCTGTCATAATTTGAGAGTGCTTGCCAAATGTGCTCCACCCCATTCTTATTCTTCTAGTTGGTTCAATCTCCTGGTTCGGCTCCGCGTTTATTACGTGCCCTATAGACATAGTCTTCTACAACTTGAAGTGCACTATTACCTATCTCGAAGCGCTGCTCTTTTTCCGAGGTTGTTGTACATTACTTTCGTTTTCTGCAGACTAATTTTAAGACCCACCTTTCTGCTTTCCTTGTCTAACTCCGTAATTCATGAGTTGCAATTCGTCCCCCGAGTCACTCAGCAATGCAATGTCATCAGCGAAGCGCAGGTTACTAAGGTACTTTCCATTAACTCTTATACATAACTGTTCCCATTCTAGGCTTCTGAAAACCTCCTGTAAGCACGCGGTAAACAGCAGTGGGGAGATTGTGTCCCCCTGCCTTACACCCTTCTTGATTGGTATTCTGTTGCATTCTTTATGAAGCACTATGGTAGCAGTTAATCCCCTGTAGATTTCTTTCAGGATGTTTATATATACTTCATCGACGCCCTGATTACGAAGTGTCTGCATGACAGCTGATATTTCTACTGAATCAAACGCCTTCTCGTAATCTAATTAATTAGATTACAATTAATGCAATCAATCAAATCGAAGACTGTCATCCAAAACTTTGTGGTTGCACCAAGTGTTATTTTTCTTGAGCTCAGTCTACATCACTTGAAAGCTATATTACTGAGTAGTGGCATAACCAGAAATCTTTTGTTGCAGGACGGGGGTAGGGTAATGTTTGTATGTCCGTGCATGCATCTGTCTTTGTGCGTGTATATACACACATGTAAAACTAACAAATTCAAAGAGGGCGGATGAAATTCCCTGGCTGTACCAGTGTTTCTGAACCTAAAATGTAATCTCGCAGTGTGGTCTAGTAGTAGCAGAAAACATTACACAGTACGGGCCAACCTGAATTGTTTGGGAGTCTTGCACCTAATTACGTCGAACTGCATATCACTTGCCAGTGTGCTCCGAATGACCACTCAAAATTAATGGCACGTTAAATATGGTTTGCAAACACATTAGGGGCTTCTAGCTTGTACGTGTACTTCATTACGTTACCGTCTTACCGGATACTGAATAGAATCTGTGCATGCGCGGGTCTTTAGGGAACGTAATACTTTACGTAACGTAACTACCCGCCGTATAGACTTTACGTTTGCGGCCCTATCTCGCACATCCACCTTGCTTCGTAGGAACTCTCAACATCCGCATTGCAAAGACTCCAGCCGCTGAGCCAAAGTGCGAGCGCCAATATTGATTACATTATTTCAGCCGGATTACCAAAGCTAGAATGGCCTAGAACAGTGGTTCTCAAATGGGGGTTTGCGAAGCTATTTCTATAATCCGCGATACTTTCACCCGCATTTTTCTTCAAGCGTGACTGTGCCACGTATTGATGAACTGTCCAAAATAAAGTGATGTAGCACGTTTGTTTAATGTTTTTGGTAGCAATAAAAGGCGCTTGTTTCAAGCTCTAGTTGTGTTAATTTACCTACGTGCGCTGAACGTTGTGTTAATATCAGTCCCCTCCACTGCAAAGGGTCCCCCATCACTTCCATCAGTCCTCAAGGGGTCCCCGACACATCCATGACTGAGAACCACTAACCTAGAACATCAAACTTGTAAAAAGTGTGAACCCGGTTACTCCCCCCACAAACTGGATAGGCGCCGCCATATAGAGAGGCAAAAATGAACCAGGCAATCGCAAAATTGTTATTGCAGAAACGTTGTGCATTGTACGTCTGGTGTAAAAACATTGCAGCGGTGTTATTATTACAGAGTTACCTTTTTAATCATTTTCATCTCAAAAACATTAGACGTAAGCCGCAGTGTTCATGGCTGGCATTACACGAAGTGTCACAAGATGTCCACACCATCGCGTAAGCACCTTTGTATTTCTCGACTCCTTTGCGCATAGGAGGACACGATAAAATAACATCTTGTCATTTTGCCGCAGCGGTGATTCAATCCTATCTAAGCTAAATATAGTTTGAATGCAGTTGGCATCAACATTTATGGTTTCCTGAAAATGTAATAGTATATGTTTACGTACGTTTGTGGAATACAATCTCCTTGCCTTTCAAATAACTTGTTATATACGGCCGGCATCTGCGGACATCGTTTTTTGGCAAAACGTTTTGTTACTTGCAATGTAAAATGTGGCAAAAACATCAGACATACTTCGATTAGGATATACTACTTTGGTGTTTTTAACAATCTCTCCCCAAACTATCTTTTTAGCATCTTCTGTTATTATGAAGCGGATTCTAGCAGGTATTTGTAACTTTACTTACGATTTATTTTGACAAATCTTGCAATAAATTTAGCACAATTGCTGCCATATTATACTGAAATTATCTCCGAAATTTTAATGTACTTTCTCTTTCTTTTTTCGAAGTGTTGTGCCATTTCTTCAGCACTATAACGTACTATTCAAAAATCAAAATTAATGAGAACTGACAAATGATTGTGCCATGGAAAGTATTGGGGATGCTATCAGAAGTAATTGCAATGAAGTTGTGCAGAAATAAAAGTGGACAAAAAGACAACTTTCGTTGGCAGGGACCGAACCTGCAATCTTAGAATAACGTGTCCGATGCTCTAACAACCGAGCCACTACGGTGGCAATTCGCCCCGTGCACTTTATGGTGTATGTATATGCACTTAAACGCGGGAGCGTCAGTCAGCGCCACCTGTTGCCACTGAGGCGAGTGTGGTACATTCATTATTTGCTGTTGGCGTCACATAGCGCGTTATTACGAGCTGGCAACTGACCAGTAATTATTTGCATACTACCTGAAGGCATCAGGTCTGCCAGAACAAGACCCTCACTATGAAGAAAGGAAAGACGATTAAATTTAAAGGCTTGTTTTGAAATCAAGTACAACTTGCACCGGTAACATTCCTGTTAATTTATTATAATGAAGCCTATATGTTCCGACAAACTTGTCTCATGATTTTTTTTTTTTCGTGAAAGAAATGACAGTCTTCTATGATGGTGATGGCATTGGGACAACAGCCACAGAGCAGCCGCATCACAAGTCGTAATCTGCCACACTCTGCCTGAGATACTCTTCGTACAGTCGTTGCTGAAAAGAGATAATATTTTATGAACACTCGGCACTACATCAGTAGGAAGCTGTTGACCCAAAATGTTTCTTTAATTTTAAACCGTAGAGGCATGGCAAAAGGTAACAGTACATACAGCTACTGTTTTATTACACCCTTTTAAAGGGGCCCGGCAACACTTTTCCAAGAACCCGCAGAATGGCTTCATGAAAGAGCTTATTAACTGATGAATTCACTGCCAGAAAAGTTTGTAGAATCCGTCCAGTCCAAGCGGAGTTACAAAGATTTGTCGCACTTTACAATTGCCTTCTCTCTTCTCTCGTCACGGCGAAAACACTGGAAGCTAAACAGGGAGGAATAGCACAGTTAAAAAGTACGTAATGCGTGCCTTATAACTTTTAACAGTTTCTTTTTCTTTTCTTCGAACACGCAGGTTTTTAGTGTGATTGCCCTCTCGCGCATGGACATGTGGCAGCCTCCTGAAGCGAACGAATAAACACTTGAGCGCGCCATGCTCAAATAAGCCAAAGGCATGATGCTCGGGACCGAGAATAAATAATTTTTTAGTATATAGAATCATTTGTCGAGAGAAGAGAGTGATCTTTCATTGACTGAGATTTTATTGCAAGTTCCAGGCTGCCTTCTGTGCTATAATACTCGTTTCGCACATTTTGGGAGCCTCAACTATCAATAGGCAGCGTTTTTTACCATGTTCAAAAAGCGTTGCAGGGCCCATAGCATTAAGGAGCTCATGTCACAGAAAATCCAGAGTAGTCGGCGATAATGCAATCTCGTTGCGCTCTTCGAGGCAAAGTTTAAGCGTCATCCAATTTTTCGTTTTATTTCTGCATACTCGTCTTTAATTCTTTCTGTCTTTGACAATTCCACAGTATTCTTGTCACTGGCCGCAAACTAATTTAGCAGACAACTCTAGAAAATAAATTTAATGTGAGACAACAAATTGAGTGCTTTGAGGTTTCACTTCTTTTTAATCACACACACCAAAATATTCTTTTTTGATTGTTAACGAACTTCAAGATAACACAACGAACTGTTGTTCAAGGCAGAACACTTATTTAATTCAACTGAACACTACCGTTTTCTAAATCCTCAAGTGTATAACTATAAAGCACATAAGTTTAAGAGCCACTGTCACAAAATAATCGTCTCACCTTCTTAGGTTTCACGTAATCCCTGAGGTAACTTTGAGCTTCCAAAAGCGTACGTTTCTCTTGCCTCGTCAGTATGGGCTTGAGCCTGAAAAATCAAAAGAGGCATTACGACTTCTTCTACAGCCATAAAAAGCATGTGCTTTAATGCATTTTGTATATTGAGCTCCTTACTCAATATGTCAACCCACAGATGAGCAGTAGGGCCGGTACAACAAAACAAATGAACTCACCAAGAAAAATAAGGGGTTCTTTGCAAGTGAAGTAACTCGGAATGCCTAAGCAATAATGCCGAATTCCAATTGCGTAGCCCCGTCTCTCAACAACGCTGCCAAATTGGCAAAGCACTGCGTTGTTGCTGCACAAGGCACAGACGAGGTGTCACACTAGTGAGGCCCATACGTGCGTGATAAAACGAAAGTTCGTCATGTGTCTGCCATGTATGAAATAATAAGGTATCCGTGTGGAGGGCATTAAAGAAAGGAGACGTTTATTTTCCAGTTGCATCATTTCTCCTGGTTACAAATTTAACAGCACCTTCAAGCAATTGCTTCGGAAACACCCTATCACACCCTAAACACCATAAATGAGACAGACCCTACCGACGTCTGTGCATGTGGCTTATGTTGCAGTACTGCAATTCTCTGCTAAGGGCCTTAGGCTTAATTTATATGCAATCTTTGATTTCTACATTTTTTTATCGCACTTCAACTATCTTTGCAGGGTCTATCTGCCATTTTCTCATTTGATTCTATTACCTCGATATATGCTGCTATTGCAAACAGACAGCTCGCATATTCTCTTCCCGTGCTTATCGCACATGATGAGAATTCAGATGCTTAAACATGAAAACAATTTTGGAAATCTGTCTCAGTCTGAAACATTTTAACAGCTAAGTCTTGACTGAACTTTGCTAATTCTGATAGTCAATAGTAGTTCAGCAATGTATACAAACATACGATGCAAACTTCACGACTCCGCTGTAGCAACAAAAACACTCCTAGAATGGTGCGTAAACATCCACTACACTCTATCCACCATCAAGGACACATTACTAGAGGAGACAGCAACACACCTTGACTGCCACTTGGCGATAAGTAGGATGAAAATGGAGATGGCAAAGAGCGCCAGCATCACGCCCAGCCGAATGGAATCCGGAAGCATGCCCGACAATACCTGTAGGGGTAGCTGCACACCAGAAAGGCAAAGAATATAATTTTTGATGGTGATCCTGTGTATACAAGCCAGTGATAGAGTGAGTTAAATTGCAATGGCTTGAAGAGACACTAAAGTGAAAAAAAAAAAAAAATCGGTTTAGATTGATAAATTGTACTCCAAAAACTCTATTTTCAACGATTTCACTGTCATAGGCTCACTAAAAGAAGAAAAAGTCAAGATCAACGTTTTCATTTCCAGACTTTGTGCCGGAATGTCCGCATGTGATGCCACGAATTCCGACATGTTTTATTTGTATTTCTGCCACACTGGCCCAACGAAAATTTTCCAAAATTTGGTATGAGAAGTCAAGCCTCTCCAGAAGACAATGTATTTCATACTAGCCAATTAGGAACTACATAGATCAGAGTAACCATCATCAAAATCCATGATGTCATGACGATTGGTGCAGGAACTTCGTGGTTCGGTCACCACACTCATTTTCTTTTTGCTTGCACATTTTCTTGCTTTCTAAGCATCTTCTTGTGACATGCATGCTGATTTTGGTATTGATAAAGAGTAAACTACTAATACGAGAAAGTTCGTTTTCCTCTTTGCTGTCTCTAAGAATGCACTGCTGCCAGTCCACCTTCACGTAGCTTACATCATCCACCAAAATAAGTGTTCTAATTGCAGTTAGGAATGCTCATATACAAGCTAACATCCTGAATTACATTCACACAATTTCACTATTGCAGGTGAGATTTGCAGACGACATTTAAAAACTGAAGTAAAGCTTCTAACAAAAAGCAACATTTTCATGTCAGTATAATTTCGCGCTAAACAAGCCCAAATTTGGCAGGTAAACCAATCTCTCCATTTTATTATAACAGTCTGTGAAAAACTGCACATTGTGAAACACACAATCCGGCATAGACAGTGATTCTAATTATGCACCTGAATAGATACAGTCGCAAATCGATTTTTTTTTTCTTCAGTGTCCACTCTACTTGGAAGCACCGAGTGCAATTCTCTATGACAATTTTACTACGTCATGTTAAAAGTAGCACGCTCAAGCGAATTCGCTTCGGTAACGCATTATTTAAAACTTGTTTTCTTCGTTCATACAGTGAAAAGCCGACAGATTGTTTGCTTTGAAAATGAAGTCCAGATCTTGTGATGACCCATTCGCATCTTATCGTGAATTTCCAAGTATTTTTCCAGTATTCAGAATAATTTGGTGCAATGAAAATGTGCCTGATGCTTCGAAATTCACCTACATTTCAGAACATAGCAAGAGTACCTTCTGACCAATAAGCAAATGACTAGACATGCATAGACCTCGTCAAAACTCAACCTTTTCCCTTGTGACAGCAGTAACTTTACTGCAGCAGAAGCATAATGTGCGGCTACTAGTTACTTTTTATAATCATCCTTAGTGCCGTTCAAACTCAACAGCCTATAATAAATAGGTCAATCAATCAAAGCTTACTGATGTCATTGTTAGCATCTTAAACTCAACTGTCAATAAGTCAGTTAATAAGCAATAAACTAATTAACGGTATCACACACCGTAAAGAGGTAGAGGAACTCAACGACTCTTGGCCCAAGGTATGAGAAGAGGACCTCCTCTGGGGCGTTGCGGAGGGCAAGGTTGAGCAAAAGCAGCGATGGCAGTGCAAGTCCAAACAGTCCTAGACACAGTCCCCTGCCACCCGTGCTGAGGTTCTCCGATCTTGCATTGCTGTCATAAAACAAAAGATTCAACTCCATGTGAATGGAACTATGAGCACAGCCATAATGAAACTACACAAGCCCAACTACACAAGATTTTAAAGACATTACGATAGGAATTAGAAACTAAACAGGAGATTTTGGCTGCAACCCAAGTGAGCAACAATGCTTAATAATTGATGAGGTTTTAGATCCCAAAACCACGTTATGATTATGAGAGACACCGTAGTGGAGGGCTCTAGAGATTTTGATCACCTGGGATTTTTTAATGTGCACCTATAAATCTAAGTATGCGGGCCTCGAGCACTTTCGCCTCAATCGAAACTGTGGCCACTGCAGTTGGAATATGATGCCGCGATCTACCGGTCAGAAGTCAAGCGCTACAGCCACTAGACCATCGTCACGTGTAATGACAACACCTCAATCTAAAACGTCTATACTTTCAGTAATATTCTTAATGTTGCCATTCACAGTTACTTAGCAGGATGACGTTGCCCTGTTAAGCACAAGGACACAAGTTTTAACTCCCAGCCGCAGTGGCTACATTTCAATGGGAGACAGATGAAAAAGATACCCATGTACATGCTGTAAGGTACACGTTCAAGAACACCAGCCGATCAAGATTATAGTCCCCACTGCGGTGCACTTCGTAATCACAGGTGTTTTCAACACAGAAAACCCTAGCATATCATTTTCTAAGCGAGACTTCGAACTTACTTGTCCCGGCTAATTCTGAGCGACACTTCACTGCTGAGTTGCTCGCAGTCGTGCTCGAGAGAGTTTAGTGCATTCTGTACGGTCTGGTTGATAGTTTTCTCAATGTCCTTGCACACCTCTTCGATCTGGTTGACACAGCGCACCGCTTGCTGGTTGAAATAAAAAAAAAAGGGATATGCAATTAGCTACAAGCCAAACGCTGTTCACTCATGACAAATCTTTCATTTTGCAGTCTGCAATAAATAACCACAATGCCTACAGCACCGTTTCTTGAAAACTACCAGGGTTTTACTTGCTTAGGCAGGGCACAGCTTGAGTTTGAGTAGTTTCAGACGCTCAGTTTGAGCTCCCACACTGAGTAACTCAAACTGAAGATGTGCCCCGTACAAGCGACTGAAATGAAGCAAGCTTCCAGTTCACATTGTACTTGCTTACTTAGCACACAGATTTCAAATTAAGCTGATAAAAAGTCTGATCTTCCACAGAAGCTTTGGCCAGTGTCACAAGATCATGGCAGTACCCGAGATGGTTGGCTGACCTTGCTTGCATCTGGAATGTAGATGGCCGGCATGTCGAAGCCGCAGCGGTTCAGGCCTGGCCGCTTGCAAAGCTCCTGGACAATCTGCATCATGACTTTCTAGAAAACAAAAAGAACAAAAAATAAAAAGGCAGTCATGTTAGTTCACTGTAGGTTATAAATAATTACATGCAATGGAAACCAACGATTGGCCCAACACTCGGAGAGTGCGCTTTGCTTCATGACATCACAAAGTTAGATATAGCTATTGTTTAGGATAGCACAGGTCAGTCTAAAAGAATAACTACGAGAACAACAAGACAGGCACTGAGGTGATAGTTTTTGAAAGTTTCAGGGCCTTTGTTGTAAGCAAAGAAGGGCTACATAAACAGTGGTACGTTGCAAACAGAAAAATTTCTCTGACAGGCTCTGCAAATCTTTTGAAACTATGATCATAGAGTTAAAATTTTGTTATTTAATTGGTACTTGCTTCTTTAGCCAAGAACAGCATAAGAAATACTGAAAGCTTCTCCAAAAGGTTGCCAGAAACATTCAGTTTGTCTGATCTAAACAGAAAGTTTCGCATTTTTTCTTTACTTGGTGCACGTTAGACAGAACAGTCTGTAAAGTGTACAATAACATGCAGCGACAATACAATGTTCTGCCTCAGAACAGAACCATCATACTACGTCACTGATCTTGAACCTTGTTTCCTCTCCTGGTCAACAAATTATTCCCTACTTGGGTGTGCACCTACTATATTGCTATCAAATGAGCAACCTCATTTGATATGAGGTGGAACGTGATGCCCACGATATCAAAGGGACCCTGCAACAGGCACGTTCGCACAGACATATAAAAACTGGTTTCACAACTACTATCAGTTAATCAAATGCTTTCAAAATTTCAATGGCACAAAAAAAAAAAAGACCAACAAGTTCACTATACGGGGTCCCAGAGCCAAAGGTTGTTGCGGACCTCCTGTCAGCAACATTTTTAAACAAAGAAAGTGAAATGCAATAGCAGCATACTTTGAAAATGCACAGCATGAAACCATTAAAAATACGATGTTTGCATAATAAAAGGACAAACACATGACAGAAATTAAAGGTCTTAGGTATTGACAAGGATGTGATAACTCATTTTTGAAGATTAAAACGGGAACACACCTAATCAGATAGGTGTCTATTCCATAATTATGAGATAGGAAACTACGGTACGCCTCCCAAAGATATAATGTATCAGAGGCCACAAAAGAATTAGCAGCTGAACAGAGCCAGGACGCTTGCTCACCTGCCTGTCTGCTTCATGGCCCGCTTCGTCGGCTTTGCTCAAGTAGAAGCGCATCTTGTCAACGAATTTGTCGTTAAGCTCTTCGACGATGTTGAGTGTGCGCTTACACAGGGCTTGACCAATAGGGGTCGAAGAACACAAAATGAGATCGGCCATCTGGCCTGCAGAGCGAAGCAAAAGCCAGAGTTTCAGACCACAAAGTGTTACCAAGATCGCAATCAGATGGGGAAACCCACAAGAGCTCTTGAACATTTCAGCACATAAGGCATTGAGATAAATTTCAACGCATAATAGAGAAATGTTGTGTGTAGGTGCCTCAATACGATGAACATGAACATAAATGATCTACTAAGTATAAAATGTACACACTGAAACACATTTCAAACTTGCAATTTTGTTACTACTGAAATTAGGATGCAGTACAGGTCACAGGTGAGAGATTATTTCATCACAGCAGTGTTTTCGAATAACTGTTTCGAAAGCATCAAAAAAGCATATACTGTTGCATGTGCAAACTCCGCAAAATTTTCTGGCGCTAGTTGTTGTTTTTATACTGAGAATGGTAACCACAGCCTATGAGTGGAGTGGTGCTGCTTTCTTATAGAAATGCCGTTGCGGTGTGTTCACTGCTGTTATAGATGTAAATAATAACACTGTTTCGTGCTCTGCAAGCTATTACACATAAGTAATTACAAAAGCCATGTGACCTGATTCCATACATTCGTACAATTGCTGGTCAAAATAAACTAAAATTGAAATTTACTTGAACATGTAAACTATTTCTCACCTTATACGGCCAATTCACTGGCAAGACATCACGTGTACACGACTGCCAGTATATGAATGCTTAAGTAACATGTATTGACAACGATAAGATGAAAATATTTTCTAACGACATGCATTTTGATAATGGCTTTATAAATTCAATCTGTAATGAATTTTTCACCCTTTTGACAAAGCAGAAAAACGTTATCAATGAAGTATATTTCTTGCAAGTGGAGCTATTTCCACATTTAACATACAAGTAAAATGTATAAACACTATTTCTAAAGAACAGCTAAACTAATATAAATAAGCTTGAATTTATGGGAAAGCACTACCTATGACCTATTGATTGAAAACAATATTTATTTATTTTCATTCTGAAATTGAGCACTATGACAGTGTTCTTAAATAACAAAGGCATCAGGTCCATCCCTCTCTCAATGCACAACAAAAATAACCATTGTAACTCATCAGGTACCACATATGACGGAAATAGAGCATTTGCAAAACTCAGATAACTGAAGTAGTGATATCGTGTGAATTTCAAATGATTATTACATTTGATCATTCTAAACAGCCCAGCCCTTTACCAAAGAGAAATGCCTGCTGTCAGTACAGAGTTAAAAAATTGGTAGATCACAGATTTGTTTTTTAATCGACAGATCCCAAGCAATCGTATAAAACCTTCGAGAATTTAAACAAGGAAGCTAGGCTTCCTAATAGCCATTTTAGAAAGCAATGGTACTTCTGGTGTTTCATACCCCGAATTTCACTCAGTTAGCGTGGCGACGTGTATTATATAAGGGAAGAATGCTCGGACACCCACCAAGCCAGAGGATCGTCTTGTTGACATCGTACGGATACTTCATGTCACCGTCAACCAATCCTGGCGTGTCAATGAACGTCACCAAACTGAACCTCTTCTGCCTCGAGGTGGAGATCTCAGTGGTCAGGTAATCCACGACACCTGGAATGAGGCAGCACGAACCCACAATGTGGGAGGAATGAAAGGAAAATTAAGACATTTGAAATGACCTTTCATAACTGCAGCCAAGCCAATCCACAAACTACAACTATAATGCAACGATTCCAGTGTTAACATTTTTTAGAAGGGGTGGGGGGGCTATGTACTTAAACAGTGCACAAAACATTGTTACATAGAATTTCAAAACTAACTTGGCTCTAAGTCAACTGTCATGTTCTAGGTCTGTTAAACTAAGCAAAAAAAAAAAAGCTTATGATATGAATGTGCATGGGAAGCTGAAGCGCAAGATTAGGCAAGTGCAACAAAACAATCTCTTACTAATCTACGAAGCAAGATTCACAGCACTGTGTCTTCCAAACTCTTGTTCATTTCTCTCTCAGGCTACACTACAATAAATGCTCATCAGAAATGTAAGACCTTGACAGCAATTGTTTAATATAGTTGGATTGCACGTCAAAAAGTGTTCAAATGAAGCACTTTGGCTAAAGTACACTGTACTTTTTCCCACCCAGGCAACTAGCTATATTATCATGGACAACAAACAGCCAGAGAAATGGAAAATACAACTAAATAGAGTAAAATTTCAATATACTGCTAAGGCAAATACAGGATTGTTAAAAAGGATGTTGGGGGTAGGCACTGTCTTCTATTGCAATACGTACCAAGATTGTCTACATGCAAACATCAGATTGATGCAACGACACATGCATTAACAGGGAACAAAACAACAGTGGCAAAATGCAAAAAGTCTAAGCAAGCAACCACTATAAGCGAAGCAAAATAAGAAATAAAACGAACGTGGATGGGTCCTGCAGGAGGGGGTGCCACTTGCGATGGGAGTTCAGCAGGAAACCAGCCCTTCATTGGGCAGCTTGCCCCATTGAAACAACAAGCCAGCAGCCCAAAGATGGGCTAATCCCCGTGCGAACGTGCTTGCATCCAGGAACAGTTTCTTTTTTTTTTTTTTCAGGCATACACAACACACTAGATGCACAGAACCAAGGGTCCAGTGACGTCAATTTTCAATCACAATGCAATCATACTAGAGTACATCAACTCCAAAAAGCAATGCATAAGGAACCATAAGTGTGACATGCTCTCCAAGGCCGCATTCTAAAACTGCTTCATACTCTAGCAGCAATATTTATCTGCTAGCATAAACACAATGAAAATTACATAACCACAATGAAGTTTTATTAATGGACCCTTTTAAAAATTCACAAGTTCACTTCTCTGCACTGCTTATTTGCCCAATTAACGGTGGCTTCTGTTGTGCTTCAAGCGGAGACACGATCCTTGTTGAACATACAGAGGCTTTTCTATTGTGAGTGCTTACATCTAGAGAGCTGACTTCACATTTTACACGTCACTGCATAAACAAACCACACTAGCGCAGAACACTTGCATTCAGTGACTAGCTGCTATTAGTTGTACAAACTGCATAGCAAGAAAGCTTACTTTACAATTTTGAAAAGGGTCCATTACGTTTGTTTCTATCTGTATTCCTCCTAATATTGACATGCGTCTTTATTTTATTATTTTGATGTGATTGGGCTCAGAGCATCAAAAAACTGGCGGCACCACAATCTCTCCTAAAGCGTTTGAATAGTTTAGACTATTCTGGTCCGATCACACCCCAGTGATAACGCTAGAATTTTCTGTCATACACACATAAAAGACAGCGCGTTCTGCCAATGATCAGATCAGCAACAGCCAACGACTGTGCCCGCCGCAATCCGTGCACAGCGTACACTACCTATAATTCAAGTTTTCATTCTACGGGCGTGAGTTGGCCCAATAGAGGGTTCCATTTTTTCCAGCCTCACGGCGGCATTCTTCAGTGTCACAACTACGTGACAATGTTCACCTCCGCTCGTATGCTGCTCCTATATTTTATTTCAAAAGCTACGCGAACAATGCTGATGAGGTGTCCTCATTACTCAGAAAGGCAGCTATGGTAGTGTGGGTTACTAGTGCCAGCATCTACACTACATTAAGGCAATTCTATGAGGGCAGCTAATTTGTATTTCTAGTAACAAGTCTTCTTTGATAGCTATGACAGCTTGCAATACAGTGAGTGAAACGATACAAATGTCACCTAGGCAAGAAAGTTTCTACAGCGGGCACTGCAAGAATGAAGCACCACAGTTACGGAAAGAGCAACCAGAGCAATATGCTTTGTGGCGTGTTCCGACTAGCACTTTAGGTGACCTAAGGCCTACAGCATCTCTTTTTCTGTGACTCAAAAATTGCTTTACCTTCTATCATGACAACTTATCTCAATATACACTGTCAGCTATGTTACGTTTGTTCTGTACTACAAAACAAAGAAAGCAATATAAATTACAATAACTAAATAATTTGGCTTTCACCTTTTTTTAGGGGGGTGTGGGGGGACTTCTTTGAACAACACTTTTCAGAGGCTAGCCAACATGCAGAAATTGATGCACTAAAGTAGAAATGTTGCTAGGTGTCAGAGGTTATAACCTCACCTTTAATCTTCTGCAGTGGCTTGAAGTGTGGGTAGAGATGTAGGGTAGCATTTCCCTGCAATGAACAATGACATGACAACAAAAATTTAATGGTCGTAGTATTCTTTCTTTATGCTGATTAAGAAACTAAACAACATAAGAACACCACATAGCACACACAGTGTCATTACCTCTTTCCTCTGTAATCTCGTTGTGTTTGGACAATTACATGCAAATGACAAATGTTACACAACACATAGAAGCACCACTCCTCACTTGCTTCCAGTATGCCTTTGTGAAAATGCCTTCTTTTTACGTGCTAGTAAGAATAGCTTAATAAGCGAAAAATCAGACTAATTTTCCATTAGGCAGGTCACACTTGCTGATAGTGCCTGTCACATGTTGTAAAGTTCTTCAAGCGATCACTGATCCCACTGAAAAGGTATGTGCTACCATTTATTCGCTATACACACAGAACATTACAAAATGCCACAAACCATTCTGCTAGCTGAAAAACAAAATGCTGCTCAATATGTGATAAACTATGGAGCAAGACAAGTTAATTATGTTACCATGTTCAAGAAAGGTATAAGCGAAAGCATCAATGAAAACATCTTGAACTTTTCTTAGACTAATCTTTACATGACCAGATCAAATTGAAAATGTCATGAATGTTGTATGATAGATTATTTGATATAAGCACGGCTATTTTTTTTCTTTCAGCATAATTCTTGCTTCAGTAGATATCGTGCCAAAACCACCTAAATGAGGTGCCTAATGAGATGGACTACAAATGATCGAAAATCAGAACAAAATGAATGAGAGTCGGCCGCAGTACCTACAGCCAACTGCAAAAGATGTAAAGGTTGCCTGCTTGTAGTTGGAAATGGGCATCGAGCCATAAACTTTTCTGCAGTTGTGTGTGCATACTCCTATTAGTGCCACCTATTTATACCAGAGCTGGATGAAAGCATTGTGTACCTCAGTAGGACACTTATCATGCCTCATTGTTACCTTATTAGATGCCAACAGATAAAAAATCTATTGTTCCTCTCACATAATTACAAGCACAGATGCACAAAGGTTGTTCTGTCTATGAAAAAAAAAAAAAAAATTCTATGTCGCTATAGGCCTTGTCACAGATGGTTCTCTGGACGCTACCATAATCCTTTCAGCCAGAGAAGTACACGATAGCGCAAAATTTGAAAATAAAGATAGTGCGAACTTGAATTAAGATGATAGGCAAGCACAATGGCATATTAGCACTGAGAGTTATTGGAAGCATTTCATATTAAGAAGAGAGGCACGGGTTACATCAGTGATACATCTGCTTCACTTTTCCAAAATGAGATCCAGCTGTTTGATATGTGAGCGTGACCACTTTTTGCCGATATTGATGCACACAAGTGCAGATAGTTGTAAACTGGTTTCTTATTCTTTCAAATAAACAGTTGAAGTTTAGCACCCGACGTTTCTGTTACCTCCAACTTGTTTTCTCGAAGCTTCATTTTCCAAGTTGGCAGGTAACATGCAACCCTTTAATGTCAACCAGCTCGCCCAACAAGTCTTACTCAATCTTTCTGTGCTGAATAGGCGTGACCTCCCCCCCCACCAAAAAAAAAAAAAAAAAACCACACTGTCGAGGCTGCGATGTCAGCCTTTGTGCTCTCATGCCCCTGCCAAGCATGGCGGTGTTATTTCGATCACGCGAAAAGGCCTATATGATTCACTACACGAAATCATACGACCTCATGAGATAAGCACATTTACTGTTTACTGTTGGGGTTTATCTTATAAAAGGTCAGGTATTATCAGCGGTGTTTTCCCTGCACTGCCGTTCATTATATTTGTGCGGACAACAGCTCCCTGAGTCAGCTGCTATCGCAACATTCGATCCGTCAAACGATAAGTGGCCATTCAAGTTTAAATGCAACAAGATAAAGGTCGATAGGTAACAATAGCACATCGGGCATATCATTAATAATGCTCAGGATCCTGGCGTGAAGCTGTAGAGTCAGTATATCTGAAATTAGTCGCAACTTAATGAAAAAGAAGGAATCAGGCAGGGGGCGGTACGGATCTCAGATTCAGGTAAGAACGGCAGCGGTATGCGCAACTGCTCACAGTTAAGGTTTCAGAAAGCGCTACCGCACTAGCGCGCATTAAGTAGTAGTATGCAGAATCACATGATTAAGGCATACGTGCGCGCGCGTTTGTGCGCAATAACGTACTGTGAAATGCGCAGCGCTGTTCATAACACCAGCCACCGATTACGCAGAAGACGCGCTTAGCGAATTCCTTAAGAACGAAACTGCGGCACAGATAGACGTTACAAATGACGCGGTTTACGGAAGAGTCGTTGCAAGAGTGCAACGCGTGCGCGCACGAAAACACTTCGCAGCCCCGCGACGAAATGTTTTTGAAAAGCCACGCATCGATGCGCTCTCACCGTGAGCGACTCTCGCTTCTTTCCGCTGGTGACGAGCGCGAAGCCCTGCGTTTCGATGGCGACCCCGGTCTTCTGGACATGTTCCTCGATGTACCTGCAGAGTAAACATCAGCGGGTGAGTGCAAACGTCGCGTCGAAATAAAATGAAAAAAAGTGCGATCGTCCTCGTCAAAGGGTCACCACGCACGCAATAAGCAGACGGAAGCCGAGGCCACGCAACAGCCCGTCACTTCTCCCGCACAAAATCCCGACCGCTGAAGAGAGACAAAAAAAAGAAGAAAAACGGACGAAGAGAAGCGAGAGAGAGAGAGAGCGCAAAAACAGTCAGGGCTACGACGCGCGCGCTGCTTCGCATCGAAGCGTATACGTACACGCTCGGCGGCAAGGTCCTTTCGTCAACGGCACAATGCGATTACAGGTTGCAGTCGACGGTAGTAGGCGCGCCGTACGTAACACTTGTTCGTATGCTTCCGATCCTGCTGTTTGGCCAGCGGCGCAAGGACAGGAACATCACGAGATTTCACGTCCACCAGCGAGAAACGCGGGACGCGCTCCAAGCAGACGACAACGACGGTGCGACCGCAAACAAGAACTGCCTGTGCGCAGCGCACGCAAAAAAATAAAGGCGCCCGAGCGGAGAAGAAAGAGAGGGTATTCCCGTTTCTAGGTTAGGCGCCATGCATGCGATGCACGGGGAGAGCTCGCGCTGCCTGCCGCTGTCTTAGCGCTCTACTTGCGCGGGCCAGCTTTTTCATGCGCGGACGTTGTAACGGATCCGCCAGCGCGGCCTAGCCGTGTACGCTGCCTTGCGCGCAAGTTCTTCCTCTCCTCCCACCAAGAACGAATTTCAGGGGCCCACCGTCAGAATCGAGTGCGTCGCACAATGTTTCCTCGGGCGCAGTACGAGTAAACGTTTGACGAACTAAGAAAATTAAAGGAGAGAGACTCGGGTGTACCGACTTACTAGAGTTCGATGACACCTCGGTCACCATCGTCGCAGACAGCACAAGCGCGCATCCGCTAAAACGCGCATCATACGCCAAAAAAACACCGCGCGCACCATGCACCTGCAGCGCTGTTTCGCACCGTCACACATCCGTCTTCTGTCCCGAGGCGCCGTCGATTATTCCCGGCATCGATGAGGAGGAAATCGTGCTGAGCTCGTAAACTTCCGCAAACTAAAGTCGAACCCGACAATCGCGCGCTCGTCCGCGAAATGCGAGCTGCGAACACATGCGAACGTAACTCGAGTGCCAGTCCGAACCGCGAAGATCGCGGTAAGGCGCGTCGTGCAAAATGAATGAACGGCAATGTCAACTGCAACTCTCACCGGGTCGACGGTTGATGCACAAGTAACGCCGCCCGCTGGCTGAACGCTAGTTCGCATCATTCGGAGGGAAGGAGGATGAATGTGGAAGGGGGAGAATTGGAGGGAAAGAACGAAAAAGGGGAGAGCACGGGCAACTACGTCACAGGACAGCGCTCACATTTCACACGCCGCGGACGAAGGATACAAAACCACGCACGCGCATAAAGAAATACGAGATTACACCGTTAGCTAGCTGGCTCGTGTCGGTAACGCGTGCCGGGCGTAGCTTCGCTTCTTTGGCGTAAAAAAAAAAAAAGAAAAAAGAAACTCGGCCGGCCGCCGAGTCCTTTCGTCGTCGTCGCTCCTTCACGCGACGGAGGGAAGAAAGACGCGACCGACGGCGCGACTACCTCGAGCAAACGGGAACGCACTTACACAAATGTACATCATCCGTGACCGTCCGCCTCCTACACCACGGACGCTGGTACACGAAAAGAAAAAAAAAAAAGGACGAAACAGTCCGACTGGCCGCCTCCTCTTCGCGAGATGGACAGCGCAGACGAGACCACAAAGTTGAGAGAGAGAGCAAGGAGAACGGATTCTCTTCTTCCTGCTCCTTTTGCTTGCTTGTCCGTTTCGACAGTGAGGCAGCGCGCGCGAATGCGTGCCAAGCTGAGTGTCAATCCGTTGTAGTCGGCTGGGAGTTCATCCAGCAAACAACAAAAACCACCCGTTTCCCTGGAAAGCGCTTCCCTAGATGCACGCACAGTTCGTCTGATGGACACAACAATGAATCGGTTTAGATTGATAAATTGTATTCTGATGAGGACTTTTATGTCGCTAATTCCTCTAATGGCGCAAATTTCACCATAATATGTTCATTAATAGGGGAAAAAATCAAGGTTAAAGTTATTTTATGAAAATTCCGCGCTCGAATCTCCTCGCGTGACGTCACGAATTTCGAGTATTTTTTCATAATTTGGCGACATTGACGCTACTAAACTTCCTCAAACTTGGAATGATGAATCCATAGTCCCGTCATAGGGCAATATGCTTTCTTTTTACCGAATCTTAACAACGCAGAAGCTAGCAGCCGCCGTCAAAATCTCTGACGTCACGGCATGTGGTGCGGGAATTGTGAGATGGCGTCGCCACTTGCGTCGCCACTCGCCACTTGGTAATTGCAGGAGATTAATTTCGTAATATGTGAAAAAGTCGTTTATACTTTTCCTAGGCACGTATTTTCCACGAACTCTGACAATCACTGGAGTGAGACGAAGCGAACATCATGTTATTACAGCTGATAGCTAGCATATATCATCATTTAAGAAACACTATACATAGCCCACCATTTATCGAAGTTAGCCGATATCAGCCAGCGCTGGCAGCGTGAGTATGATAACGTTATAGAGTCAATACGGCAGCAGAAGTCGATCAGGAATACACGCGCATATCGCATCCCGTCACACAAAGTGGCGGGGAGATACCAAGAATCGACCAATCACTGGCAACTGCGGTCACAAAGACTAGCGCGACGGGCTAGCGAATTGAGCGAATACAAGGCAGCTGAAAGCGCGAGTTTCAGAAATTACAGTAGGTTAATATGCACTCACGGGAAGCCTTGTAGCACGCGAATCGTATTTAGTAGCGTATTACTTTCAAACGTGCTTCATTTGTTGAGCCTTGAACCATGAAGTCTGGCGAGGGTCACGACTGACAAAAAAAAAAAAAAAACCAACAGTATCTGCTGACTCGGAGCTCTCTTTGCACTAGCGGATAAAAAAAGAATAAAAAGGAAAGAAACAGCGGATGTCGTTACCTAATTAGCTGCATACTAAGCGAAGACTATTTCAGTAGCCTTTTACGATTGTAGACTAAAGAGTAATTAGTGCTGAAAACCCCCCCATTAGTCGTTCCACCGAAGTGCGCGTGACACGCACTGCACGTCCGGTCGAATTTCCGGGGAGAGATTAAAAACAACCGCTCCCCTAGAGTCACCTCGAACGTATTTCCCAACATTTAGGCTGTTTTTAATTTCTACATAAAAAAAAGGCCAGCGGAAACGACACATACATTAGGGGGAAAATACTTCTTATATACAGAGTGTTTGTTTTTCGGGTCATAATTTTCTAATCATAATAAGCCTATTCGAAGAAAAGCTGTTAGATTTACATTCAACAAGTACTCCAAGTTAAGACTCACCCTCAGATTTAATGCTAGCCAACAACATTCCCTTACTGCAGACGCGAAGAAAAAAAAGCTAGATTAGAATTCCTCGATCAACTTTTGAACAAAAAACTAGCCCTAGACACATGTCAGTAATTGATACCCCTTAAAAGCCGGCCCACACGACACCCCCACCCAAAGGCCTTTATCCCATATTTTGCTCGCAGAGACCTACTGAAGTATTCGTACTTTCCAAGAACCATATGTGAATAGAACTGTCTTACTAATACATGTGATGAATGAACTAACCTACCAAACAATCTTCTTCGCCCTTTATTGTTTCGTTTCGCAATTATTTTATTTATATTTGTGTATGTATTACCACCCTGCTTGGACCTCGAGTCTGCAGTATTGAATAAATAAATAAAATATAGATTTTTCCTTTAAAAAAATATAATAGGTAGGCACTTGTCTTTGCAGCCGATTTCTAGGCCAAGGCGGAAAGATTTCGCCACTAATTTGATCACTCGGGAATGATTCATAAACAAGAATAATTGAATTAGCTTTTATTATCAATTTTAGGGTGGTATACTTGTATGGCGAAGTTGTTCTACGTCACAAATTATGACGAGCCTAGTTTTTGAAAATTGAAAATATCACGCGTGGTTTCCGAGATCCATCGTCGAATTTCCAGACCGCGGTGCCGTAGAAACCGAAATTAACACGCCGAGTGGCGTTAGTTTCGACGCACTCGGGTTAGTTCCTCGGGATATAGTATAGCAAAGGCGCCAGTAACACGGTGCGATTTCAACTGCGATCGAGTTTATCCAACTCCATTGCCTCGTTAGTGCAAGATGCGGAAGTGAGCCAATAGCGGTCGAGCAATTCGAGCCAACCAATCGCGGCTGCGATCGCGAGTGACCGTCGTGTGACGGTGACTTTCCCTAGCGCAGCTGCGCAGGCGCCCATTTAGCAGACGACCCCATCGAAGAGCAGACGACTCCGTGTGTGTGCCATGCACTAGCAACGCGCGATGTCGTATTCCTTTTCCTTCGGTAGGCGTTTGTTGTTGGCCCCAGCGCGTGACCGCTGCAACAGCCCTGGCGTTGCATACGATTTCTGCCTCTCTCTCTCTCTATGGGGAAATGTCAGGCGGTAAGATAAGAAGAAACGTAAGAAGCAGCGCGCGCCATCTTTCCTCCTCCTTCTCCTCAAGCGGGAACATGGACACGCACTCACACAAACTCGCCTTTGCGGACACGCAACAAAAAACCTCTCCGCGGTGGGGCGGGCAGGAAGGCAGCGGGGCAGGCGGCGATCGCAAATGTAGGTCACGCAAACCACCCTCGCGACCGAACAAACGCGCAGGCCGCGCCGTTTCACTGATAACTTTTTTTTTTCTTCTTTTTTTAAGGGGGGATGGAGGGCAAAGACGACTGGACAGGCGATTTTTTTTTTTTTTTTTCAATTTTCATGGCATAATATTCCAGAATAACTGACAAATGCTTCCAGGAAGTGGCGAGTTTTTGCGCAAGGTGGAAAACATTTAAAAAACGGCCCCTAACGCACCTGATCCCGTGTCTGTACCGCGGCAACTACAACTTTAAATGGCGTTTTCGCCGAACGCTACTTTTCATCAGAAAAGGAACATCACGTGCAACATCAAGTGAAGCTATCAAGTGCAACCTTTTGTGACTTTTTTTTCTGAATATCATGCGCCCTTTCTGAAGCAAAACAATGTTGTTGCCGCCAGAATTGTAATTTTAACTAGAGTACTTCTTTAAAAAAAAAACAGCCCTAAAATTCTAGTCATAAAACAGTTATATTTTTAGCTAAAGAATGGTCATGTCTACAATTAATATCTTGGTTCAGAAGGATACCCTAGGTACATGTGATACCAGAAGAGACTTTCACCATTTTATACGAAATCATTTTTCACAAATGTTCCCTCAAAAATAAAAACAGACAAATAAATTATTCTTGATTATTTTTAAAACGGCTGTGTGTTTTCTTTCAGATTCACCAAACATAAGAGTGAAGCCCCCGTTCAAGCAACTTAGAGAGATTTGTAAAGTTTGCCTTAAAAATAACAGAGCGATGAGCAGTAGTAGCTGCACACCAGTCTGTGCTATCCATCCCTCCCCCTTAAAGACGCCACAAGCTAGTTGCGAAAAACTGACGGCGCGTTACTTGAATATCCGACGCCAAAAGAAAGGACACCCCCCCCCCCCTTCCCAGGCTTTCAGTTTACTGACCTTTCTGCCATCTGTGAACGAATAGACAACTATTATTCCGCGTATTATACAGGGCAAGCTGATATACCGCGATTCTCGAATCAGTATACAGGGAGCGGAAAGCGCGGTTAGCTGCTCTAGAAAAAAAAAAAATCATCGCTCGCCAATGACCGCATTTCGCGAGCGTTGCTTTGCGACTGGTGTCATTTGACAGCTGCGGTTCACTGGCCGGTCGGAGCAGTAGGTTGCGGGGAATGGCGCGACTGATCGAAGAGCAGCTGCCTTAACACGTACAGCTGCTGCGTTGTACGATGGGCAACGTTTTGCTACTGTTTTGCCCTGCGTTCGGAAACGCACAGGGTCACGATCATGCAGCCACGTCACAATGAGAGAGTGTTTTGCGCTTTCTCTGAATTGAATATATATATATATATATATATATATATATATATATATATATCTTTATGAAATAGATGATCACAGTTTCTTCCGGTTTTGAGGGTGTTCAAACTGTGAGGGTGACCCTCTACTACGGAAACTTGTACCATTTCACTTACATCCTCCGAAGAAGGCTGGTCCACCAGCCGAAACTGTTAGGATTAAATAAATATTTTATTGTTTTGTTTCCTATACTGCACTATTTTCGAAGTATATATATATATATATATATATATATATATATATATATATATATATAGTGAGAGAGAGAGAGAAAAGACCGGTACCACAAGTTGGCAATTACTACCAAACCTACCAAATTAAGCATTCCGCAAAGTATATCATTACAGAAAAAAAGCTCCCTAAAATAAGTGAAACCACGTCCCTGTACAACATAATCGTAGCATGCCGACAGCAATTGAAACCAATGTCGAGGTCACCAATCTACGCGGGCATTTTTATACTCGTGCCATGGTTGCATTGTCTCCCTGCTGCGACCTATAGCCTATAGATATATAATCGCAAAATTGTAACCGTGAACTTAGGCATATTTCTTGCATAAACAAGTCGAAAACTTTCAAATACGAGCAAACGATAAATTTGGCACGCTGCAACTGACACCTGGTTAGCGCAAAATTGCTTCAAGGCACTGCATATTAGCTCCATTATGACACGTAAACCTACAGTACTCACAGTCATTGGATGTGACCGTGTACGTAAAAATCCACTTGGTAACAGTTTTCTCTGTCTCTAATCGCCCACATACACATATGTTTAATTTGAAATTTCCCTTTAAGTTCATGCATTCGCAGTTATCTATTCTACGCTCGACAGCTGTCATTTGTCAGACAGGGAGGTAAACAGTTGTTTTTTTTTTCCTACCACCTGTCACCAGCTGACAATGATGTACAATAACGAGCCACCAATACCGACGGTCAACGCACGCTGAAGTTTCAATGTTCGAGTCCCCAGAATGAAAAGCCCACACACAGGAACCATTAATTGGCTCCCAAAGATAGAGTCAATATCGTAGACTGTTGTTCATATCAAATTTAAATACCAAATGGTGCAAACACATAACTGGAGTCAGTATTAATGCCCTGCGATACTGGTCTCACAGGTCGACGTGATAAGTAACTATTCCAGTCGGTTAATAAACCCAGGGGGAAAAAAAATCTCTTCACTGGTTTCTACTTGTTTCGACTGATCTCAGTTCGATGTCAGCTGGTATACATTACTGGTTTCAAATGGTACATACAAACATGGGTCACAAACGCCAATACCTATTACGCGTATACAGGCGTATTACTATAACTGTTGGGGTTTTACGTCCCAACATTTAACTACGATAGGATTGTGAAGAAAGCCGCAGTGGAGGGCTCCAGAAATTTCGACTACCTGCAGCGCTCTTCAACGTATACACCAAAATATACGTACAAGGGCCTCTATAGCAATTTCGCGACCGTCGAAAATGCGGCCGGAATTCGATCCCTCGACCTTCGTTCGGGTCGTCACTTGAGCACCATAATCGACAGACAGCCAGGGCGGGTCACAGGCCACTGGTACAACCGCGTCATAATCATCATCATCATCATCAGCCTGACTACGTCCACTGCAGGACAAAGGCCTCTCTTATGTTCCGCCAGTTAACCCGGTCCTGTGCTTGCTGCTGCCAATTTATACCCGCAAACTTCTTAATCTCGTCTGCCCACCTAACCTTCTGTCTCCCCCTAACCCGCTTGCCTTCTCTTGGAATCCAGTTAGTTACCCTTAACGACCAGCGGTTATCCTGTCTACGCGCTACATGCCCTGCCCATGTCCATTTCTTCTTCTTCTTGATTTCAGCTGTGATATCCTTAACCCCCGTTTGTTCCCTAATCCACTCTGCTCTCTTCTTGTCTCTTAAGGCTACACCTACCATTTTTCTTTCCATTGCTCGCTGCGTCGTCCTCAATTTAAGCTGAACTCTCTTTGTAAGTCTCCAGGTTTCTGCTCCGTAGCTAAGTACCGGCACGATGCAGCTATTATATACCTTCCTCTTGAGGGATAATGGCAATCTACCAGTCATAATTTGAGAGTGCTTGCCAAATGTGCTCCACCCCATCCTTATTCTTCTAGTTACTTCAATCTCGTGCAACCGCGTACTACTAATTAACGCGACCAATCACAAACGTGCAAGCGCGGCCATTCGCACCTCTTTGACGCTGTGATTCAAGTTTTCCACAAACCGTTCACCTCAGCCAAATGAACGACGCGTTTATACACAGTTGTCAGCAAAAGCTATCGCACTCTGAAGCATACCATCACGCGGCGAAGGCTCGCGAGTGAGCGCGTATACGGGCGACTGACCTTTTTTTTTTCTTTTTTTTTTCTGCCACGTCCGAGCACGCGCAACCTCGCACGCGCCACGACAGCACACAACAGTCAACGGTCGTCGTTCCCCGAAGTCAAGTCGGGCAAATACGAAACCCGGTGCAAGCTTCTCTTGAAGCACACCTATAACCACGTGCAAACACGACACGACCAAGGGAGGGGGGGGGGGGGGGGAAGAGCGCAACGTCCTCTCTCGTCGGTTCTGTGACTTCTTCGTCGCTCGATCCATCACTCCTTCGCAGCTGTCACGCAGTCAGCAGTCCACCGTCGCTGTACACTCATACACACGCGAATGCATGCAACTATATACGCAACGTTTCACGACGGTTTCCCTTCCTTTACCATTTATTTATTCTTTTTTTTTTTTGCAACCACCGTGCATCCCGCAAGGCCAACGACGCTGAGGACGCGAGCAGTTGTTGTTGCAGACCTGCGGCTCAAAGGCCCTCACTCAATTTTTTTTGTACCTCAAATGTACGTGTATTCGTTCTCAGTACGTAAGCGATTCTTAAAAGAGATAAAAGAAGATAAAAGTGAGCCCCGTAACTGTCTGCATCATAGCGCGACACCTCAACAGTGGCTCACGAGGGATGGGGGCTAAGGAGCGATTAAAAGGTGCAGGGATAGAGATGAGGACACCCACATACGGAATCAATGAGAAGACAGGGAAAGGTGGACACGGTCGAAGGAGTCCGAGGACGGGGCACCACTCTGCGAGAGCTTCACGGCGTCAGGCGGAGGGCGAGCCGGTCGGCCAGAGCTGCGCTGTCGTCAGTTATGGCGGGGGCACAACAGGTGGGCACGAAATCCAGCGAGCGAGTCCTTCGATCGCAGCGCCGAACGCAATTAAGAGGCACGATGTATTGTTATAATACGAGCCTCCGTATTTCCCCCCGTTCAGGCTGTCTCTGTTCTTCCTTTTTTTTTTCTTCTTCTTCATACAAGAGCTTATTTGTACAATGCACAGTTACCTATACGCCTCTCGCTGTGCTACTGTTCCAGGGGCAAAGGCAGAAATTTTTTTCGGCATAGGGAGCGGGGAAGAGAAATGTGGTCGATTGTCAATTTGTACTCGGTAAGCTGCGGCAAAACAATAATAATAATAATAATAACAATAATAATAATAATAATAATAATAATAATAATAATAATAATAATAATAATAATAATAATAATAATACAATGTTCGGGGGGGGGCATGCCACCCCGTGGCTACGCTCCCCCCCCCGCCTAATATTCGAAATGTCTCTTGATCCCATCAGCCGCCGACCAGTTAATGTAGCCATCCACGTTGAACACCCAGATCCCCGAAGGTGATCCGATTACCCGTCATCGCGCCTTTCACCTCGGGTTATGCTAAGCAACAACGTCCAGTTATCCACCCGAAGCCTCCCCCCGTGGAATGCGGCCGTTGGGAATCGAACCCGGGACATGCAAGTATACGCCTCCGCATCGTGACTTCAGCATTCACACGGCCGTGGGTAACAGGTAAAGAGTGTGACAATGGACAAGATGCGAGAAGCAACGCGCACTGCATACACACGCACCAGTTGATGAAGGTGCTCTTGCCGGCCGAATGGTTCCCGATGAGCAGGACGACTATCTTCTTGCGCGGCGGAAGCAGCGTCTGGCCCAGCGACTCGGCGATCTTCACCAGCCCTGTGGGCGCAATGAAGAAAAAAAAAGCATATTATATAGCGTTAATAGCGATAATCGAGATCTGTAGTACACAGTTTCGAACACCCCGGACGGGGTCGCAATGACGCCGTGCCCAGAGTACCACGTGGTCCGTCACAAGAAGAAGATTTAGAGAGAGCGCCGTAACTATCACGCCATAGACGGGAACGAAACGAATAAAGAATGGCAGAGACAACTGTATTGAGATTTAATGAAGACAGTTATGTGGCATGATATTTCTCTTTGGAAATATTAGCTGGTGCGTTGTGAAAAACTCAACCAGATCATTAATGTTCTCAAATTATCGATGTACCAATGAGGAATATCAAAATTATTCAATACAACAAAGAATATCGCGAAATATTTTGGCTTATTCGTACAAAAATGTGCCCCGATTGACAATGGAGACACAGATGAACTGAGCAAATTCTCAAGTCAACTGGAAAGCCTCTATTATGGATCTCTTCCCCCGAGGTCGATCGTTGAAGGCACCGCGTACGCTCGATATTCGGTCATTCCAGCGACGCAGGCGGCGCCATCTAGCCGTGCTCCGAAGCTGTCACACGGCGATAAAACTGCGACGCAGTTCGGTCTCTCAGTAGTCATGAACCAATGAACGCGTCTCCACGGTCTGCGACGCTGACGTAAACGCTCGTGACATCACCGTCTCGTCCGCCATTTTTTACCTACCGCTGCGCCGCCTATATGGTCGCTGGAATGATCGAATAGGTTCTGAACAGCACGTGAACCTGTATAAGTAAAGCGGGCTGTGCTTATGTCACAAAGGCACATAACATTTCCGGCCGCGTCCTCATCACGTTGAAGCAGGTTACCCTCAGCAATGAACATGCCGCGCTGACGTCATCTGGTGGCCGCCACGTTGTCGTACCGCCACGTCAAGCAGCAGCGTCTATGACGTCACGTGAAGTCCATCAATTATGGCTATAAACACAGCGCTCAAGGAAGGCGGGTAGAAGTGGTCCCTGCAGGAAAACACTATATACCTCAGTCTGCAAGCGCCTTGTACTGGCTTCATCTTTTTTTCTCGTTGCGTCTGCGCAGTGACACCTATTATAAACTATGCGTCACCAACTATAGCCTGCCAGCAATTACTACTCCAAGAATCGCTAGCCTCGTCATCCACGACAACAACTTGAATAAAAAGAAAATAGCCAGAATCCCTTCGGTCGCACCGGTTGCGGCCTCACCTTTAGTCACCCATTAGAGAGAAAAAAAGGTGGGGGGGTGGGGTGAGGGAGGGTAGCACGGCATGGCGTCACAGAGTGAGTAATCCGTGCAGCTTCGAAGACAGTGCATGAGTTGTAAGACGCGCGTTTTCCCCCTTGTATCGCCTTTTGTTTCGTTAGAAACAAGCTGCTCTACCGAAGCCTGGACCCCGATGCCCAACTTCGTTATTTATGAGGAAACATAACTGACCGTAACCACGATTTGATTATGAGGGACGCCGGGAAGCCGTAATGGAGGTCTCCTGGAATTTCGAAAGCCTAGGGTTGTTTTTTTTTAACCTGCACCTAAACCTGACTACAACTCGCTCCCCATCCAAAAAATGGCTGCCACAATCGAGCGCGCGTCCTGGTTCTGAGCAGCGCGGTAATATATGTATAGCGCAGACAAAGGACACGGACAAGAGAAGGCACATTCAAGGCAAACACAGCGCTACGTTGTCTTGAAAGAGCGTTCTCTTGTCCGTGCATGTCCTTAGTCTGCGCTACCATACCAACAAGCCCAAATCGCCACCCCCATCGACTGAGCAGCGCGACATCTTTAGTGCACGCCCACGCATGCAGTCACCCGTACCGATTTTCATACTCGCAGCTTACAATTTATCCGATTACTCTGGAAGTGTTTACGGCGTTCAACCACATACGGGGAGGTTGCGATGCCCTTCTGCATGCATGCAGACGACACTGCCACGGCCCGCGCCCTTTATTTCAAATTCAACTTGCGTAAAACTGAGCACGATACGCATGCCAAGCGTGTATTTCAACACTTCCGTCGGTTGGCGCACACGTCGTTCCATCGTTGTAAGGCACCTGGCTGTACCGTACAAAACTTTTTTAAAAAAGCACACAACAGCACGCTGATACTTGGTAATGTTAATAATAGTAACATCAACAGTAATAATGATAACAATATTAATAATAATAACATAATCTCACGTGAATCATGTCTATGTACTGATATGTCGAAGGCATCGACGCTGCGCCCATAATCACTAACGCATGGTAACAGCAGTAACAATTCCGCGGCTCTGCATGATGAAACCACTGAGTAATTGCAAGGCAGCCCGTATGGCGGCGGACGGTTTAATTACGACTACCTGGGGTTCCTTAATGTGCATTCGAGTCTACGTATGCGAGTGCTTTCGCATCTCGCCTAAAGCGAAATGCACGAAGCCGTTGTATACGGTGCGCTCTAGCCGTGGTATAGGAAATCGACTGTTGTCGAGACGTCGGACTATATACACCATCGCGCGGAGGAGCACAATATGTGTCTACGCCCACTGCAAGGCAAAGGCGTCTCCCATGTTTCGCCAATCAGCACGCTCATATGCTTACTTCAGCCACGTTATACCCCCCCCCCCCCCCCCTCCAAAAGAAAAAACTGATCTCATCTGCTTATCAATCTTTTTGCGTAGGAACAACCGCGTGCTCGTATCGCTCGTTGCTAACCTTCGACCGTACTGTACACAACTATAGGCGAAGGCGCAAGCACTATAGCGGAACCGCGCGCACTCGGCACGCTTTCATCTGCTGACAGGGACGTTTGAGAACGAAAAAAATATAGCACAACAATAACGTTGTAGTGTGCAGCACGCGGCCTCGAGCCAGAGCGAACCGTTATAAGTCACGTATATAGACACGTTCGTCGTCGAACTCGGCGCATCGTAAGGCGCTCGCTGGACCGTGTCGAAGCGAACAGGTCGACGGCGCGTTTCCGTAAAATATACGCCGACAAATACGCTGACTAGACGCTGGCGGGAGACTACTCATTCCGCAACGCGGTGTCGTTATACCGCGCGCATTTTGCACGCGGCTCAAGGAGGCGCGCCGACGAGACGGCGAGGGTGCCGGAAATATGGAGTTGCTTGTCGCAGTTTCTACAGCCGGCTAAGACTGCATAGAAATGCGGTCTCTGTTGTCGTGAATCAAACAACCCGCGTCCTCGAACTCCATAGACGTCCGACTCTGGAGTTTTGCGGACATGCAGCGCCCCCTGTCAACGCAGTTTTGAGTGCTCATCAGTAGATGGCAGCACTTGTCAATAAATGACCACAACCGCGAATGGGTCAACCGCGAGATTCAAATACACAGTAAAATCTGCTGTTTACGTAGGCTAGTTTGCCCTGTAAAACTATCAAGTTTAAGCTTTATGTATGGTTTTCTTTGGTTTCTGTATTTCTACCTAAATAATCGGACTGAGTACTTTATTGAAACGCAAAAGAATTATGTTTAATACCATATTTAAGCACCTATACTCATAAAGATCCTAGGAGGTGGAGGAGGGAAGCAAAAAAGTTAAATGCGAGAATATGAGTAAGTGCAAGATGATAGTAATGGTGTTGATGTCAATTAACAAGTTTTAGTTAAAGGGAGTTGTCACCGTATGCAAAGGTAGAGGGTGGTACTGCCTAGATCGAGGGATAGCGAGAGTGAGAAGGGGGCTGGGGTAGTGAACCTCCCTTCCCCGAAATATGTAGATTTTGCTGGTGTATATATGCAGGTTTAGCTGACTTAGGGCAGCAGCGGCAGTTCTAGTCACATGCCCCTGTGTTCTGCGTATATTTACGTGTAAGAATGCACCAACGATTCAGTTGCGAGTCTGTGTGTGTGTGTGTGGTGTGTGTGTGTGTGTGTGTGTGTGTGTGTGTGGTGTGTGGTGTGTGTGTGTGTGTGTGTGTGTTGTGTGTTGTGCGTGTGTGTGTGTGCGTGTGTGTGTGTGCTGTGTGTGTGTGTGCGTGGTGTGTGTGTGCGTGTGGTGTGCGTGTGTGTGTGTGTGTGTGTGTGTGTGTGTGTGTGTGTGGTGCTGTGTGTGTGTGTGTGTGTGTGTGTGTGTGTGCGTGTGTGTGTGTGTGCGTGTGTGGTGTGTGCGTTGTGTGTGCGTGTGTGCGTGTGTTGGTGTGTGTCGTGTGTGCGTGTGTGTGTGTGTGTGCGTGTGTGCGTGTGTGCGTGTGTGTGTGTGTTCTTTATGTAGTACTGGAATAAAACGATTAGAACGTCGATAACTACAAATTAAAAAAAATGTATTGACGTTTTGGCATTCAGAACGGGGGCCTTGCTCACAACATTAAACGAAGGAAGCGGGCTAGGCGTTTATATAGTCTAAAGCAAGTGACCTAAATATCATGCGTATGCACGGGGCAGATTACCGGCCGTGTGGTTGAGCGTAATTTTTTTCTTGTTTGCATTGTGTTAGATACTATCCCACCAAACGGGTGACGGTTGAAGCTTGGATATCACTTCATGTTTTTTTTTTCGTGAGTGCTGTCCGAATTGACATATATTTTTTTGTGATCACTTTTTCATTTCTTTCTTGTGAATACGTCACTATGCTTTCATTCATTTTCACCTCTCATATTGTTTTGAGTAGATTATAAAACTTGGTTTGGTACAGCTTTTTCGCAGTGTAATTATAGAATTGTTACTTTTTGGACCCAAGTTAGCCTATAGCTATGGGTCCACACAGTGTTCGAAGGCTTTGTGTTAGGAAGTTATTATCATTACAAAAATCACAGCATATCCACGGAGTGAACGATGATGAGAGGGACAAAGTGTCCATCCATCCGTCTGTGCGTCTATCAATGCGTACGCGTCAGTTCGTCCGTGTCTCTGTCCGTTCTTCTGGAGGCACGGGCGGACGGTTGTAAGAACGGACGGACAGAGAGATGGATGGACGCGCGGAGGACTCACGGATGAACAGACGAGTGGATGGCTGCATGGACGGACGCACAGACGGACGGAAGCACGGATGGGTGGACGGGCGGACGGATGCATGGGTGGACAGACGCACGAATGGACGGATGTGCGGACGCTTCACCCCAATCATCATCACTCACTCCGGGGATATGCTGTAAAAACCACTAACGCCATCTAGTTGTATTGTTCCCAAGGACATGTACACACAGCGCCATTTAATGAGCAACTCACAAATGAAGGTGGATGCATTACGACCACAGATGAAGGAATGACCCACGGCCTAGGGAGCTTCGCCCCTAAAATAAAAACAGTTCAATTCAAGTACCTTTCTCTTTCTCTCACAAACACCGCAACTTATGGCTTTTAATTTCCACCAAGGACATTCGTTCATGAAAGGCGAATTACACATTCCTCATGTCAACACGAGCTTGGACGTGTAGACATAGTCTAGCCCAACAAATAGTCTAGCCCAACACGTTGGTTAGGCTAACCTATTTGCTTCAGATCTATGAAAAGTGAGTAAGCTCGACTGTATCGTATCATATATAGCGAACAAGCGACCAATGCTTCATAACCTACGTGTGCCTTTTCCCGCTAACCCACACTTCATGGTTCTATATTATAAAAGACTCATGACAATAAACACAAGCTTTTACTGCTGTACTGACACGTGTGCGTGTTCGTTTCGTCAACCATGGCTCGGTCGATACACGGTGTCAGAAGCGGGTACCTGAAGCCTTGCAAGGCCTTGTATGCTATAGACAATGAAGAGAAGCACGTGACAACTGACTACACCACCACCGGCAAGAGAATACCGAGGGCATGGTGTATCAACCTACTGGCTCTTCTGGGTCACGTGACCAACAGGAAAAGAACGTGGATTTGTTGACAGGCAAAGTCACATTTTATTGTGTGTGTGTGTGTGTGTGTGTGTGCGTGCGCGTGCGTGTGCGTGTGTGTGTGTGTGTGTGTGTGTGTGTGTGTGTGTGTGTGTGTGTGTGTGTGTGTGTGTGTGTGTGTGTGCAGCCACAGAGGGTACTGAAAACCGAGGTCAAATGCAGGAAAGACGGCCGTTTCATTAAGAGTGACTTGTGACGAGGCTCTCAAAGTCTACAACAGCCTATACTTTCCGTGAAGGCGAAGACAAGCAGGACTGGCCAGGTGGGACTGGCATGTTTATAGCTATAAGTGTGAGGAATACTACGTCGAGCAAGAGAACATAATTCATAAGCATTACGTTTTCCAGTCTCGTCTCCAGGGCAAAGCTGAACCGTTCCAACAGTTTCTCCGTGTTGAAAAAGCAAACGCAGTTTCGTAAACGCCATGGACGACACGGTGCGCGACCAAATTGTATTCAGTACTTACTCACTGAAGCTCTGAGAGAAGTCATTACGTTGGACAAAGTCATTGCTTCACGCAAGGCGGCGGAAACGTCAGCACGAGAGAATTCTCGCGGAATACAGACGGAAAACTTTACGTCCTTGCAGTTCCATCGAGCCGAAGCTTCAACTGCTCCCGCTGCAGCCCGTCACACGCCGCACAACGCTGTCCTCCCAAACGTTGGCTCAGGAAACCTTGTCACTCATGCGAGGGGCGCAACCATTTTGTCTGATGCTGCCAATCAAGCGGTGCCATCTGCAAGGCCGAGAAGCGGATGCCAGACCAAAACGACGACTTTGATGTTTTAGACGTCACCATCGGAAATATTAGCAGCGAGTGGGACTGGATTATGAAAGTAAATATTGCAGGCAAAGAAATCAACTTCAAGATTGGCACAGGGTCACAGGCAAACTTGATGCCGCTGTCGCTCACCCGGAGTATTCAAGCCTGTTCGTTGGAAGCAAGCTGAAAGCAAGTTGAAAGCAAAAGAGCAGTTGGCACTGTCTCTGTAGCAATGTACCAGATTGGACTAGTTGCAACATAGTCATGACAGTCAGCGCTTTATGTTGAATCTCGCCCATCGTGCTCGTCCACGGCAGTGCCAATTTGTCTGCAGCCACCTCTGAAACACGTTCCGCCCATTCTGCCACAACGAAAGTCGCTGCGTCAAACCAGTCTTTCGGAACGTCTGTGATATGGTGGAAACTTCCAGCATGTAAGTCAGCGGCATTGAATGGGATGGAGATGTATCGTATCACACCTAAGAGCATAAGCTATCGATGTTTGTTGTACTACACACGTATTTCTGTGCTCTCCAATAATACTCCTTTCCCTTGTAGTGGTATAAAATACTGATGGCAATAAACAGAGGCATTCACCGCTGTCCGGACGTGCGTGCTGGTTTCATCAATCATGTTCCAATCGATACAGCTACAAGACGAAGAATATTTTTTTCTACGTCTTTGTCTAGATGTGCTTACTCACTCTTCATGCATCCTATCAATAGTTGGAAGAATTCACCCCCTGGCCAAGTGGGAATTCTACGGCTAAGTCCATTGGCCGTAGCTCGGTAGACCTGTCCGAGCTGGTCCGTTGAGCCGAATCGGGACAGCGCTGCCTCATACGGCAGTTTGATGGGAAGTCTGATCGGTGTGCACAGGCGTAGCTAGGGAGTGGAGTAGGCCACCCGCCCCTCTACTCTGTCTGGAAATCTGAATTTTTAATGGGTATGTGCATAATGTACATACATGCACAAACAAGCGCACGTCCATAAAGGGTGGCTGCACCCATCTACCCTTAAAAAAATAAAGGCTTCTGGCTACGCCTTTCTTGGTATGTGTTTGCGTGTACCACCGAGGTAAAACGTCGCTATTTCCTCGTAGCCTGACAATTTATCAGACTACCGGTTGTCTCTATGCAGATTCGAGCGCGTATATATTCCCACGTCTGACAGCGGCGGCTTTTGCAGTTTTCGTCTCTTGGTTCACAGACGTGTTCGAACAGTCACCGCAGTCATAATGCCTAACCTTTCACAATTGTATGGCAGTAGAAACGTATACCAACCAAGCGCCTGTAGAAAATGCCCATACATTTATTTTTGCGGTACGTCCGACAATACAAAGCTGCAACTTTTAAAAGGTACGGTTCGGTAAACAGAGAAAATGTGTAAAGCTGTCTCGCCGTTATAAGGCACAATATACAATCTTCTGACAAAAGATGACTTGACGCAAGTACGTGGGTGTCTCATCGAGACGCGAACATAACCACGATAAATGCACGAAAAGAATCTTCATACATGTTGAACCTACTGCAAGCGAGCGCCGCTGGAAGCACACCTCCACAGAAGTAGCGGTGTGCTTGCCTACAGAGCTAAATCAAATCAGAGCTTGTACACTTGACTGGTAAGTCTTTACGCTTCTGTAAGAAGCGCTGCATTTGCGTGCAGAGCTATAGCGAATCAGAGCTTGTGCACTTTTATGAGACTGGTATTAACGCTTCTATGAGAGACGACGTATACGTGCTAGCAAAGTACCAAATTGTATATTTCTGTGAGCAAGAATGGTCTGTGGAAATCATGAGACTTTGATCGTTTTGGATGAGTGAACATTATATGTGATTAAGCACAGAAAATCGGTGGTAATAAACTGGTGCATGCATGACAACAATCAACTAGCTCATCGTCAGAAGCATAAGAATAGGTTGCAAAAACAACAGCGTTTACGTCTGCTATACAGTACTCTGGTGGTCGGGCAGTGTCCTTGCTTTACGATTTGCGACATCGAAAAGACAAAGTCCCACTATATGTGATTGAAATGACAGGTACAGTAACTTTGAGCAACATCAATGCAGAAAATGCATTATTAAACACGAAAACAGCACCATTGGTCAAGGATAGATGTTTGGCGAGCAACAATTCTTATTACATAGATCAACGCCAAACTGCATATAGGTTCATTGTGTGAACCGGCACAATCAGAGCACAGCAGCATTAATATATGCGCAGACAGTTATAATGTACATATGAGACGGAAAACGGTTCGTCATTCAATGCCTTTGGCATGTTTTCATTATTGAACTGTTACCGACAGTCGTGTTTTTGGTAGCTATACATCTTTTGACCATCGGAAATAACGAACAATGAACGATAGTCGTTCAATATAGTAAGGTTCAACATCAGTGAGTGGAACCTTCGCGAGATGGCACGCAAGTACGCATCAAGCACTGATGTCGACACAACCATCACACAGAAGCGCACACACGCGGTAAGTGAAAATTCCGTGTCCGTTTCCTCTGCGTAGTTAACACAGAAGATACATTCCTTTTTTTTTTCACAGCACGAAAGCACACAGGCCACGCGAGTGTGGAAGTCACGAGCGTTAAGGACACAGTCACTATGACGAGGCGTCGAACCGGCGAGCAACTTGATGCAAGGCCTGCACAACAGCACACTGTCCCTGCTCATGGTCCTAGCACCGGTTATGACCCTGTATATGATCCGTTGCATGTGCAGTTCAGCGTTAGAGCGGTGGGGCTCCGCCTCGTCACACAAGTTTCTCACTAAGACGACGCACCGCTTGGGGCACCCAATGCTTGTGACGAAAGAGCGTCGCATGGTATTCAGTCACAGGACACAAGGAATGTCACACTCCGGTATTGCAGGTGTTTCTCAAGCCAAAGTGTTCGAGCGTACCGTTACGGAATCTTGCGGCTGAGTACACCGTGCACAGCGTATACGCGCTAGACAGCAGTGGAGTGCAAGAGAAGAGCGTCGGCCTCGGGTGTATCTTGAGCAAGCGCTGCCGGAACAGCGCCGTTCTTGAGAAGACCATTGCTGTTGTCCCGAGTGGGGAGGAAGCTGCCGCCATCGAGGTAGATGGACACCTTGTCCCTGGGAGCCTTGGATGGCTCGGAGACGACGCGCCGGCGACTTCGACGGGACCTGCATTAGAGCGTGTGCGTTGCCTCGATGACGCTTTCTACACAATGCTCAGAGAAGTCACAAGCTCGTTACCGCAGCACCAGATTCGGCGACAGCCGACTGCACGCACCCATGTACGTGATTCGTATGTTTTCTTCTTACATTGCTATAAATGTCCAAGCCATCTTTCTCGTTGCGCATGTTCAGAGGAAGACAGATGCTACATCGATGGGACAAAAAATCACAACAGGGAATGTGTGCCAGCGTTTTGAGAGGAGTAATTAATTCTTTTCCTTAAAGGGTACACTATGGCATTCCACCTAGACTTCGTACAGCTGTTATATCCAAGCAGTATAGTCATAAAATGACTACATGAATATTTCAGGATTAACCTAAACTTGCCGCCGCTGCACGTGCAGTATTCGCATCCGTTTGCCGAGATTGCTGTTGACAAATGATTTATGGACAGAGGGCACAATATTTTACACTTTACTCATGCATAATTGGCTGCGTTGCATGAATGAACGTGATTTAGGAGTATCGACGACCTATACTGAGACGCGGGATGTTGTGCTGTGGTGTTACGCTTGCGATTGCGGAGCTATCAAAGGCAGTTAAGGCCGTTGCAATGGCCACCGAAGTGTAAATAAGAATTAGCTGAATTTGATTTCTATATAGTCTAAATAGAATATAAGAATGTTAGAAAATATGAGTGACAAAGTGAGATCGTCACGTCCAGTTCTGAAGCATACCATGTGCCAAGTATAAAAATTAGTGTTTGCCAGAAGAAAAAAAATTCCGGCAAATCACATGTGCTATAGGAGCAGACGTGATGCGTAGCACCCAGCAAAGAGCTGCACACATAGCTTTGTCTCTCTTTTAGGCAAATGAAGTCATTCACACAGTCTTGACACCTATTTCAATACATAGAGCACGTTTGTCATGCACACGTGCATGTACGATTTTGTATATACCATGATAATAAAACGTATATTGTAGTATAGAAAACACGTGCCCTGCCATATATGTTCATCACGTACTCATGTCATACGATTTCATATATATTAAGCAAACCAAACGACTGGAAACGTGTCAAGAATGTAATGTAAATCACGTTGCAGATGACATGCATGTCATGATTTTCTTGTTAGGGTCTATAATTGATTATTGTCATACAATCACATCATGCAAAACTAGCTTTAGTGTATATCAAGCCAGTGAAGCGGGCCCAAGTGCACCATAAGTGTGGAATGTAAATTATGTACTACATGACACGCTGACACGCCGTATATCATTATTTTGAGGTTAACACCTGTCATTTATCTTCGTCATAGAGTCCCGTTACGCAGTACCGATTTGGTACATGGCAAGCTGGCATAATCACCACGAGAATTTCATATAAGTGATGTTCGAAATGACATGCATGTCATGGTTTCAATGTTGCCCCCTGTCATTTATTTCGGTCATACCGAAATGTTTCATTATACCAGTTTTGGTGCATATTTTTTTCAATTAAACGACCGCGAGTGCCCCAAGGCCTTATGACGTAAATCATACTTTATACGACACGTGTCACGATTTGCACGTTAAGACGTGTCGCCTATGTTCGTCATACACTCATGCCATGCCATATTGATTTTGTCATATACCAATTTGCTAACCTAAAACGACCGCAAGAGCCAGGTCATGACCCGCCATTTATGTTCGCCCTACTGGGATGTTATGCCCCGTCAATTTATAGTACACATTCCTTTAACAAAACGGCCAAGAGAGCACAGAGTCGTTGGCGGCTACATAGACCGATAACCCTGAAATTCGCCGAAGTTCGCTAAGAAATGCTTCGCATATAGAAGCACAGCGAGATAAAAGTAGCAGCGTCACCTTAGAATCTCTTTCAATGATGGATACTTAAGCGAATTCAAGAAATAAATGCTGGATGATGTCAGCCACCGTGCAGCTCAAAATGAAGGCACAAAGAAGGAAATGAGCGCGGTACACACTGCGAGTTATCAGTTGAACGCATCACTGATGAGCGTCAGCTGGTGCACCTGGATGTAGTGTTCGATATAATTTTAATCATGTTTGCTAATGTAGGCAGCAATGCAATGCTCCAACTGTTATGCGGAACTCATAAAGTTGTGATTTTTGAAACGAACAAGTGAAACATTTCGATTATAGGTACTACTCTGAAGACGCTAGAGCCTGAGAGAACAACTTACCAGAATAGTTTCTTCTAAATCCAAACAGTATTTCTTCTCCAGTTCAAATGATTGACAAGTGAGCTGTTCGAGCTTAGTTTCTATACAATCCTTTGCAAACATAAAAGCTGAACTCACCTGAGAACAGAGATAAAGGAAACCAGCAGCAGGATGATGGAGGCCACCAGAAGAAATATGGCAGTGCACCGAACCAGTATCGGAGCCAGCACAGCCACTTTTATCCTGGTTAGGGTGTGCTCCTGTGCCTCGGCCACCTACAGGACGACAACATAGCGTTACTGATCCTCTATAGCATAACCTCGCAAATACACACAGACACCTAATGGTTCGGTAGGAAGAACATTCCTACGGAACCATTATCATCATCATAATAAAAACAATCAATTTTAAGGCCGCTGCACGGCAAAGGCCCCTTTACAGATATCTCCAAATTTTCCTGAAATGAAACCACTGAGGACGCGCTCCCGTTAGTTCAGCAAATTTCTGCTGTCTCTGGCAGCTTAACCTCTGAAGGGACACCGAATTGGAACAATATCAGCTTAGATTGATAAATTCTACCCTGAAACTCTAACGTCGAATTTATCATACTAGATTTAAGAACAGTAGAAAATCAATGTCACAATGTGTATGTGCATGTGTGTGCATATGTGTGCGTGTGTGCATGCGCGCGCGTGTGTGTTTGTGTGTGTGTGTTTTCAACTTCGTGGCCATATCTCTGCGCGTGACATCATATATTTCCAACAGCATTGTTCGTATTATTTTCGACATCAGTTACAAAAATTTCCTGGCATTTATGGCCCTATCAGAGGTCAACGTACTTCCTTTTCATCAATTATGAATGATGTAAGTCCTATAGTAGACGCCATTAAAATCTATGACACGGCGATTGCTGCGAAAACTAAGGTGGCGTCGCCCTCCGCATTTTTATTTCTGCACGTTATCTCGCTTACCGATCTTCTTACCGCGGAAAGCGTGACAACTTCGATGTTGTGGAAGAGTAATCTACTAATAAGAAAAAAATCAGTTTTCTCTTTGGTGTCCCTTTGAAATGAAAGCCACTTTGTTGTACAAATGAAATTACGACTCAGCTGTATTGAAGTAGACGTTCCTATAAAACATACGGCTTCTCTTGATCTTAAGCATAATCAAGCCGCTCTAGATTACGGCACTCACTTCTTGATCAACCATGCATGGTATACATCCAGATGCTTCCACAGGTCATAGAACTGGACCTAAATGGTGTGAATTAGTGCTTACGGCAAGATGAGGTTACGACAGTTTGGAGTGGTGTTTCACCTTAAGAACATGCTCTCAGTTTTTACTTTTGGCATTACGTTGTGCACATAGTGCCACGCACCATTCGATATGCACCGCTTCCTGTTTTACAGTGAACTTGTTTATATGTACTCACCACTTCTTGCCAAAACAGCGGAAGGATCGTGTATCCTAGATCAGATGAAGACCTTCAAAGGCGAAAAAGAAAGAAAGTCGAATCTGCACATTAGAACTCATTAAAGAATAAAATTTTCGTTCAAGAAAAATCTTGTACGGAGAGCGACTTGAATAACTATACGGGAATCAACGTTATACCTCCAACATGCCTCATGAAGAAATTATTTCACGGTAGGAATATAAAACCGACGTCCTTTGAGTCACTTCACTTCAGTGAATTAAGAATCGTTAGAACCACGAAACAGAAGTAGCAGGAGTAAAACGTTGAGATATATAAAGTGCAAACATTGCAAGATTAGAGGAGCTGTTGTGAAACTCAGGGTAGAAGAATATTTATTGGCCCGTTGTGTAGTAGCGCACAAACACTGGTCGAACTCATTTCTCGTACGCGCTTCATTCTGGAGTCGCAGAGCAGAGCAAGTTGTGCACCTGAACACGTTAGAAATCATGTAAAACGCGTCAGCGTCATGAAAACCCTAATTGCGTACACGCGTGAAGTATTCACAGAAGTTTTTGCGAGCCGTTCGGCGCCCTCTATTGTGAAGCCGAGAACAATTAATACAACAACAAAAGAAAAAAAGAGGGGGGAGGAGATAGAGGTATGATGCATGGTCGCACTGCATTCCTGTAACAACGAAAGAATTAATGTAGCCAAGGTGTACATGAGCCCACCAAACATGACATAGTTATGCGCTTTCAAACGCGTGATAATGGTGCACTAAAAAATTACTATGACCACGAGACTATTCGTCACCACCAACCTCATCACGAGTTTGCGAGTTGTAACTTTCGGAATTATTCGTGTAATAACGATCGATTGATTGACTGATATATTGATTGGCTGATTCATTGCTGTGTGGAGGTTAACGTCCCAAAACCACCATATGATTATGAGAGACGCCGTAGTGGAGGGCTCCGGCGATTTCGACCACCTGGGGTTCTTTAACGTGCAACCAAGTCTGAGCACACGGGCCTACAGCATTTTCGGCTCCTTTGAAAATGCAGCCGTGGCAGCAAGGATTCGATCCCGCGACGTATTGGTCAGCAGCCACGTGCCTTAGCCACTAGACCACCCCAACGGGGCCAATAACAATCAGTGCCGTTCATTGATTTTCACAATATAACGTACAAATATGTCGATGTAATGTTTAGGTTAGTACAGATGAATATTCTGCTGAGCAAGAAGGAGGTCTTACCAGAAACCTGGAACGTCCTTCATTAATACGTTCAGCTGCAGACGAACTCTGCCGGAAATCGACGCTCCCGTGGTCTAAACGGAAATGAGAAAAGGTCACTCAGCAAGCGTATAATATTGCTAGAGGTGTACAACAGATGGGACCACCATGTTAACTACAGACGGTGACGTCTTCATTATCAGCAAGGCATACTTCCCAACAACAACAACAACAACAACAACAACAACAACAACAACAACAACAACAACAACAACAACAACAACAACAACGACAACGACGACAACGACAACGACAACGACGACAACAACAATAATAATAATAATAATAATAATAATAATAATAATAATAATAATAAATGTTTATGCTGTAATTGACGTATCCGCGCGAGGTCGTGGCTAGAATACCTTCTTGACAAGTTATGCCAGCCTCATCGTCCACCGGTCACCTGATACCGTGAATGGCGTAGACGTACCGCCACTCTGACCACTGGCCAAGCGAGAAAAACACACTGCGACCACTGCGATCATGTCGATGCATCAGAGGAGTGTATTCTTATCGAATGTCTGCAATATGATCAACAACGCGTTGAACAGGGGGATCGCTTGGACCGACTAGACAGACGATTAGAAAAATTAGATTAGACGATTAGATTTATGCTTAGAAAAATTCTTGGACTGAGTTCATTCCGACAATTAAAGGCGCGAAGTGGGCACCCTCCGTGATTTTTTAATGAACAGAAATCTAATTAGCTGTCTTTAGTTCATATTATACCTTGCCGCTATTTGTACGGACTCTATCTGTAATATATCAACTAGATATATGAACTAGACTATGAGCATACATACAGTGCTCATTCATGCAATATAAGCCCTATAATGTATATAGTATGTACATAGTGCCTTTGATTAGTTTTTTTTCTTCTTAATTTCTTGTTCTTAATTTTTCTTGTTTGTGTGTTTATCCTGTACACTACTGTCATAATATTGGGATAGCCGGCTCAGCGTAGCCTACGTTTCCATATTCTGCCAAATATAAATAAAAAAAACGAAAACGCATTGGCAACGAAAAAGGCATCGCTGCGAAATACTCGCCCAGTTGCCACACGCTATGCACACTTGCGTAGCGACTCAATGACGCGGCCTGCACCTATACCCACATACAGTTGTACCAGGACCATGGCCTAAGTGAATGCCTATTTCACTACTTAAATACCTCAGGTCACTGAAACCCTTCTTATATAGTATCAGCTTTGACTTAGGTCAAAGAGAATAATAGCTCAAGGAGTACGACAGCGTCTTATCATGGCATATGCGCGGATAGGCGTGCGCATGCATTTAATTACTAGGAGCGGGGAGGGGGTGAGGTCTCATGAGTCATTAAAGTCATTTCCTCGTGAACTACCCGGAACCACAATCTACTCAGTGCAGTAGTGGCGATACCCCCAACTTTTTATGCTCTCAGTTTGCATGTGCCACGTGGGTTAGCGCGTACGCCTACGCATACGTATACATAGGCAACACCGAAGGTGCAGTTACCGGATCGCTGTCGATGTAGAAGAGGTGCTGCTTCTCGTCGGGATGCAACCCGTCGACGCCCTTGAAGAGGGAGGGGCTCCCGTAGAGAAAGTGAGGAAGCGACATGACGACCGGCACTCCTGCGAGGGGCGACCACAAGCTGTGACAAGTCAAGTCAATCGTATTCCGGCTGATAAGATTGTTTCATTACCGTAATTCTCAAAAGGACTCATGGTTGATATCTGTAAAACCTATCTCACACCGAGGCAACCAATGTTAGCGGCGACTAGCTCTTGTCGCACGACCATTTGCGATTGGCGCTCAATGAGCGACTCTACGCGACCGATGTTCACACCTGTGTGCGATCTATACCTGTCTTCACACAATTTACGTCCGACAGTATTGCGATTGCCCTGCAAAATAGGCTGACATCCTGTTTCTGCATATTTGATTGGTTAGAAGGCTTGCGGCTGATGACGCGCGACTCAAATATCGAGCAGCGAGCGACTGAGCCAAAACAGTCGCTTTGAAACCAAAGCGGCCATTTGCGACCGTTCATGACCACTGTCAACGAGCCTTAATGCAGAGAAAGGTTGAAGTTATGCAAACCGTTTTTGGTCGCAAAGCAGCCCTTTGGAAGCGCGGCTTCGATATGCAAATTCAACGACGGCAAAATCTCTATACCAGAGAGTTAAAACAGTCAATTTTCCGCGAAAATTGACAGTGTGCGATGATTTTTACTGCAGTTCACGACAATATTGAGTTGGAAAATTTGCGACCACATTCATCGTGCCACCTCCGAGTGTCGCCATCGTGAACGATTCCTTTCACGACATGGCAGCATAGGTAAGTTCCACGAGAATACTGCTATGCCACTGAGATACCGTAATAACATTTACAGAGGTTCTTCAATTTACACCTGAATTAGTTACACAATCGTTTATCAATTTCAATACCATCGAAAATCTGCAGCGGCAAAAAAAAAAAAAAAACTGACTTCTGTCTTGTAAAGTTGTTTGCGCCGCGTGGCGATTGTGTCTCGCACAAAAGCCGTATTTCGAAGGTCACGACCACTGAATGATGGGTGGCGTTGTGTTCGCAAGCGGTAATCACCGCTATCATCATCATGGTTGTTAGATCGGTAGCGCCAGCGGTTACCTCTGGCGGCAGGCAAGCCTTGGTGGCGGCAGAGACAATTGAGCAAGTCTCTTTTGGCGTGGGGCGGTAGCGCGGACTTGGTTAGTGCCGACCGAGTCGACTGTGTCCGTTCACTCCAAGGGCGCGATGGCGCTCGCTACATCGAGACACCACAGTCTTCAAAACCTGGAGCGGATATTTATTGCGACATTTCGGCAGTTACCCCATGTACTTTATGGTCCCCCATTACCGACCGTAAAATTTGCTTAGGCAATTACGCCATGTTTTCATTATAGCTTATTCTTCGGTTTCACTTACTACGAAACAATACTATTGTTGAGGTTCTGTGTCAAACAGCACGACGTGATTATGAGGGTCATCGTGGTAGAGGGCTCCCAAAATTTCAAGCACACTGGTCTTTAAAGTGCACCTAAATCTATTTGCACGGTTTTCTAGCATTTCACCGTCGAAATTGGGCCACCGTGGCTGGAATACGTGTCATCGTAGAGCATACGTCAGCAGCTCACCGTCTTGCAAAGGACCGAGGTCAGTGACTCCCGAGGGCAAGTGCTTGCGGGCTGCGTTGTAGCAGGCGTTGTCTGGAGACTTTTTGTTGAAGACACTCGACGTGACGGCAAACCGCCTCGTGGCCAGGCCGCCAACCTTGGAGTCTGCCACGTAGTGAAGTTCGAAGGTCCTGCGCATGCCACCAAGTGGATACCTCTGTAAGGACTAACAAACGTGAGTTAGGGAAAAAAATTGGGAGACCCTTAAGCTTCGCCTTTAAGAGTTGAGCGCGGTAGCGAAATACGGCCCCTAGTGCACCCTTCAACCGCTAAGTGCGTACTTATTAATATGTTTTGTTACATACACACGCGCGCACACAAACACGCACACAGTAGATTGGACCAGCGCGCGCTATTATCGCTGAATGGGCTCATTTTTGTCGTGACACCTGTCAAACAAAATGCGCTAAAGGGGCCCTGAAGCACTTTTTCAAGTAACCATGGACTGAATTCACTAGGAGAGCTTATTGCCTTACGAATCCAACGCCGCAAAAATTCTAAGAATCCGTCCAGTGCGAGTGGAGTTACAAAGGTTTGTCGCATGCTGCAATTGCATTATCTTTTCTCTCGTCCCGACGAAAGCGCTGGAAGCTAAGCAGGGAGGGGTGGCAAGGCAAAGAAACTACCGCGCCTCATGACCTTGAGCTCTTTTTTTTTTTCTTCAAACGCGCGGCTTTTCTCAGTGTGATCGCGCGCGCGCACACGTGGACAAGTAGCGGCCTCCCACGGCTATCTCGGTAACTTGATTTTTCGGTCACAGACGCACAGACGATGTTTCGCTCACAACCAACGGAGCCGACGCCGTGGCGGCGGGTTTTCTGCGACACGAGCTCTCTAACGTTATCACGTTGATAGTTAGTCAAAGGCTGGCCGTGACGAAGTTCCGAGGCAGTTAATATTTTTATAGTATTACTAGCCTCGACATTGTTAATTTTGAAAATACATACCGCGTAAATTTTCCCAAGAGGACGAGATGTCTGCTATACACATGAAAGCAATGGTAATATGCCTGAAGACCACATGTTCTCGGGCTGTATGTTGCAGCACAACATCGTCGCCCTCAGCGTTAAACAAAGGTTACATTGGGCGCGTTGGTAAGTCGTCATAATGAAGTAACTATATAGGTGCAACATAACGCTTCCCGACTCACGCACACAACGACGACACCCGTGTATACTCAAGACGCCGCCATTTGGGTAGTTTAGTCAAGTTATATGCGTGAGTGCATGTCATGGGTGAGTGGGGGAGTCTTTAGCGGCGCCTAGTTCATTGACCACCGCAGCGATTTTAGCAGTTTCGGTGTTCGGCCGCTGACCCGAAGGACGCGGGATCGATCCGGTGTTTCAGCTGTTGCGTTTCAAAAAGAGGTGAAATGCCAGGGGCCCGTATGCTGTGCGATTTCAGCGACACAGAGCACCCTTAGAACACCAGGTGGTTGAAATTTGCGGAGCCCTGCACAATGGCAGGCTTGTTAATGATATCGTGGTTTTGGAACGTATAACTCCAGATCTTATTAGCTATCTATTATGACGCTCAATGTTATTTAGAAACAATCACTTTTTTTCTTTTCAGAATGCTCGACAGGTTCTGTCGTATGCAATCAGTCAGGTTTATAAGGAAAAGCGCGTTAATTCTCTGCGGTGGCAGTCTCTACGATGTAAAAAAAAGTTTATGACATATCATAAAACGTTTGTACTTTTATATCGCACCTCAGTTTTCATGTGTACGGATAACATGTTTCCACAGATTCACTGCTCTTTCTTTTGTGTGTTGGCAAGATTGGTATAATGCTACACGCGAACGATTACAAACAGTTATTTCTACCAAAAACTTCGTGCAAAAGCACACAGCCTACATCATTTAACTATACCAACGGACACAGTAATCCCTTATTCATTGACTCAGGTTGCCTGAACTATTTTGTTTTTTGTTTTTTGAGTGGCAACTGAGGTTAGAGCGTAAATAGTAGCACGAACTTGAGAGAAATTATTTGTCGGCTGTGTGATACATTTCAGTTTTTCAATTATTGGTTCATCTGCTAACTGTCCCTGTTGTGCACGCTAACCCTTCTGAACTGACAGCGCCGTCATTTCAAGCTGAAGTCGTGGTGCCCCTGGTGATTACAAGTAACTATTGCAGTTACGGCAAACAATATTTTAAGGCCTCAGAAAAGTGAGGGTGAAAAATATGTGCGACACTGACAACCGAGACAGAGCGCGAGAGAAGGTAAAGTTAAACTTAATTTTCTCAAAATTAAGGGGTTTTATGAGCCTCCTTGACTTTTGTCCATATGTACTACTTTGGGCGTCAGCAGGCTTGTATAATCCTTACCGATCAGCCAAAGGAGATCCTAAAGTCCTTACTGAACAGCGTGACATAGGCGAAATCCCACCACTGGCTACTAGTCTGCTAAGAATGAGGGCAACGGTTAGCCCAACCAAGGGATATACGTGCATTGAAATTTGTGTGACCTACCAAAAAACTGTCGTCATCGTAAACGCGTGTGCCACATAAGTTTGGCAAATCCCGACGCACACAACTTCTATACCCAAAAAGAGAAGAAGGCCCAACAAGTGACGCGCGCGCTACCACAGTCACGCCGCCGACACGTGATACTTTGCGTTCATAAAAGATGGTGGCTACACTGCACCCTCGGAGTTTAAGAAAGGGTGTTTAAAAAAAAAGGGGTGCAATATATCTGAGATACTTTCAAAACATAGGAATGCTGTCAGCCTGACGAAGGGATCACCACCAGATTCACTATTTCATCGGTGTACGCGAAGCGGGGATGGTTCAATTTTTAGGCGCGCGCAGAGCTCCCCTTCGGGGGGAGGAGGAGAGGAATGGGGCAAAGGTTCATCGCGCCACCCCCTCCCCCCCCCCCATTGCGAGAATGTATGGGGCTGACCTTGCGCCCTTCCCCCAAGTCACAGCCCTCTCTATCACGTAAATGTATAGGACTTTCTTTGCAGCCTCCCTCTTAGTGAGTAGGGGGGCATCACATCTCACCTCCATCGAAATGTAACGGCCGCCGCGGTCGGCATCGAACCCGCGACCTCGGTTGACGAGCACCGTATGCTCGTTATATAAAAACTATTCTGGTAAGCTATTAGGGCGGTATAGCATTGCAGATGTTTACTTCATGCTTTAAGGCCAAAGCCTTGCAAGTGTCACGGGAATGTGACCTTGAGTGAAAAGTAGCGCGTCACATGCACCACCCGCGCACCTCGCTGCGCGTTCACTCTGTCTCTGCGGCGTTCGTCTTACTCAGCCTTCTTTGGTGTTGCACGACCACTTAGCCTTTGAGAAAACCCGACCGTGGCGCTAAAGATAAGAAGACGATCTTCTGGCGCGGCGCCACAGTTAATAGGCGAACAAGAACTAGCAGATGTCCTGGATAGCTTTCACAGAGCCGCATCTACTCCTTGGAAAGTTAAGCAAAATAAGAGAATGGTTTTCGCCCTCGATTCGTCTTGAGAAAATGCATTAGCAACCATGCGATTTCTTTCGTGTTAGAATCAAGATTGCCATCTAACAATAATTGATAAAACCCTTACCGTTTTAAGTCAGGAATGAACACAGTCTCCGATGAGGACGTCGAAAGTGGAGGGCGCACGTTGCCAACTGTAATATGATAAGTGCTCATTCACTCTTAAATAAACGTATGCATATACAGCTTTCATTCGAGGCGTAGGTATAAATAGGCAACTGCATAGTACATTGCCTCGAGACCATGACGCTGACGGCGTGTCTAAGACGAAACTGTTTATTTGGCCGAACTTGTTGCCTGAAACAAGGTCAGACTATACCAATACACGCTGGCACTGTAGCGGCGAACAGAGTGTCGGCCGTCGATAATTCGATCCGCATCAATGCACGTCGGCATTTATACATACGGCAGTGAGCATTCGAGCATAATCACTGGTGGCCGCGTTTGTCCAAGAATAAATTCTGCTCTTCGTGTAAACGTGCTCGAGCTTCACAGATATTGAAAGAGTCTAGAATGATCTCAGACATTCTGGTGATGTTTGCGTAAGGCACTGCCTACACGTGCAATAGGCCGGTGACATGAAACATAGAAAGGAATGGGTGTGTGTGGCAATATATACCTATACATAAACCAAGTGAATGTATAGCAGATATATAGCATGTCAGCTGTCTTACACACGCTGGCAAAGGAGCTCTTTCTCTCTCTTCCCTAGCACTTCACATTTTGTCGTAGCCTATATTACCAACCTAATCGTTTATAATATGCAGAAATCGTTAGCGTGTAGCTGCCATGAACGGTTGAAAAAAGAAAAACGTATGACGTGGAAGCATGCTATTTAGGAATAAAAAAAAATGAAAGGAATTAAGATTGCACTTACAAGATCCACGAATTGTGTCGCACAACTCGTCGCCCCATACACCGAGTTGCCTGTTTTGACAAAATTACCAGTAAGTAACACTTACTTGTAAAAGTACACAAAAAATATGCAGTCAACTTCATCCAGTTGAAACAGTCACTGTCGTGACCAGAAAGCTGATTTATCACCCCGTAATGTCGACAGGCATGCAGCCGCCAGAGAGTTAAGAACAGTTCCGACCCGTTTTTGTGGACTTGCCTTTTTCCGTCCATGGAGTCCAAGTGGTTTATCCGACAAATGTCGCCCTCTCCTGTATACATCGTCAGAAGTTCGTGAAACGTGTCGTTTCGCTGAAAGACAATGAAACACTATCAGTTCTACAATACCGTAAGAGCTCTCTCATGATAAAAACAAGCAGGAAGTATATATAAGGTGGTGAATTGGTTGATAGATGTATCGAAAACCCGTACCCCGTTTGGCCGTAATTAAGGAGAAGAATGTCGGCTGTAACACGCAGAAGCTTGTACTCTTTACGAGTTCTGCACATATGCTGACAGCAAACAATTAAAGGTGCCAAACATTGTGAAGAAAAATCATCATCGTAAAGGACTGAAAGCAAGTGCCCGAAGAAACTGTCCTGTATATCTCAAACGGCGCCAGCGAAAAGAAGGAACCAGACGGGAACACGCGTACACAAGACACACGAACGAATGAAAGTTTATTTAGTACTTGCGAAGAATACATAGGGGCTCTTGATGCGCTTGAAGAACTGTTCCCGTAAGAAATCTGCCATCTTTCTCCGAGCATAACAGATGGTGCTGACACAAGATTGCCCGAGCTTTTTTAACACGAAAGTGTTTTATGCCAGGGTTCACCCCAGTTTCACTGACGTATTTATGTCCCGGATATGACGTAAGTATGCACTAACAGATACTAAAAAAGAGCTAGACAATAAAATATCGTCATCGGGAGTCGAACACACGATCCCTCGCTCCGCAGCGCGCGGTGCGAAAGGACTCGGCCACATAGCGCAAGTTCTCCAGCTTACTGGCGGCGAGCTACTTATATACACCATTTAATATTGGCGGTACTCAGAGCTCGGCGGCTTGAGGTTGTTCTTGTTATCACTAGCGAGATAGCACAAAAGACGCGGAGGGCGTGCTTTGAAGGTCTTCGTCCCGCGCGTTGTGCATGGATGCGATTGATCTGTAAGGTTTAACGTTCCAAGACCACCATATGATTATGAGAGACGCCGTATATAGTGGAGGGCTCCGGAAATTTCGACCACCTGGGGTTCTTTAACGTGCACCCAAATCTGAACACACGGGCATACAACATTTCCGCCTCCATCGGAAATGCAGCCGCCGCAGCCGGGATTTGAGCCCGCGACCTGCGGGTCAGCAGCCGAGTACCTTAGCGATGCACTAGACCACAGCGGCGGAGCTTGTGCATGAATGCGCGTGCATTGATTTTGTGATACGTCTCTTTGTACGTACTTTTCCTCTCACCACAAGATTGCGTGAAGTTAGAGAGAGAGAGAGAAATAATTAAAAGGAAGAGACAGGGAGGTTAACCAAGACGAACTGGTTTGCTACCCTGTACGGGGGTGGGGAAAAGGGCCGGAAAGAGGATAGATATAGAGAGATATAAAAATAAATTAGAAAAAAAAAACACATGCGCACACATTTAGGGAGTTCCGATCACAGTCGTTTGGACAGGCCGGTTGAACGCAAAAAGCGCAGGAGCGCCTTCACAGCCTCCTTCTGCGACATAAAGTCCTGTCGGCAGCGCAGGAGTCTTTCTTCCGAAAGAGGCTGGTTGTCCAGTTCATCTAGTGCATTGCAGAGTGACTCTCTCTGCGAGCAGTATTGTGGGCATTCACACAGAATGTGCCGAGTTGTTTCATCACTGCCACAATGGTCGCATGCAGCAGTGCCAGCCATTCCTATGCGGAACGCGTACGCATTGGTAAATGCGACGACCAACTATAATCTGCACAGCATAGTAGCGTCTCGTCGGCGTAATTCCGGAGGAATTCGAAGACGTGAAGTTAGAGGGCGCAAATGTTACTATGCTAGCTAAAGAGACACGCTGTTCTCTCGTGCACAAAGAATAACAATTATGACTTCGTGTTGGACCTGTTGCTTTCTTGCGTCCTTTCTGCTTCAGGAGCGCGCAAGTTTTGAGCTGGTTGCCGTTCCGAGTCACATTTCAATTTGTTGCCATAATTTATTCATTCGCCCTAGTGACGAAACGACGCACAAAAAACAGTCAACTAGCTCTGTGAAGACCCGTTTCCCCTTGGTGTTATACCGATTTCTATGACAAAGGGATCAGCCGTGTTTTATTTCTTATCTCTATAGTGCTTCAACAACCTCTTTTGTTAATCTATCAGCTGATTTCGACATGACGCTAATGTTTACAAATCGAAGTGCGCAACTGCAGTCCATACAATGGATACCTGAATGCCCAAATACAACTTTCGTCGTGTTGTATTTGTGTTCTTTGAATGTATCTTCCAGGGATCTTCCTGTTTGTCATATATGACGCGCCGAGAGACAAAGGGCTTGAGTAAGCGCAGGACAAACGGATTGCGATTGTTGCTTACGCAACCCTTTTGTCTTGCGGCGCGTCACATATGACAAACAGGAAGATGCCTGAATGATAGATTAAAAGAGCTCAAGTACAACACAACGGAAGTGGTATCAGGGCATCGAGATATCTAGTGTAGGGAATGTGGTTGCGCATCTTGATTTGAAAACAATGGCCTCAAGTCGAAATCAGAAAGATTAACAAGGGAGGTTGTTGAAGCCCTAAGATGAAAAAAAAAAAAAAAGCTCGGGCACTTTTGTGTCAGCATGCCACCTGTTACGCTGTAAGAGAAACCGTTTTGCACAGGAGTAACCACGCAACGCACTGTCACGAATCTTCATCTTCTCATTTTTTTCTTCTGTTTATTCATGTAGAGCCAGCATTTATTCTGCGGAAGTAGTGAGTAAACGTTCAGTAGTTATAGTGAGTCTTGTGTACGTGCCTTCCTCGTCATTCGGTTCTTTGTTTTCGCAGGAACTCTTTTACTGGAATTATGAACCACCTATCCCAAAGTTATACATCTTGATGAAACGCTGTAATAAAAGCATGAGCACCGATTGCTGTTTTCAACTTTGAATGCTGGAAATATCTGTCTTTGTTTCTACAATAGCGCGATTACACGTAGTCTTTTGTTGTTTTTTCACGCTAACCGGAGTGTGCACGTAAGCGGCAACCAATGATGAAAATATGAAACACGTTGCGGAAGACCATACATGACCTCGCAGCTGGTTAATAACACGTGTCTACACTCACCCATTCCTAAAAATGCTCCGCAACGTGTCTTCGCTCCGCTAAGCGATTACGGAAGTGTTACGAGTCGGACCGTGGGATCATCTCACGGAAAAACCGAGAAGTTATCTCCGAGACCAGAAATTGCACATACGTATACACTCTAATCGATCGAGGCGGCGCCACGCGTCACGCGTGAAAGAAACTCGTGGTGCGAGATAAAGAGAAACGCATTCAACTCGATCCTGCCAGCAAGGTCACGCGTGAACAAAGCAGGCCAATTGGCTTTTTTTTTTTCAGGATGAATTCTCGCACGAAAACAGAGCTAACGTCACGTTGTTATAGAAACGTGGCGAAGACGGAACGCTTAAGCTGCGATTGACTCAATGCAGAACCATGCCAGGACTTTTCTTCCGGAAGGGAGTCAGTCCTTCAAATAAAAAAAAAATTAAGGGGTTACCGACACGACGATTTTGGGTGTCTTTTTGCGTAAGGTGCAAAACCATGCTCTCAAGAGCCCTCAATATGCACTTGTAAGTGCGAAGCGCCTTTTAAAAATGTAATTATAATAAGTATTTATTGGCTAGTTTTGGTTCTTACTGTACACCCCAGCGTGGGAACACTGTATGAAATTTTAAAAAGGTATTCGTAGTCTCCACAGCCACTCCGTAATTTCTGGCTCCTTTGATAACGCACAAGCGGCCATTTTGAATGTTGTAGTACCTGACGTCCTCACAGCTATCCATATTTGCGCATGAGCTGCCAGAGTAGACACTGTAGACTAACGTCGCGCTAGTGTTGATGCCAGTAAGTGCGCAATGTGGAATTGAATTTTGATATCATGACAAAATATCTCAACATTTAATGATCTTCAACCTAGCGCACATTCATCTGTGCATACCCGAGATATGTATGGCAGTTAGTAAACCCACCTTCGAAATTTAGTGCCAGCATCCCTCTTTAACTAAGCCTCACTATCATAACCGGACGAAGAAAACGATCATCCGACGGCTGCAGTCATCCATCGGGCTTATTGGCATGCATGTCCTGTGCTATATAAGGGTGAGCTAACCGAGATAATGATGCTGACTTTTCAATGAAAAGCATTGTGTATACCTCATGAACAACTTCGCTGGAGTTTTGAGCTGGCTGCTCGAAGTGATCTTCATATGTGGCGCAGTTTTAATCGTTACGAGAACTTATATACCCTCAAAATGATGATATTACAGTAATGCGCTGAGAGTGCGCTTGACGGTATACATTTTCTCAGAACGATTAACACTGCGCCACACATGAAGATTACTTCGAGTAGCCTAATCAGAACTCCAGCGAAGTTGTTCATGAGGTATACACAATGCTTTTCATCGAAAAGTCAGCATCATTGTCTCGGTTAGCTGAAACAGATGTTCAAATATACGGCTTCAGTCCATTTACCGTAGCATATGTGTCGAGATAAATTCCGCCTATAGGTAAGGTGCATGCGACATATATATCCTTAAATCTTACGTTTCTGTATAAGCTACTGATGGGAATGTGCGTCTTCGTAGACTTCGGTGTCACAGGGCGACAAACCACACGGAAACTCGTATTCGCAACTCAATCGAAACAACTCATTTCACGGTGCATCTGAATGATCGAGTGGGTAATTAGGCGAGCGGGAACCGGTCGACTAAAAGCGGTGTCGTAACTATATTGTCAATGTCGGCGACCACAGCTGCTCGGGCCTCGAGAAAATCCTCTGCGAGCTACTAGACGCCGGCAGACCTGTCCGGGAGTTAGAAACTATGCTTTGTTTATAGTCCATGTAGTCCAGCTCGACAGACCTTCGTGCAGCAGCATTCAATCGTGACGCTCGCTTCGCTAAGTGCTTTATGCAGCACGATCACTCATCGATGGCGAGTCCACTATCAGTGGCTAAGGTCCTAATCCACTTACCCCTCGTATTTGGGACGTTTTTGTACGTGTTAAATTTGCAAGCGCTCATACAATTACTCGCATGTACGTATACACGAAAGGGTACGGACTCGGCACGATCTCCCTCCCGGAAATAAACTTCTGGCTACGTCCTCACCCCTTCCCTTTGGTTTGTTTCATCCGCTATAGGTTGCGTGTTAGGTCACTGTTGTTTATAGAAAAGCGTAGGCGCAAAGTGCGTCCTGCGGAGGAACAGCAGCTGTTCCTCCGCGCTGCGGAAATCATTTATTCCCACTTGAATTATATAAAGTCCATCAATCATTTTACTCTTCACCTCGGGGGACTGCGCGCTCATGACATGATTGTGTTTAGAACGTCATGACAGAGGCGTGGAGACGCACCCCTTGCATGTAGGCGAAGCGTCCGGCCAAGTCCTGGGGTTGACTCTTGAGCAACTCGAGAAGAGTCCGATAGCCCGTGCGAAAGACCTCGCCGATGTCGATGCTGCCGGCTGTTGCTTTGCCTTCATTGCTTTTACGCGCCACTGCGGCGAGCATCATGAGCACGTCCGGGTAGCCTTCGAAGCTGAGCTCGCGCACGGAACGCGTCAGGTAGAGCTCCTGACCCAGGCTGGACAAGGCCATGCGCCCCATCGAACGCGTGAAGTAATTCTGACTGCTCAGGAGGTGCTGTGTCGCCTGTAAGGGAGATACACAAGTTTTAGTTAGAAAACAAAGTTCTATGCATAATCTACTTTCGAAGCTGCCTAAGTGATGCGTAAGAGCAGAGTTTTATTTTTTTTTATGGGAACACGGTATGAAATTTTAGAGGTATTTGACGTTACTGTTTCTACAGCCTCTTCGTAATTTCTGGCTCCTTTGATACGCACAAGCGGCCATTTTGAATGTTGTAGTACCTCACATCATCCCAACTATCGAGAGAGAGAGAGAGAGAGAAAATTTAATGCGGAAAGGCAGGGAGGTTAACCAGAAAACATATCCGGTTTGCTACCCTGCACTGGGGAAGGGGTAAAGGGGAAAGGGAGGAAGAGAAGCACAAACACACACACACACACTCGCACACAGTAGTGTCACAATCGTTCAACGAGGCGGGTCGCTCGCAGAAACTTCATCAGCGCCTTCGTTGCTTTCTGGCGTGAGGCTCGATCTTTCCGACATTCCAAGATTGACTGCTCAGAAAATGGCTGGTCGTCGAGGCGAGCAAACACTGCTGAGAGGGACTGTCGCTGAGAGCTGTACTGGGGGCACTGACATAAAATATGTTCAATTGTTTCGTCATTGTCGCAATGGTCGCATGTAGCGCTGTCTCTCATTCCGATGCGGCAGGCAAAAGCGTTCGTGAAAGACACCCCAAGCCACATACTGCAGAGACCCAACTATCGATATTTGTGCGTGAAGCTGCCAGAAAGATATATATATATATATATACGCTTCTCCGAAATTGACGACTATACCATAGTGTAACAGTGGGTGCACTTCCCCATTTTACGAAAGTTATTTGCGGTGTAGGGGGTACCATGTAAAATGAGTGTTGGGTATTAACGTTCCAAAACCGCCATATGATTATGAGAGACGCCGGAGGGCTCCGGAAATTTCAACATCCTGGTGTTCTTTCACGTGCACCTGAATCTAAGATTACGAGCCTCAAGCATCTTCGCCTCCCTCGAAAATGCCGCCGCCGCTGCCGGGATTCGATCCCACGACCTGCAGGTTAGCAGCCGAGTGCCTTAGCCACTAGACCACCGTGGCGGGTGGGCATCATGCAAGTGTATTTGCAGTACTTTAGCCAAAAGTGTTTAGAAAAGGCTGTAGAAAGGCTGCTCTTACAGCTTTCGCTTTGACTGTGTTGCGCGTTCCGCGCAGGCCTGCAGCGGTTTTTCCACCACCACGATATTCAATGAAGCCTTTCTTGCAAATAAACGAACACTCCGCAAAGTTGTAACGAAAAAAAATTATGACGTTTCGAGACACGCATCTTTTGTGCAGAAACAAGCGAAAGAAGTTGGGTCGTGCATTCATATGCGTAATAGATGGCGCAATGATCTGGTGTAGGTTAGTGTAAGCATCCGGTAGAATTCCATGTGTCTTAAAAAGTCTGACTTATCGGCCCTGTGTAGAATGCGCCACACAGGTGATGTGACGGGAGGGGGAAGGGGAGTGGCAGTGATAAAGAAATAAAACGAAATGATGATCTCTCCAACGAAACGTCATCATCATCATTACAGCTTCGCTGTCCGACCGTTTTCACGACGTCAAACTGGCTAAAAACCATGATTGTTAGGCAAGCCCGGCATAACGCATTCATATGGTTCAGCTATGCTCCCGCACTGGAAGCTGTGGTGAGTAGCCTTGGTAACGCGGGGTGTCCAGGGTCACACATCCCCGCGAAGGAACTTAGTTTATTTCCTGACAATTAACCTTCTCACTGAAGAAGTAAGACTCACTATAAGGCTCAGCTTTTTTGTTAAGTAAGCATTGAAATGCTTACGCTTTTAAAACTGGGGATGACGAGATGCATATTAGTAGAGCAGCCGATTTATTTGACAGGGCGTAGGCACCGAATGTTGATTGATATGTGGGGTTTAACCTTCCAAAACCACCATATGATTATGAGAGAGGCCGTAGTGGAGGGCTCCGGAAATTTGGACCACGTGGGGTTTTTTAACGTACTACCAAATCTGAGCACTTGGGCCTACAGCAGCATTTTCGCCTCCTTTGAAAATGCAACCGCCGCAGCCAGTATTCGATACCGCGACGTGCAGGTCACCAGCCGAGTACCTTAATCGTTAGACGACCGCGGTGGGGCTGGGCACCGAATGTTTATGAAAGATTTAATGACATGTGAATTTGACAGCATGACCGCGAAACAAACTGCACGAAAAGGCTGCTAGAAAACGCTCATTTAATGTGTCAAGTGTTCTCCATGTCTGCCTATTATTCTAAAGTTAGCTTTTATTTCGCGAAATCTGATGGATCATCTATCATTCGTTTTATAATACCATGCGCGTTGTGAAAGCAACAGCAATAAACATCTCTCCCTCTCTCTTTCGACCGAAGAAAGAAGTGAAAAATGAGGCGCGAGTGTAGACAGAGAATTCAACAGTGACCCGAATGCCAGAAGAAACCACTGAGAAAATGTCGCTGGCCGTCATCCAACAGTGATGCCCTCCAGCAACGGGTTCGTACTCTGAAGGCGCGTGTGTAGGAGCTCGTGTCTGCAATTATCGGCTTGTTTTCTTTCTCCGGAAAATATGCTCGTGAGCTAAGGCGACGGAGCTGCAATCTCTATCGCTGTCTACAACACACACACACACACACACACACACACACACACACACACACACACACACACACACACACACACACACACACACACACACACACACACACACACACACACACACACACACACACACACACACACACACACACACACACCACACACACACACACACACACACACACACACACACACACACACACACACACACACACACACACACACAGAGAGAGAGAGAGAGAGAGAGAGATTTATTTCTAAATAAAGCTCGATTAACTCTGTTCGACTACTGTTACTACGCAATGTATCTCCACATGTGAAATGCAGATCTTAAACTGAGCTGTATGGAATCACCAATCATCGTTTACATTCAGGTTGCTGCCTGGAGTATGAATCTGACTCAGTAGATAAATACAAAGGTACAGAAACGCTATATCACATCAGTTAGCTTGACTGAGGATTTTTCCTATACGGTCTTACAGTCTTTCACAAACTCGACCCAATGCTGCGCCAGTCATGAATACTAAAAGCCAGGGAAATTATTATATATATATATATATATATATATATATAAGAGAAATAATTTGTACATGGAATAATATTGCCATTTTTGGGACTTGTTGGTCGAAGAAACTCGAAAATGTATTCGACGCTAGCGAACAAGGACGCGAGGCAGACGACACCAAATATGTTGTCTCCCTTACGTCCTCGTTCGCTATATAGCGCTGAATTCGTTTTCGAGTTGTGAATGAAAAACTCCGTCCACAACTGAAAAAAAAAAACATTGCTATTCTCGTGTGAAGGTCCTTCCTTGAAGCAGTATATCTACGAAGAATCTTTCTTCCTCCTCCCCCACCTCCCCATTTTTTTTACCTTTGCAAAAAAAAGGAAGTGCATTATCTAGTAAAGTATGAAAATAGGGTACAAGATGAACTACAAGCGATTATTTTCACTTCCTGTCTAACCCTACTTGAGGTCAAAAGTGCCATAGAAGGTCTGGTGTATAAATTTTTACAACATTCACACGCAATCGAACGGTGCCCGAAGCATGTCCAGATGGAAGGCAATGAACAGGACCACCGATTAGCCTTAGTAACAGGAAACTGAACAGCATATAGGATCCTACAGCCTCATCTTTGGTCTTCAAGCAGCGCAGACGTACACAAGAAAGAAGAATAAACTAACGCTACGAGCGCTGTCAGTTCTTTTTCTTCTGTCCTCGTGTGCACCCGCTCTTCGAAGATAAGCATCGGATGGCCCGAGTGAATGCGCGTTCGTGGCACTCACAAATGCTCGGGAGCCCACGAAAAAAAAAGAGATAATAACAATATCTTGGGTTTTGCGTCCCAAAACTACAACACGGTTATGAAAAACGCCGTAGTGGAGGGCTCCACCACCTGGCTAGACACACGATCCTGAAGCATTTTCGCCTCCATTGATGATGCGGCCGCAGCGGCCGAGATACGAACCCGCGACTTACCACGTATTTATGCTTGCCGTAATACACGCCATACACACCACTGCATGCGAGAGCTCTTGCCCGTGGTGCAGGGGGGAAGGCCAACTCTCGGCCACGTTACGTAATATTGTAAAATGACGTCTCAAAATGTCAATTGACTGCTCATATCAAAAGCCACAGCAGTGGGCTGCGGGCTACCTTATAGTGCACTGTATGCCAGGCCACATGGGTCAGTGAAACCCAGCGGTTTTTTTTTTTTTAACCCTGTTCCACGGGTAAACGTTTTCACTACATACTCACGAGTGGCGTGATGTCCCGAACGGATTTGCAGTCGACTTTCCCTTAAATGTAGCACAATACCGTGTCCTTTTTGCGTTTGCGATCCAGGAATATGATTCTTACGACCGTATAGGTTATTTAGTGGTGTAGCCAGTGAAAGGGAGAAGGTGGTGCTCTATTTTTCTACTCCCTCTGAAAGTTCTCAATGCGCATGTGACACACAAGCACACATACAAACGCGTGCAAGCATGAACATACATAAAGTATGGTTGGACCGTGCACCCCCGCTGAAACAATTTTTGGCTACGCCACTGGTAACATAGCACACACAAAGAGCCACCAAAAGTGAGCAATGGTCGTTCATTTTAGGAGCTTCACCGTGCCGAATTTCAAAGTACACCGAGCCAAAACACGACCGCACAACCGCAAGTGTATTTGTTTCTGACAAGTACGCAATCGACAGGGTGCCGTATTCGCCCCTATAGAACTCTGTCACTCTGAACACGCCATTAGAAAAGTAGCCACGAGCTGCGGCTTACACGTGTTCTCGTCTCTGCGTCGTCGCTCTGTTCTCGCGCTATAACTATCGTCATGTCACACCAACTAGCCCAAGCTGCCACATTACACACAGGCCCGCGATAGTCGTGGTTGAGACGACTTACGATGAAGGGCACATTGACAGTCGTCACAAGGTCGTCCTCCGTGCCAGCGGAATTCTCCCCGTCGAAATGGAAGATCATCTTTTCCAGGAAGGACACAGTTCCGTTGTCGTTGAACGTGATATTGTCCTTGACCCATTCGATACTGCAGACATGGGTGGTGTAACAAGATATCGTCATTAATTAATAACAAACAAAAACAAATAAGGTTCTAGGGTGAAGTATGTTGCATATGTCACAGTGATTCTACGCTCCGCGTGCCGAGAAAACAAACAATCCTGGTTGGATGCCTCGCCAAACAACTGCATGAGCCCCTTGTTTCTACGTACTTCCGAAAAATTCAGTTGTAGCTTGCGTGCATGGTGCACTGAACACGCACATAAATACAGGGATAAGTTCTGTGTGCCCAATTAAAAGTGATTCTATCAGTGTTGGTCGATTAACCACACGATTAGTTGCAATATTATCGCATAATGACACCGAATCTATCAACGGTTCGGTCATTTGACGTCAAGTGAGCAACATCCTCAAACTTGAGCAGCAAAAAAAAAAAAAAAAAAAACACTGCCTTGCAATTCTAGCGCTCAAAAGATGAAAATGACAACTGCTTGCAAACCCCAGATTCTCCTCGCGTAGCGGAAAAGACCGAAAGAAAAATTGCAATGCGCATGTCTTTACATTGCTAAGTAATGCACATGACTGACTGATAATTCAACAACTGACCAATGGCGAAACCCAGGTTACATTACTCCTCTCTAAGCACTCGTTCTATATGCTTGCCTGAGGCTACACGTTGTCGATGAATACGTAGTCGAAATTTTTGAGCGCCTGCGTGTGGCAGCCACCTCAGACGCCATGCAAGAGACTGCCAGTACAGCGGGGACGCGCTCGGCATTTCGCGTCACCAAACCCACATTCCCTCAGCTGGAGGCTCCGACAAGTGGTAAAGTTCTATGAGCTTGCTCTAAACATCGGTACGAGAGTTGAAAAAAAAAACTATCCCTGGAAAAATTACACTGAACGATCATTGTATTTGATGGTAAACTTATCGAAAGTGCATAAGAGCGTTATTGCTATGAGTGTATTGAAATATTTTTTTTCGGTTTATCAGCGGTAATATCAGGTAATAGCGACGGCCAAGGACTGGGCGAATAGTGTTGAAGATTAAGCGCCAAAATATGCACCGCCGACAAAGAAATGACGACGACAAGCCCGCTCCCACACCTTGCCGCGCCAATAGCAAGTCTGCATTCTAAAAAGAAACAGGGCGTGCAAACACCGACACAAGGAGGAAGCCAGGACCTTACAATCACTCTCTAACAACTGAAGACGCACACAAAGGCGGAAAAGGAAGAAGGCACGAAAACTTATTTGCACATGATATATGCGAAACTATTAATTTAGCTCGTGTGGGGGTCTACGTGAAAGATAAGTTGACGCTTGCAACTGCTAAGGCATTTGATTTCATCTTCGTGCAAGTCAATCGACGGTTGGCTCAAACACTGCTATTATCGATATACTATACCTCAATCATCAGACGCATTACTTCATCCCAGTGCCGGTGCAAAAGTGCACATTCATAGAATTTTGGCATGCACTTACACCGACAATGCAAAGAAAGATTAGAAGTTGAGCCTCCGGTTAGCGACCCCTTATGTTCCAATAATCTCTGATTAATGCAGCGGCACCCGTCTGCCCTACGTGGAAGCAGGTCTGCATATTCACACGCCAAATCGCCCTTGCCCACCTGACTTCTTTTTTTTCCTTAAGCAAAGCAACGAGAGCTTAGTCGAAGTGAAATAAGGAATGCGGGACATGCCAGCGCTTCTGATCAACGTGTGCTGCTTGTATACACTGTATACACACTCCGCGAATCTCGCATGAGCGTTTATATGGGCTCACTGCCAAAGATTCAGAGAGAACGGCAGACATTTTGTGCTCACCGGTAAGAGTACGGACCCATTTGGCGCAGGCGAGGGTCGGCCCTTCCCGCCTTGACCGCATCCAGGTTGGTGATGTTGAAGAAGTAAAGGTTGGCGGACATATCGAAGCAGGAGCCCACATCCTTCCACACCTCGAAGGCCGTAGAGCCCGGAGTTATGGTCACTTGCTGCAAAATGAGCAGTACATGCATATAGTTTCGAGATTGCAGCTATATATGCCCAGCGCTGCGTGCAGTCTCATTCACTGCGTGCTGCAACACGGTGGCAGTGGTCTAAGGGTTTCAAAAAATGCACTTTTGTACGTCGCGATCGGTGGCTTATTGGTGAAGCTGACGACTATGTCTCAGAATAAAAAAAAAGCGGGAGGGAAGTGGGGGTCAGCGCATATTTACTAAAAATGATTGTCAAGAGTTTACTGAATTACCCCGAAAAACCGCCAATCTTTTTGAAAATAGAGGCGCGAAAACGCAAGTAGTGATATTCACTCGTTGTAGGGCTACTGGACACTAATAACTCAGATTCTAACTGCGTCGCAAGCACGGTTATTAGATGTGAAAAAGCTCTTTGACTGGCCTGTGTAACGCTGTCCCTCCGTACACCCCCACTGCGTGTGCTGGCGTCTCGCGTCCCGTGCCGCATGTTCGCGCCTTGTACCGGCCCAGGAAGACACCCGCAAAACTCACTCCCCTCCTCCTCTCTCACCTCACAAGGCCTGCTAGTAAAGCGTCTGCTAGTAAAAAAAAATGGCAGCATATCCACGGAGTGAATGATGGGGAGTGAGGCAAAGCATTCGTCCGTCCATTCGTTCTTGCTTCCGTCCGTTCCTGCGTACGTCTGTGTAACCGTCCATGCGTCCATCCACCCGTCCGTGCGTGCGTCTGTTCGTGCGTCCGTCCCTGCGTTCGTCCATGCATCCGCGCCTGCGTCCGTTCATGCGTCCATCTATGCATCTGTCTGTGTGTCCATTCGTCCATCTATTCAGCACTCCAAGTACCACCATCTCGCATCTTTTCATCATATATATTCCCCATATAGAAGCACCGCCGTCCAGCGGACATTCCAAGGACTAAACGAGAGGTGGCACACGCACACTTTCTTACGGCTTGCGCTTCGGGTCTACTTCCCACCCTTAACCACCTCGAGTTCATGGTATATACTAGTTCACTGTATTCATGGCACTGCGGCCCAACGCTCGCTAAACCTTTCTAAAGCTAAGGATGTTACACCCAGCGAGTATAACGTAGCAACCCTTTCTTGTCAGATCGTGCTCAATGTACATGCCAATGGCTGCTAATGGGCAATGAGAGACAGGAGAATTCGGCTTTTACTTTCTTACGGCTTTCGCTTCGTATCTACTTCCCACCTTTAACCACCTCGAGTTCATAGTATATACTAGTTCATTGTATTCATGGCACTGCGGCTGAACGCTCGCTAAACCTTTGTAAAATCAAGGAGGTTACACACAGCGAGTATAACGTAGCAACCCTTTCTTGTCAAATCGTGCTCAATGTACATGCCAATAGCTGCTAATGGGGATCGCAGCGTGCGCGTTACCTGAAGGCCGAATGCTCCTGTCTCTCATTCCCCCTTAGCAGCCATTAACATGTGCATTGAGCACTATCTTTTATTGTTCAACAACGCACAGAAGAAATCTCTCACCGGAACCACCTTGGAGGTCAAAATCGTAAGGACCGCTATTTCGGGTATGTGCCACTGGTGGTTACGCTCTACGAGGGACGCACAAGCCACGCCATAAGGAGCTTCGCCCCTAAAAATCAACTGTTCGAGCTGCAGAACTGTTTACTAGCCAGCCCGTATATGTAGGTACTGGATCGCGCGTTCAGAACTCAGTCACGGGCGTCTTGCATTTCGATCACTTGATGAGCGTCAGCGTGAAAGTCGCAGCCAGTGCACATGTATAAGCGTTAGCGCCCGCTGCTTCGCATCTACACAAGGTTCCCTTTAGACATGTTTCCCTTTAGCGGGAGATGGTCCAAGTTTTTATTGGTTAACTATATTCCCACGGCAGCACATTACAGCCTCATCGGTTTATATGTGCCGGGTGCAATGCCATATAAAGTCAATTACATTACAAGATCATATGGTGAATTAAAGAAAAAGCCAGATGACCTGGAATTATTCGGCTGTGTTAATTAAGCTGTAAATATTTTATGTACTTACATGGCAAATGTACATCCTATTGCATTCCCATGCAATATATATATAAACGAGGGAGCAGTCACTTGTGCCTTCCCACTCTCAGCTGTAATGGCTTCACGCCAACGTAGATGTTGCCTGTGCCACCCTATTTTTTTAATAGTAAAAACCATAAACGGCAATGGCTCACCCTGAAAAGCTTGGGGGGTACGTAATAATGCACTCGGTTCTTATACACCCTGAACTTGGTCTGTATCTGGCAGTCGAGTTATGAGGCCCGATTTAAACAGATGTCACGCCAATTAAGCCGTTGGAAGTACACGCTACCACATGGCCAACGGATACAATGTTGCATGCCTTGAAGTGACTGAGTGTGGACTTATTTTTGATACTATAAACTGTCTATCACTAATGCAGATCTCTGCAAATAATCAGGGGTGAACAAAAACAAATGAACACTCGTTCGAGTAACTCTCAGGTGAATTGTCTCTTAAGTGTGAATTTAAAACGCATCTATTAAGTACACACGCCAGGATATTGAAGTTAGGTACTCATAAATAAATCTCTATTCAATGATGTGTGATGGTCTCAAAGATTTCACTTTAAAAAATTCCCGAATCAATATGATTACATACTCAGTAGCAGTGCATTTTAAATTCAGTGATGCGAGGGCACAAAAAAGGAACTACGCCGCACCTTGTTTAGTAGGTCCCTGTAGAAGTCGTCAAACACTATCAGCACGAATACCGAGAAAGTGGCCACAATCAGGGAGAATGCGCCACAGCATATTCCTGCGACAAGGCAAAGTATGCACGTAAGGCAAGGGAATACAACGTTTCTATAATTCTAAACATTTAAAAAAAATGGAGTGGCAGAGGTGGTATAGACTGTGCGTTCACACCAGGGCACGAGCAGAAATGTTCAAAGGCATAAAAAGGAAGGGTGGGAGAAAGTTTTCGTTAATTTATTACGCGAGTGTATTTCTCTCGATTGCACCTGCTCTGCAATAACCTGAAACCAACACTTTCTAGGTGGTCAGTTGCACGGAACTAAATGTTAGAGAGTCAGGTGAATGCACAACACTCATGGCAGGCACAGAAAGGCCGCCTTCTAAAGCATTAATGCGCTTCGCACCAACTTCGAAACTGCACCAATTCGCAAAGTAATAAATTCAAGAAATAAAAATTGACATGAATTCTTTAGTCAGCTATTTACACAGCCACTAAGCTTACAACATCCGTGCTAGAATTCTTCCAAGCCGGCCTCTGTGGTTGTGCCTATACCACAGATATCCCGCCTGTATTGGAAAATAAATAAATAAACAAATAAATAAATAAATAAATAAATTTGTAACCTGGTCGAACAGTAATCGAAAAGGGGATGCTTAATTCTTCCGTATTCAATGTCAAGAATATTTACACCCAAAAAACGCTAAGCAGAGCACAAGCGAGGAACTGGGGCCAGTTGGTCGCGGTTCATGGCAGCGTGGACAGCAAAGAGAGCCAATTCAGTTATATTAAGAAAAAAAAAAAAAGACGGCGTACGAGCAATGAGCGTTTCTTTTTCCGCTACGCCCACGCGTTGTCATGCTCGTCGTCGTTGAAGGAACACTAATGCGGAGAAAACTTTTCGTGCATAAGTTAATTACAGTACAATTACAATTCACAATACCGAAAACACCATTATTACCTAGAGAAGACGCTCGATAAGAAGACGCTTTCTCTCTTGGTAAACGAGAAAACGTAGCAAAATAAAAATGTAGGTGGCAAGGCCATCCTGAAATTTCCGCACCAAACGCCCCGACTTTCACGGCCCGACTTTCATTGCCGTGTCAACGTAACGTACGTATACTAGGTCATAGGTGTTTGTTAATCACTAAACATGAAGTGCATATCAGTGCGACGGGGTCATAGAGGTAGCATACCAAGTTTAAGGAAACCTTCATTTATCCAATGTCACCAAAATACAAAAATAGTGAGGATTTCGCGCTAAATGTAAAAATTAACAATTCACCTCAAATTGTTCCTCCATCAATAAGTAAATGATGTTAAAATTAACTACGTGATGGTTCTTTGAGTACAATTCATCAATCCAAGTCAGTCTACTGTGTCACTTTAGTGTGTATATATTTAAGCCAAGCTAATCGATAAGAGTTTTCGACTGTCCATCCTCGCCTGTCAGAGACAATACTTGCCTGTCTTTTTGGTGAACATTGCTATCCTTGATGCTTGCTGCGCCCTCTACGAACCACTACGCTGACGATGGATGCTTCCTTCGAGTCTCATTGTTTCCACAACTTCGACGCCATGCTTGTTCTGCGGTGAAAAGAAAATGGAACTAAAGCAAGAGCGTTGACCGCAGCACTGAATGCAGCTATTGACAGGGAAAGTGTCTTATTTCCTAGTGCATAGAAAGCAATCGGCTAGACAACACTAGAGAAATTACTGGGGAAATTTAGTTCGCAGCTATAGATATACGAGGCAAGTCTATTACGGATATGTGTGTTGGTGAATGTTATATATAAACAACTTACAAGGAAGCGAAGGCTTACATGGAAGCCTTCGCTTACCCAATATATTTTAGCTGGTTCAACGAGGTGAGATTTTAATTATGTGCGACTGAATGAAGCGGAATGAAGCTGGTTGAACGAAGCGGGAGAAGTTGTCGGAGTAGCAGCGGGCCTGGTGGTGAGTGGTGGAAGACGTGAGTAGTGGCCCCTATACCCGTTTTTTTTTTTTTTTAATCTACGACGACTTCCGAATTTCAAAGCCTCCACTGAACAGCTTCACTGGTTCGAAAGAATTGTAAACGTATGCAGAAGTGCCAGCGAGCGTTGTCTCATACTAAATGTCTATTGGTTGTGCGCTGCTGTGCAATGTTTACAGAACGCGTCTAGATACAGTAAAGCCACTTGTGCTTCTCGAATCCGACTGGCCTGTGCAAAACCCTTGGACTGAATGGAGAGATGCCGCACGCGAGTTCACCGTTTCTTTTTTTCTCTCCTCATCGGATCCCCATCCTCTTCTCTATCATCTTTCTCATTCCCTCAGCGTAGGGTTAGCTAACAAAACGCTTCTCCGCTTAACGCTGCCTCCAGGGTGCTTCGGCAGTAGCGGTTTACGCACGGTAACCACGGAAACATTATACCGCCGAGGTTTGCACGGCAAGATCTGAATCAGCAAGACCTGTATTAGCCACAATGTCGTACTCATCGACCGACTCGCGCTGTGGAGATGTTTTCAGATAACAGAACATTCAGTACGGCACGGCCATACCGTGACGCAAACGGCCATTCGAACCTACTAGCGAGTTACACAAACACGATACGCAAATACGGATACTGTATTACGGTATCGCTCCTCTTCTAACTCGCTCTGCTTTCACCTCTCCTAACTCAAGTGAAGGCTCCTTAACACCACGAAAGCTCTGAAACGAATTTTGTGGGGTCGTCACGCGCCTCATTGTTGCCTGTCAGCCTATACGCACTTAACGGGGACCCTGTCAACGCACAGTCAGCTTAACGAGCCCGCGAGGAAGAGCGGCAATATATGTATACGGCAATACCTTACCACATGTGCGCACCGTATTACCGTATCCACGTAACGTATACGTGTGGATCAGATCCCCTGCTTTGGGAGAAATTGAGCCTAGTAATAATTATCTGGGGTTTAACGTCACAAAATAACGATATGAACATGAGAGACGCCGTATATGGAAGGCTCCGGAAATTCAGACCAGCCTGTGTTCTTTGACGTGCACTGAAATCGCACGCATGGGCCTCTAGAATTTCATCTCCATCGAAATGCGACTGCCATGGCCGGTATCAAACCCGCGACCTTCTGGCCAAAAAATGATGCTTCAATCAATCAATCAATCAATTAATCAGTCAATCTATTCGTAACTTGATAAAATACTAGTACCCTCACTGCTAAAACACTATATCTGTATTTTCGTCAGCCTCGGCCTCGGGAACTGCGAGATCGTCGCAAGTTTAGTGCTGTTCTATACGAAGAGAGGCAAAATCTCTATCACTCATAAAGCAACGTCAAGTATAAATTGCTCGATATGAGGCGTTGTTATCCGTGTACCTCCAGGCTAGAAATTTTAAGTGCCGAGATTAGCCACATACGTTGTAAAAGCAGACATGTATGATTGCTTTGACGACGTCTGCCTTCATTGAAATTCCGTACAGAAAGGCGAGTACCCTAAAGGTACCGCGCATGGTGCGGCCTCTTTGAAGAACGCCTTGCACGCTTCCGCATGACTTTTACCGGTGTCGCTGAATTTAGAGAAAGCGGCTGTCGCAAAGTGGAATAATGATTGCCGGTTTTCACAGACTGGGTTATGCGAGACGCAAGTTAATCTGTCCAAGTTACATCATAAAAAACGGCGCACAAGTGCCCCCCCCCCCCCAAAAAAAAAAAAAAACAAACCGAGAAAGGAGGACGATACTTTGATGGTGTGTCGTTCTCTCTTCGTTTTTGTGCTGAGCTGGTCTTTACGGCGCTGTGATGCGCTGTTTGTTCGGCGAGAGTGGATTTGCACTCACCAACGAGGAATACGTAACGTTCATGATAGTTTTAATACAATGGTATTTCCAGCGCTCTACGTGCGCCCTATATGTATGAGAACGCGGTAGCAGCTGAGGAGAACAGAATTCTCTATCTTACGCACAGTACCAGCAAAGTGTTGTGTCTAAAAGTGTATATAAAAAAAGAAAACAGCAATCCTTTTTACTCCTTTAAAATATATATAGACAAAAAAACTGTACGGAATTTTTCAAGCCATACGTATAAAGTTAATAAATGAAAAAAAAGTCTATACCACGTATAGCACCGCACGGTGGTACACCGAGATGGGATTCAGGTCATGCTGAAGGTTTTTTTTTTTCGTGTTTTCTAGACTATTCAAACTGAACTGGTGAACGCAGCTTCAAACAAAGAGGTTGTCACAAGTGTCTCTCAAAACGTTTCGCTCAATTCGACAGTGTCCGTAATGAAGTCTGCGACACACATCACGAAAAGCTGGCTTAGAGCAAACAAACGAAGCGATGCACGTGGAGACTGCTGCACATGTGCGAGTCAACGGCCTCACCAGAATTATAGCATTCAAAGAACAGGCCCGTTCTGTCCACAGCCGTAAGATAAGAATTTCCAATGAAAGAAGGTGCGAAAAATGAGTGTCCTCACGATTGGAGTGTGTTTCGGCCATCCCACGTGTGATGGTAAAGGTGTGTTTACCACCCAAGTTTCTGGCACAATATATACTGCATACGATCCCGCGAGAAAGTTCAACCAATTGAAACACGTGCAATTCACTGCCTCATGGTCACGCGTTCAGGTCGTCGGACGTGGGCTCTTCAGCGAGAAAGCCGTTCAGCGCGCTACACGAAATTCGACATTCCTTCGAGGAGAGAAAGAAGGGAAAAATAAATTAACGAAGTCGAGTCGGCTTTCGCGTGTAATCATGGGGATAACTGTTACTATATGGGTAACATGACAGGTTTGGCTGCCTTGTTACTAAATATTTATTGAACTGCTATAGACCTTGACGCTATCGCACATGCAGTTACTCGCTCGTATAGTCATTAACCATGCTCTCTTTTACTACGTAATGATAGCAGCCCAAGCATGGCCTATAAATCAGCGGTTGGCAAGCACTTTCTTTTATACGTAATGGAGTTGAGGTAACAAGATTTGGCATTTCGACCAGGTTTGTTTATTGAACAGCGTAATGTAACGATAGCGGCGTTCTACCAAGCCGTTCCGTCAGAGGAGTAGCAAGGGGCTGGCGCACCATGCCTGTGCACATGGATCTTTTTTTTTTTTCTGCCATGGATCAGACAGTACAAAATGACACTTGACTGCCCTTACTTGCCCGAACTTCGCGTCTGGTCAAGGGCGTTCATCAAAGTTGAATTAACTAATTAATTAACTAAAACATATTTTAAATAAAACCGAAGAACATTTTATTGCTTTTGTATTGCACATTTATACTCCCACCCCAAAGAAAATTGGGCGTTCTAACCTTTCTTTATGTCTAACGCCGTAAGGGCGTTACAGGATGAATAACTAAGTTCCCGACATTATGTCAGAGAAGAAAAACGGTAGTAGCAAGCGTTTTCTTAAGCGGCAGCAACATGCAAACTTAAGAAAAAACTGATGAGTGGAGCCAGGAGAACATGGAGGCTTAAACTAGTAAACATTGGGCGCGCTCGAGCCAACGCATCTCCTTTAAGAAAATTGAAAATTACGCGGTATCACGTTGCGCGAAGCTTTTATTTTTCGACATCCAAATACCCATGAGCATTAAATGTTAAGCCATGTCGTAATTTCTCATAGTTGACCGGGACATCATTGTCATGTAAACAGTAATGCAGAGCAAAACGTCTTTGATTTGCTCCCTGAAAATATTTATGTTCGTGACCTCAACCCGGCTCGAGTAGGCGAGATTCTGCATCAATTAGTTTTTTTCCTTTGTTTGATTTTGTTTCATTGTCCCTCTGCATTAAGCTTGATAATTCATCCAGTATTTTGGAACCTCGTTCCGGAAGCAAAATTGTATTCATATTGGGCAGCGCACAAACAAAATCACACAAGAGAAGGGAACAGTACAAGGATAAATTGCAAGTCACCCGCCTTTCAGTTCTACTACAGCAAAATTTTTCTGTTAATATTTCAAATGAACATAAACAGAAGTAATTCCCAATATTTTACCGCTTAAATATATGATGTAGACCTGCCAGTTTTGCACAGAAAAAAATTAAAGAGTGTGAGTTGATCGCACGTGAACTTCGCTTGTACCTCGTACTTAAGGCAAACTAGGCAAAAAAAGAGCGAGAGGTAAGAAAGCCGAAATATCAGGAAGAACCTTGGTTTTACACGCATTGTGCACGAACGGTACAACATATATACATTCGCAGACCACGCGTTAACAAACAGCGGTACAAGAATTGTGACACATGGAATCATTCATCACAGGTGTGAGGCTAACAGGCTCCAAGAAAGGGTAATCGCTTCCGCTTGTTACTGCGTCTTTTTATTGTTTTCCCATTTCTCTTGGCAAACCATCTAAATGCGTGAAATGTCGAAATAAAAGAACTGCAAAATTCCCCCCCCTCCCCCTGGATTTTCACTAGCCACAGAAAATTCGTCGAAACTGAATAGTCAGCAACGTACTCACTCCTTCGTAGCGTTCTTGAATGTCAACTTGGTGAAGATTCACAACTGACACTCGATTCTCCTTTCAGCTTGCGCCTCTTGGTTCCACGCCAGGAGTGCAACGAGCGAGTGGTGTGAGATAACGACGCGCTCCT